CTGGGCAAGCTGAGAACAAAGACTGTTCGATGTACTTCCACAAAAGTCCCTGCCCAGCTATGTTCAAGCATATCCGAGATAACCAAGGCTTCAAGAAGAAGTGGAAATTCAAAGCTACGCCGAATGCCCCACTGGACCTCCGTCATTCTGATCGGATGTACCTCTTGAGGGTCGTGTCCATCTGCTGACGCAATGGCCAGGATTGTGCCCTGCCGCAAAGCTGCAACATTTGTGGCTTTTTGCAGGTCATGATAAACTTTCACCATGTTCCTCTGCAGAAGAATGGCCTTTCGCTGACATTTCTCCATCGGGATCACATCAGTCTGCATAGCAAGGTCAGTGTTTCTGGAAAATTCTTGCGTGAGAGGAATCTCTTGCAAGCTTGCACAGGCACTCCAGTATCCAATCAATCGCACTGTTTCCCTGGCCGTGTCAATGCCACTCACTACAATGTAGTCTCCTCCATGGATGTTGTACTCTGCGAATGCCTCCAAAGGACTTCCGTTCAAATTGGAAAAGCAAGGCTTTGCATGACATTCATGACCAGGAATATCACGGAACATAAAGCCGATGCCTCTACCGATGTTCGCATGAGTGCGTGGTTCAAGGATGCCATAGAAACGGTTTTGTGCGACATTCCAAAACTGGTACTCAAACATGATTGGTACTTGTACCCCACGTAGGTCACGGTTCGCTTCAACCATAAAACCTTCATAATCATCTTCCAAATAAATGGAGGAACCGATCGATTCATGAATGCCAATGAGCTTCCATCTCGCTCCCGGCAAAGCTAGATCTGGCCAGTGCCGAACAATTGCACCTTCAATGGCAGCAAGCGACTGATGTGCTTGTACCCGCAGCTCCATTATGGTGTTCCTGCCCACTCCAAAAGGGTCTGGCCTGAAGAACTTCCATTTTCGTTCTCCACCTCGATCTTGCAGGATGGAGACATCACCCTCAATACGTTCATTCGACTGAAGATCATCCCCATCAGCCTCTTCCACACTACTATCTTCGGCAGCAATTTGATTTGCGGCCTCCACTGCCTGTTGTCTCTGCCGTAGAAACTCCAAAAACTGATCCGTGAAGCTGTGCGCGATCAGAGCAGACTGCTCGCCGCCAAGATTGGCCTTGAGGTCTACATGTCGCCCACTTGTCATCGCCATAGAACTTGGTGAGATGCCACCACCCACAAGTTTCATCTCACTCCCCTGGAACTGGGCAATGCATTCTGCCTGAACTCCACCAAAAAGGGAACATAGGAGGAGCAAAAGTTTCCAGCCCAATGAGCTGTTGGCTTTGTGACCCGGCGCCCTGCGATGGGGGCAGGGCCCGGGCGCGCACCATCATTCCTGGCGCTGTTTCTTCGCCAGCAGTGCCTCCAGGTTTGCAAAGCCAGAGCGGATCTCCCCAGACAGGGAGCTGATGTTCTGCTGATTCTCTCGAACCTGTCCCGTCAGGACATTGACATCCTGGCGCAGCGCGGCTGTGCTCTGGCCCGCTTCTCCAAACCAAGTTTCAAACTTCTGATTCTGCTCTCGAAGCTCCGTAATGCCAGTCTCAAGTCTCTGGAAGCGTTGCTCCGTCACATCCTTGAGGCTGTTCTCAACGACTTCATGCATCTGTGTCTGCAACCTCTCCATCTTTGACGACCTGGCCATGGGAGCGTCTTGTTCAGCACCTTCTCTGAACTTGTTGTATCCACCCCAAGGGTCAACACCATTCCAGGGCATGACATTCTCCTTGTTCTGATCCTGATCACCACGAGGACCCGCAGGAGTCTTCTTGAGGTAGGTCTTGGTCTTGGAAGAGGCCAGAATGACTGGTTCCACCCGTTCCGGTCCTTGTTTCTTGTGCACCGAGACCAGGACATCACCGCTGCTGGTCTGGAAGACATTCATCGGTGGGGGAGATTCAGCACCCACCAACCAACCTTGTCCGTGCTGATCTGCTTTGAAAGGCTGCAAGACACGCGCTTTCCATCCCCACTGCTTCAAGAGCTCCCTGACCCCAGCTGTTTGAATGCCATATGGGAGTGGCCTCAATTCATACACCATCTGCACGTTCACATGCTGGAAGGGCTTGTCCGGGAACAGCTCTTTGTGAACCATCTCTGCGTCACGGCACAAAACACGGATGCCATACCGGTGACCGAACCTGGCAAGAGCCACCCCACGATCGCTGACCTTCAACTTGTGGATGGCCTCCTGCTTGTCACTGCCAGGCAACCAAATGATTGAGAACTCCTCAGCGGGGCTTTTCCCATCCTCCCGGCGAGGTTCCAAGTAGATGCCATCTTGACCTGACTTCTGCTGCAAGCCATCCGTGCAGATGCAAGGGATGCGCATGTGCACTTGGAAGTTTTCAGCCTCTTCCGGTGCAGTTCTCTTTCCCTTGTTTCCATACCAGCCCCTGTTCCAAAGATCCACTACGACCTGGTCAATGTCGTAGTCCACTGGTGCATGAAAGCGTTTGCAGCCAGGTCCGCATCTGTCTCCACGGCACAAAAGGAGCCTGGGCATGGCCTCGATGATCTTTTTCACTGGAGAGGCTGTGAAGTCTTTCCAACTCCCCACCCATTCATCCTGCCACACGATGAACTTGAACGTCTTCGTGTCGATGGGCTTCATGGATGCAATGCTTTCATCTTGTCTCCTCATCACGGAGCAGTCTCCAAGCTGGACAATGGATCCCTCGATGAGGATGATCTCTTTTGTCGGGAGATAGATCGCCGGAAATCTGAGATTGGTGACCGGCATCAATCCCTGGCTCGCAGGGGGTACTGGAGCTGTGGTAATGATGGCAAGGGAGTCCATTGTGATAGACTTGTCCTCCCTCAAGAAGGGCCCCACGTCCTCCAAAGTGCCAAACGCTACCCCAGATTTGTCAGCCGCGACACTGTCCATGTCCAATTGGGCAAGCTCTCGTCCATCTTCTGCCACGAAGGATCCGGCCACCAGCCCAAGATACTTGGGATCCATGTTGACCTTGCTCCCAGATGATGGGACTTCCTTCTTCTTCTCAGACACAGAAGCCTTGTACTTGGAGTGTGCCCTGAAGCGAATCTGCTTGTCCAACTCATCTGGCTTGACCCAAAGGTAATTGTGTTTGGGTTGTGATCCCAAGGCTTTGAGAGCTGCCCATGCATTTCTGCTCCTGAGCGCTGCCTCAATTGCCTCACCTCCGATTTTCTTGAGGGCTAATGAGGCCCTCTCTTCCGTCTTCTCCGCTGGGACACCATGCTGATGTAGAAGATCACGAAGTTCCATCATGATGTGCTCTTCCAAATGATGTCGTCCCCATCCATAGATGCTGCCTTCGTTGCACATGAGCAATCCTGCATGCCAGTCCTCTTCATTGGGGATGCATCGATCATTCCAATATCCAATGGCATGGCCAAGATGCATCAGGGCAATCGTGCCACATGTGAACTGGCTTTCCTGAGAAAACTCCGCATTGAACGAGACCACCAGTGTGCGAATCACCAAGATTTGCCTCGCTTCCTCTGCAAAGACCCAGATCTGGTTCCTTGCTGGGTGGTCAAGCCCATCCCAGCACACCACATGTAGTGCGTTTCCACTGACTTTCATCTCCACGTAGATCCAATGTCCTTGAAGAACAGCACATCCACGAAGAACTCCATGAAGCGCGGCCACCAGCCAATGATTCACCATCACGTCCTTGGTGTGTTGAATCAACAAGGAGCACTGCATTGAAGGAATCAAAGTGCCTTGTCCATGTAAGTCCATCTCCTTGAGCATTTTCTTCGCCCACTTGTCCATGCACTCATTGCCGAGACCCTTTTCACATGAGCCTACAAGGCCCCATGCACAGACTTCGTGGTGGAGGTTGTACTGCACGAAGCAGACCTCATGCATGATTCGTTCATCCAGTCTCCACTCATTGCCCTCTGCATCAATGATGTTCTTGTAGTACACATGATGGAGTCCGGGGACGCTCCTCATCACCTCAAAGACGAAGGTGCCTGCCATCACCTGCATGACATGGTTGAAGGAGCTCCCATCGCTCTGTTTGATGACAACCGTCGTTGTGACCATCTTGGGTTCCACCTCCTTCTTTTGGCGTTTCAACCGGCGGTACACCACCAGCTCACCTGCCACTGCACCATGGGTGATGTCATATTCCATGGGAAGTTTGCCATACAAGTCATGAACCTGACGTAGTTCTCCACCTCCTTGAAGTCGGGTTTCTGCCTCCAGCATTTCTCCAACCGTGGTGGTGGCTTGAAGCGTCATTTCAATCTCATTTCCTTCTTGTGCATCCTTCAGCTGTAGGGGAGCCTGAATTTTCTTCGGGACAAGTCCATGAGCTTGTCGAAGAAGCCACATCTTCTGCTGTAGAAGCACTAACCTCGGAGTACCCTGACTGCCCTGCATAGCATCCACTAGGTGAGCTCCCATCCATGCCGCTTGAAGTGGAGAGGCGCATTGCCCCACCAAGCACAAGCCTGCTCGAAGATCACTGGGCAGCTTCATCATTGGATCAAGGCCGCAAAGGAGTGCTGCTTCTCGAGGATGCAGCCATCGATGCCTTCCTGTCTTCATGCTGACAATGTAGAATCCCCTTGCTCCATCTCTGAGCAGGCGGTATTGGCTAAAGCCTGTCGCTCTGCATCCACATGGGCATCCTCGCAGGATCGTGCTGTAGCTGTGCAGGAAGCAGGGTGCGATGTCCTGCCTGGTGAGTTGGCGTAGATCTCGACCATATCGGCAGTCTTGCATGACCTCCAATTCCTGCTCAGTCAGCTGGAGGTTTTCTTCTTCCTCCAAATCCCATTGAGGCCAAGCAGGGACACAACGACGGCCACATTTACAACAAGATGAGACATTTCTTCTGTGATGAGTTGTGCATTATGGACAGTACGATACTTCCAAATCCCATGCTTTATATGGGTTTATCGTCATTTTCTTGCCTTTTTAGACACAAAAAGATCCTTCCTTCCGTCAGTAGCAGGCATCCTAGACATGCAGCTGAGTAACGCAGACTGGCCGGGCATCATCAGTAGCTGCATCGCCTTGCGCTTGGACAGTTCCAGTTGGACAAGGGAAACATAGAATATGAGCACGCATGCAACATGTCATACATGTCATACGTGTCATACATGTCATATATGCCTATATGTCTAAAATATGTAAAACTGTATATATGTATATACATATAGATCATATGTCCATATGTGCATGTATGCATGTATTAATGTATGCATGTCTGCACATGTTTGCATGTCTGCATGTCTGGCTGTCTTGCCTGTGTGTATGTCTGTCTGTGTGTATGTCTGTCTGTGTGTATGTGTGTGTATGTCTGTCTGTGTGTATGTGTGTCTGTATGTCTGTATGTCTGTGTGTATGTGTGTCTGCATGTCTGTATATATCTATGTAGGTATGTAGGTATGTAAGTATGTAGGTATGTAGGTATGTAGGTATGTAAGTATGTAGGTATGTAGGTATGTAGGTATATAGGTATGTAGGTATGTAGGTATGTAGGTATGTAAGTATGTAGGTATATAGGTATGTAGGTATGTAGGTATGTAGGTATGTAGGTAGGTAGGTATGTAAGTATGTAGGTATGTAGGTATATAGGTATGTAGGTATGTAGGTATGTAGGTATGTAAGTATGTAGGTATGTAGGTATATAGGTATGTAGGTATGTAGGTATGTGGGTATGTAGGTATGTAAGTATGTAGGTATGTAAGTATGTAGGTATGTAGGTATGTAGGTATGTAGGTATGTAGGTATGTAGGTATGTAAGTATGTAGGTATGTAGGTATGTAGGTATATAGGTATGTAGGTATGTAGGTATGTAGGTATGTAAGTATGTAGGTATATATAGGTATGTAGGTATGTAGGTATGTAGGTATGTAGGTAGGTAGGTATGTAAGTATGTAGGTATGTAGGTATATAGGTATGTAGGTATGTAGGTATGTAAGTATGTAGGTATGTAGGTATGTAGGTATATAGGTATGTAGGTATGTAGGTATGTGGGTATGTAGGTATGTAAGTATGTAGGTATGTAGGTATATAGGTATGTAGGTATGTAGGTATGTGGGTATGTGGGTATGCATGAATACATAATATAATCAACACAGAATATACATCTACCTTCGAATCACGGATGAACACCCTGCACTCCCTTTGTCTTGCACCCGCTGATGGCTTGAGATCCGTGCCTAGGATGTCTTTGGGCACCGACGTGTCCATTCCCATTTCGCCTGCACGGTGCCAAATCCGCCCAGTTCAGGTCAAGGATGAAGGCGTTTCAATCAATCCAGCACAGCTTGATCTCTTCAACACATGTCAGGAAGCCTCCAACCTTTGATCCTTCATTGAAGGTGTATGAATCACCTGTCGCATTCTGACGAGTTGTAGCAGGGGCCCCCAGGTTCAACAGGTCAAAAAACAAATCCAGCTGCTACATGAACAAGGGGAACAAAGTGTGCATCCGCAACCAACAGATTGTTTTGGCCCAGCTTGGATTGAGGGGAAATTTGTGGTCAACCGTTGTATTTACCAAGTGCTTACCATTGGCGGGTTCCCTGGGTTCTGCCTCAATCCAATGCCATAAAAAAGAGCACAAACCCGGTACCTGTGATGGGCCACACGGCTCGGTGTTGTCCTTTGGGAAGCAGCTTCACACCTCGAAACTCGTTGGGGGGTGATTTGGGATCATCACAGCTGAAGGATGAACACAAAAAAACAAACACACCTCAGCATCACGTCCCATATATTTCGGCACCTCTCCCCAGTTTTGATAGGTGATAGAGTTCCTGATTTTTTACATCTGGAGGTTTCCTGAAATTCGACCCCCAAATCAGTTGATTTTCGGATTTTCGATCAACCATCCCGCTGGGGTATCGCCAGCTCAGCCTGCCTTCACCGTCAGGATCCAACACACAGCGGTCTGCCGGCAACTCGTGGGTCCGTGCCACCAACGCTGTCAGAAGCTCTTCGGCCTTTTCAAAAGGATGGGATGAAAACAAATGGGCCGGAAGCTTGAACACCCCAGGTAATGGAATATATTTGTAGAGTAAATGCATGTATATATATATATATATCATAATATGTATATATATATATGATACTATATGTATATGTCATAACATGTATATATCTTAATATATGTATATACCATAATTTATGGATATATCATAATATATGTATATATTATATATCATAATATGTATATTAATATATGTATATGCAATAAGATGTATGTATATATATATATCATACCATATACATATATCACAGTAACTCATAATGTATGTATATACCATAACATACGTATATATATATATATATGTCATAAGACATGATCTATCTATCTATCTATCTATCTATCTATCTCTCTCTCTATATATATATCCCTACTATATATACATATATACATACATTATAATATAATGTATATGACATATGTATGTATATTATGTACATGTATAATATAGTGCAATATATCATGCAATATCTATCTACTCATCTATCCATATATCTCTCAATGTTTTCGTATGATATCTCTTAAAGTGTTCTATCTCTGTCTCTCCAACCAACTTCGTGTGCCAAGAACTGCTTCATTGCCAGGATCCCTACCTGCTTCATGTGGGACTCGGAGATGTCTTGACTTTTTGCCGCCTGAAGCAAAATTTCTGGATGAAAAAACATGATCAACCATGAGATTTTATGTTTTTGTTTTTTCCCCAACATTCATTGAGAACCCATGGTTGGGCTTGTCTGAACATATTTTGTTTGCGCCGACTTGATGGTCTATCATCACCTACCCCATCAAATTAACATAAGTAAGCATTTGGGGGTTTCGTAAAGTGGTGGTACCCCAAGTCACCATGGGTTTCAATACTAAGTAATGGTAATCCATGACTTGGATGATGTGGGGTACCACTATTTTAGGAAACCCCCATTTGGCGGTATATCTCCTGCCTGCACAGCTGCTCTCAAGTCCTCGATGTGCCTCCAACCGGCCTTGCGCACCTGACGGCCGCCACAGAAACTGGCCAACACCAAGCATCAAACAGGCAAACCACTCTGTATCCCATAGTACTCCTAATTCCAATGGTTCCAAGAAAAACAAGGGATACGCTGACGGCATCACGTACAATACATTCACCCTAATACTAAAACACCACCCAGAGATCATCGTTTAGTAGAGAATTGACATATCTTTGGGACCATTCAATGGGGATGTTCAATATTGGGGGATGGGCGATGGGATTAACCAACCATCAACTTCAGATTTATAACTGGGATATCAGGATATCACCAGTCATGTGGGGATACAATGGGATATTAAATAATGACATATGACATTTTAAACCACATTTTCATAATTGTACATGGGTCTGATTTTCAAAGCAATTCTAATTGTGGGATATCAATTCACTATCTAGGAAACGGTGCTTTCCTAAAATGGGGGTAGTCCCAAATCATCCATTTTAATAGGGTGTTCAATTACAAACCATCCATTTTAGGGATCCCCCATTCATGGAAACTTCCAAATATATGCCCCATTTTCAGAGCCACATACAAAGCACCTCCGTCTCAGCTGCTCTGCTTTGAGTTGTGGCGTGCCACGGCCTTAGGCTTAGGCAGAACACGTAGCATGGATTTCACACCATGGATTTTTCAATTGGATTTTTAAACGGATTTCACTGCTTTCTAAAGCTCAAAACTTGGATTTCACTGGTTTGTATTGGTTTGTATTAGTTTGTGTTTGTTACAATCTGTCAAAATCACCTTGTTGCTTTGGCCCACATTTCAGGGCCTGCACTTGGTCTGTGTCTTAGATTTTATCCAAGGTCGGTACTTTCCCAGCACTGGTGGATTTGTCAGCCTGGACCAGACAAACTTTGGTGCCACCCATGAAAGATAGGGCCTCTCTGCACAACTTCTTGCCTCACTTGTGCCGCCCATCTTAAGTCGGGACGCGCGTCCTCCAGGGCCAAATTGATGCTGACAACTGGTAACTTTGCCCCTGGTCAAATCAAATCTTTCAATGAGACAATTCAACTCAAGGTTTTCGGTCACACAATAGTATCAGACAGGCACGGTTTACCAAACTACCCAAGTGGGATCTGCCCACACCGCGGCCCCCAGCTCTGTTGCACTCAAAAGCATTTCCCCAACAGTGACAATGCAAGGAAAACAGGAAATCAAACTGGCATCTTTGTATTTCTTTGCCATATTTGGCTTGGCCTTCACCAAACAAGCTTCCAAAACACACGCTGGACACCTACTTTTGCATTCTTTGGTGCTGATAACTTGTTGACAGCCAAAAACTATCACATGGCATGGGAAAAGTTGGATCCTTCCTCACAGAGTACAACATCTCACCTTAAAACGACATGCCACTACGTGCAGAAGCAGCATGCAACATGTTCCGCGAACGACCAAGTCCCCAGTTCTGCATGGCCAGAGTGTATTTCGATCACATGCGTGATGCACTTTTCATCAGGGTGGTCAGGTGATGTCAGGCACATGCTCTCACCATGGGAAGTCCTCTACAGCCCGCAGTAGATCCTTTTCCGCCTGGGGAGCGACCAGCCCGGCTTCAAAAGCATGGCAACTGATAGGCTGCCCCAGTTCTGCCCATTCAAAATTACGAACTCACCAGAAGTGTGGTTGGAAGATGTTGGAAGATAGGCAGTCTATCCAGGGCCTCCAATGTGCTCAGCCACTTCCTCAGCTACTGCTCCATTTTGGGAGGAATCCTGTGGTTAGGGTATACACAATACAATTAATGTACTGCAATGTACAATAAAGATGAATCATGTACTGTCACTGTAGTGATCTGGTATGGCGTATATTCATGTATATTCTATTGCGTTGTATATTAAAGCAACCCACTTTTGGCACCCAGAAAGAACGCGCAGGAGGAACCAAGGTTTGCCACGGCGATGCCAAGCTGCTCCCCCTTTTGAACGAGATCCTCGACAAGATCCACCCGTGCCTTGTAGTGTCGGAGAATGTGTGGAACAATCAGGCTCCACAATCAGTCATGTTTTTCTACTAAAATATGCAGGAAAACAATGGAAAACAAACCCCAGGTATGCATGTGAAACTATGCAGGAACTGTCTGACATTGTGTAACTATGCAGACTATGCATGTGAAGAAAACCCGAAGAGTGGCACAGTGGTGGTGTCATGATGTGCCATGTGGATCCATGTGGCGCCTGCAAGCCCCTTGATGTTGCAATTCGAATGGCATCCTTCAGTAGTCTAGCTTGTATTGGATCAGGATCATCCACTTTGGACACCAAATGCCGCATTCCTTTCAAAGTCGCAAGGTCCCAGGCATCCGCCAGAGAGCTAATGGCGTCATTGTCTCGTCGTTCCTCTTCGATCTCATGTGCAGGTCTCATTGGGGGCAGCGGTGCCTCTCTCTTCTTGTTCCTGGGCAGATTGCCCGAAGCGAAGAAGGTCACCGGATCGGCGTGGTAGGCATTCAACAAACGGGCAGGGCCGATGACCACCTTCCTCATGTATCCGGCATTGATCATACCCATGTAGTAACAAGCCAAACATGACATTGTCAAGCCAATCACCACCAGAACAGCACTTCCAGCCCAGGCATAGTCTCCGATTTGCTGTGCGAAACTCGGTCCGGCACTGGTTGTTCGAAGGTTGAGCAAGAAGGCTTGCTCTGGGTCCTCGGTTCAGAACATCATGCAGAGCCATTCAACATATTATAGCTAGTATTTAAATTTACATAGTACAATCTGGTAATTCAATATAACATAACCATGGAACATGATGTAATGTGACATAGCCATGGAACATTGTACTTGGAAAAATCATCTATAAATGAGCAATTTTCCAGGCCTATGCTAGATTGCTGGAGGGTCATGGTCAGTTCATGTGCAACCTCTTCCAACATGGCATAACATCTCAAAACATATTCAAAACATATTCTTGACACATGGCTAACTTCGTGCCAGCATCCATAGTAGTGGTGGTTACCATCAATGCAACTAACTCAGGCGGGAGAAAGCCAACCCACTCAGGCAACTCCAGACTCAGCATGATGGATGAAATTCGTTCACCGGCTGGGCACTCCCCGAGTGTTTCTCTGCAACAATGGTCGCCTGCAGGGCCCCCGCGGCTTCTTTTGTGGTTGCGAATTTGATCCGTAGCTGGGCTGTTAATTCTTTGTGAGGGTACCATTTTAGTAGAAAATTTGAAGACATTTTTTGAATCTTTTGAGGGCAAAGCACCAATTCACCTAGCAGGGTGTATTCATCGGTGACATTGAGATGTTAGATACAGACCCCAAGAACCTGAACAGTGCAAAATGCCACATGGCGGGCGGACCTAGACAGCCATAGGGGTCCCGACACATGAAGGGATAGTCTTGAGGACATCGCCACCGGAATTTGTGATCGCCGCAAACAGCCCATTTGTCAACCTCTCGAATGTCCACCTGGTGCCTGGATCCATCGGTGCATTCCAAAACGCTGTCTTCTGGAAATGGCGTCTCCCAGGGTAGTGGATCATAAGGCTTCCTTGAGAACAACTCATTACAGTTGTACAAGCGCCAGGGCAAATCCAACTTCTTGCAAGTGGGAGGAATGCCCGCAACAGGATATGCAGGGTTCGGATCCCCCAGTATGGTAAAGTGCTCACAGATGAAGCCTGCACAGTAGCCACTCAGCTGATACTTCAGGCTGAGCTCATAACCTCTCCGTCCAAGGAATAAGAATTCCAGAATCTTTCGCTCGCAGCCCCCCACCGTTGGAATTTGCAACCTTCCCATGGTCGGACACAGGCATTCACAAAAAGCTTCCGCGTCTCTGTAGGATGTCTCACAAAGAGTTTGGTTGAAATTCACCAGCGGTCGGCATTCATCATCTCCATAATGCAGATTCTGCCCCATATGTGACAAGTTTCCGGCCAGGTCTGCCAAGCTTTGACAATACCTTCTTCGGCAGTCACTCCAAGGACCCAGTCCAGCTGCAGCAAATTCGCGGCACTGCCGAGGAAACTCGTCAAGGAAGTCCGACAGAGCGTTGATCTGAAGCTGCTCGCAAACTTCGGTGGAATTTGGAAATGAGACATTGGTCCAGACATCATGTTTCGCACATGTCGCAGTTTCACAGTTGAAGCGCTGCGAATGGGATAGCAAAAGCAATATCTGCAGAATGCCAATCAGAAGGCATCCCACATGCCGGCGCACTAAAGGCATGCCGCAGTGTCTTTTGGTCTACCTGTGTAAGGCAACATTTCTGATTGCTGGTTGCTCTTAAGAATCTTGATGAAACAAGTTCTAGGATAAAGATTTCTCTAAAGAAGCTTTCTGGAGTCATAGGACAGCACAGTTGGCTACGAGGAGGACCGGAATGATAATGTGGGTCCTTCAAGATGGATGTCCGCTGGGACCTGGGTCATTCTGAACTTGCTCATTCTGAACTTGCTCATTCTGTGGTTTCTTCTCCTACTCTCCATCCTGAATCTTGCTTCAACATACCTTCATGCTTGAAGTGAGTTCAGCAGGAGCAGGCTTCTTGCTATGATCAACACAAGATAACATAAGGATAGAATTTCTACAGTACAGATGAACGATAAGCTTTTTCTATCTTTTTCTCATTGCAAACAGCACTTCAAGACTGGAATCACTGCAGTGTGAACCACCTTCAGATCGGAATCTTGTCCGACTCGAGAAGGAAGATACAGTCCCTGCTTTCAACAACTGTTCATGAACGAGTATCATGATGGGTATCTACGGCAGAATACAAGCAGCTTTAGCCATCAAGCAGCGTCACAGGTTTTCTGCGCGCAACATTTGGTGCGACAGGGTTTCGATTCAACATCACAAATTTTGCGACGTCGCACTCTTTTGGGGGCTTGGTGAGACATTTCCAATCATTTCCATGAGCCGCATGCGACAACTTCATTACACGATAGTACACGCACAAAAAGAATCCCTGCCACTGGCCGCTTAAGTCACTCGAGTGTAGCGGCAAATGTATCCAGGATATATCAAATCTTCGTCAAAGACAATGATCTCTCTGTAGGTGCCACGGATTTTTTCTCGGTCACCTAAAATGCTATGAAAACCACCCTTCTTTTTGCATGAGGATGCTAATGCATCTCCGTCCGGCCGCCTCTCGTCATTGTAATTCACCCGGCCCAAACATGAAAGACACAAGAGAATGGTGCGAATGCCGTTGGCCCCATGGGGACTTGTGTACTCATCACTCTTGGATACAGCCTGCCATTGACAAAAATCATCAGGTTTTCATCATGGATCAGCATGGCACGGCATGTCGCACTCCTACCAAATACCGCAGTGTGAAATCACGCGCGAACCGTTATCCCGGCCTCTGCAAGATAGACTCCATTGCCTCAACCAACAACGTTTTTGATTCCAAACATTTCCAAATGGATTGTCTGTGCTCCGAACCACCAAAAAACAGTCAATCTGGCAACCCAATATGCAAACCGGGTGGCACTCTTTCTGTTGAATAATGTTTGCGATCTTTCATCATGATAGACAATGCTTGACGCATTCCAGGTCTAAAATTACAAAGGCGAACCCAAGCACTTATAGCCCTTTTGGGAAGCTGAGGAAGGCACCATACAAAGTGCCAGCATTGCTTCCAGCCAGATTTAATCTAAAATCTCCTTCAGTTATGCCGGCTTCACCTTCAAGGGAAGTGCCATGATACAGCCAGTGCTCATTGACTCCTCCAGGATATTCATCTGTCCTGAACCAATCAGCTGCTTCTCCCTTGGTGCAGCTGTCAGTCCGGAGCTCACCAGTCCAGGCGGCCCCTTCCTCTGCCATCTCAGCCTGAACCTGCTTCCGTCGCAGGGCATATTCACCCCAGCTGCCGCAATTGAAGACCTGGTTGTCTCTCCAAACTTGGCTACCCTAAAACATCTCAAAATCAATGGTTTATCATGATTTCTCATCACTTTCTCCATATTTCTCCTATTCAAATTATGGCAATTTGATGCAAGTTGGGGGGAAATGCCCAATTCTCAGAGCAACCTGGTCCACCTCTTCCACTTTCAAGGACTCCGGAACTTTCTCACCCTTGCGGTCTCGGGTGTATCGCTTCAGGAAGGTATTTTCAAAGAGACCCTCCACCCAGTGAAAGGTGGGACTTCCTTTCGGAATCTCACGTTTGATCACGAGGTCACCACCTGAGAAGAGAATTTCCTTGATGCCACTTCCAGCCATCAGCCCCTCATGCAGGACTTCCAACAACTTCCAGGTCTTTGGCAGATGAAGCTCTTCGCTGTACGCGTTCACCACGGCTTCCAGGTCTTCGCTGGCCACCTCACATGGCACAGCATGACTATCCGCTGCATATGGTTGGATCCCACTTGCCAATCGGAAGACATGTATAATACAACATGACATGTATGTTTATGCAATGTTATACATACATACATACATAACATTACATTACATTACATAACATTACATTACATTACATTACATACATACATTACATTACATACATTACATACATACATTACATACATACATTACATACATACATACATACATACATTACATACATACATTACATACATTACATACATTACATACATTACATACATTACATACATTACATACATTATACATTACATACTTATTACATTCATTACATTACACATTACATACATTACATACATTACATACATTACATACATTACATACACTACATACATTACATACATTACATACATTACATACATTACATACATTACATTACATTACATTACATTACATTAATACATTACATTACATTACATTACATGACATTACATTACATTATATTACATTAATACATACATACATACATACATACATACATACATACATACATACATACATTACATACATTACATACATTACATACATTACATACATTACATACATTACATACATTACATACATACATACTTACATTACATTACATTGCATTGCATTACATTACATTACTTACATACATACATACATCCATACCATACCATACCATTACATTACATTACATACCATTACATTACATACCATACCATGCCATACATAAAATTCATACCATTACATACCATTACATACCATTACATACCATTACATTGCATTGCATTACATTACATTACCATACATACATACATACATACATACATAACATCACATCACATCACATAACCTACCATAACATAACATAACATAACATACATTACATTACATTACAATACATTACATTTCATTACATTACATTACCATACATACATACATACATAACATAACATGACATGACATGACATGACATGACATAACATAACATAACATACACACATATATATATACATACACATGACATATAAATACATCTACCAGATATTCTAAACATGCGTTTTTGATCATTTTTGCATATTCCTGAGCTAAGGACACTGGCCAAACCTCTGTCAAAGATGTCGACAAGCCACATTCTTGACAACTGCTGATAAGATTGTAGCACCTTTTCCCGGCGAAGCTTCCTCTTCGCCATCCTCAGATGTTGGTTTCGCTGCAATGATGTCTGCAATTAAGCCAGCGAAAAGAAATATGCCATATCTGGTGATGTCCGAGTTCGCATCCGCAGTCAAAGAAGAAGCCACCCATTTCAATCGAGATTGAATCTCTCGATTCAGCATTTCTTCAAAATGTGGGATCTCTGTTGCTTCACCATGATTCGCCAACTTCAAAAGCTCCCAAAAGTCACTCTTGATAAGGCGCCCAAGATCCGAGACGCTCTTCATGGCAATCTTGGCACCAGTGTTTTTGCCCAAGTTCACACGGGGATTCGTCTCGGCAAAGCGCCTAGCTTCCACGGAAAAGTCACTGGGCGATTCAGGAACCGACCAACTTTCCATCTTCCGCTGCATCAAAGTGGTCACAACAAAGGAGAGCTTTCCTGCCGAACAGGACACACTTCGCGGTTTCAAACAGAACAGCACCTCCCACCCTATATATATATATATTATAATATATATATATAATATAATATATACTATATAATATATAATATTTAATATATAATATATACTATATACTATATACTACAAACTATATACTATATACTATATACTATATACAGTACTCTATACTCTATACTATATACTATACTATATACTATATACTATACAATATAACATATACTATATCATATATACAGTAATGTATAATGTATGATATATATATAATATACGATATGTAATGTATACTACCAACATGTAATATATTATATACATAACACAAATAGCAGCACCAATAGTAACAATATCAATAATAGTAATAATTAGCAATAATAAATATATGTACATGTATGTATATAAATACACATTGATTAATATGATTCATGGGCAAACAATGACAAACATGTCTGAACTTGTCTCAAAACCATTAAAACACACACATTGAACATCATGTAGCAACGAGTAGCAATGAGTCGCCTCTGCTGAGTCTGGATTCATCGAGTGTTCTCACCTTTTCGAAGAGCAACGCCATTCTGATCAGTCGCGTGTACTGTGCATCTTTCTCCAGCGCATCAAAAGACTCGCAGACATGCTCGTACCTAGGTGGTTCGAGCCACACATTCCATAAACATGATTAAATCATACTAAATCATATTGAATCGTATTAAATCATCTTAAATATGAACGTCAATTGGGATCATCAATCTCTTTTTTAGCATGTTTTTTTTGAGCATTTTCATGAATGTTTAGGGATGAAAAAAGGATTCAAAAGGAACAATCAAAGCACCATCCAGAAACATGATCCGTTCCAGTAGTTGTTGTCTCTCTTGATTGTGCTTTGCACACTGACACGGGACATCTCTCCCGGCTACGTCGTTCACATGTGCAAATAGCGCTTCCGGATAGGCTCTCGCCATACGTTCCAGAATGGCGTCAGGCATGTTCTGTTTGAAGCCGCATAGTGCAGTGGCAAACGTTTGGCAAAACTGCTCTTCAGGCTCAGTTCCTTCCCCCAGTTGGACAAATTCACCTTCTGATCCAGCAAGAATTCCAGCAAAGATGGCTGCAAAGCTGACTTGGTGACTCGGCAGGCTGCGTGAATGGGGGCATACTCTTGCCATCCGTGGTACTGCTCCGTGGCCTCCAAGCTGCTGACTTCATTCAGATCTTTGATGTGTTCCAAGATCTCCCTGCTCATATCTTGTGCAGACTTGTCAGGCCCTGCTACCAAGGCGGCACAAAGGAGCTTGCCGCTTCCTCAGGGTCTATCTTCGACCAGACCTTTGATGTATCGACACCGACACAAGATACACAAGATTGAACAACGAAGACATTTTGTGAATTGAAAGCAACAAATTTCAGCAAAAACAGGACTTCAGAGTTCTTTATTTCAGCCCCTCCTGGGATTTTGTGGGATAGCACACACTTGCTAACCATATCAAGATCTCCCGCGATCACAAACGGCAACATTCCTTCTTGAAGAAGCCTTGTTGAAAAGTCGTACTTCAATGATCTGGGCACCAGCAATTCAACGCACTCCCAGCTTTGAATTTCCACTGCATGGATTAAGGGGTTCACCTCTGGGTCGTTCCTCCCGATGAAGGGCCGTACTCCTTCGTCCAGCAAAACTTTCAAGCAATCGGCTTGGCCATTTTTTGCTGCAGCGACAGTCGCTTCCCTCGCACCATGCTTCTTGACACAGTCGTCCCATCTGGAAATGAGGTTCTGAAGAGCAGCTGGCTGCCCAGAAGCTGCCAGGTGGCTCAGTTCATCGAAAAACTGATCCTGATAGCCACCATTTCCCCTCCTGGCCCCTTCAATCACCGAATCTGACAGCCGAACATCGAACTCCGGAGGTTTGGGCTCCGACTTGGCTTTGCCAGCTCCGCTCCCCATGGCCAAGGTGCTGCCAAAGGCAGTGTCAACGGCCGGAAAAGCTCTGTATATTTTGCCTATGGAATACATATTGACATTGATGTTGTGAGGTGGTGTGTATACATCTATGATATTCTATCATCATCTGTCTCCTTTCTATCTATTCGAAACCAATTCAATGTTCTCTTCTCTTGTCTTTGTTTCTTTCTTTGTTTGTTTGTTTGCTTGTTTCTTTCTGCCTTTCTTTTGGTCTGCCTGCCTGTCTGTCTGTTTCTCTCTGTCACTCTCTTTACTTGAATTTTGCATGATATATAAATATGTACATAACTATGCAGAATATACTATATACATACAGACATGAAATTCCCATTACCGAAGCTATCTGCAAGCTGCTCAGCGGCTCCAGGTGCAAGTTCAACATGACCATCCGCTTGGATGACAATAAAAAATCACCAGCATCACCAAGCTCTTTGTAATCATCAGCATATGACACCAACATCAGTTGCCAGATTGTGTCAGATCAAGGTTCAGGCCTCATCATTCACCAATGTGTCATCTGTCCATGCGGGGCAAGGCCCTGGCAGATCTGGCAGGTCAGCATCTTTGTTTTGTTCCTGAAAGCACTGACTTTGGACCGACTGTCAGAGTCAATCACCGTCTTTTGGCCAGGCCATACTAGTAGCTTCATGTCTCAAATTCGTGGGGCCGGAGTAACTGTACTGATCAACGGCACCCAGCATTTTCTACGGCTGCCTGAAATCTTGCAAAGCCGAGCTTATCGCTCGTGACTTGAATTATTGATAGGTTTATGTCCGTGCAAATCTAGTCTCTGCTTGAAAGGAATTGTAGACCAAGTCGCATGCAATGGCATGCATCCGCACCAAGAAAGCTGGACCACGGCAGTCAGAACTCGTCATGCTGCTCGGGGAAAACCAGTGGGCCGTTCTGGATCCCCACTACAGGCCTCCGAGGCTTTGAAAGGAATTCCAGCTTTCGTTGTTTACATTTTGCATCTTCTGTTTGGGCACGTCTTTTGAGAGATTACCTAGAATCTCATCATCTCATCGTCCTCAAAGTCGTGCCTGCCGCCTTGGAAAAAAGAACCTCAGTTCAATAAGTCAAAATCATTCACCAGAAAGAAATGACAATACAAACCATAATACCTCAGTTCATGACATCATATGACCTCCATCAAATCCTGGACAAGCGAATGCAGCGACCAATCGACCGCTCTTGCCGTCCCAGTGACTGGAGCAGTTCTGAAGACACTTTGGATCCGCCTAACGTGGAGCCAAAGTGTGGTTTCAAGCTGTTCCAATACGTATGGAAAACAATCCTGTTGTGGATAGATTGAACCCATCACACGCATATATATATATATACACACATATCCACTAAACATGTGGGTTATGGATAATAGATGATCATAGATGATCATAGATGATCATAGATGATAATAGATGATAATAGATGATAATAGTATTGTTCATTCCCAAGGTATGGACAACCCAACCCAACCAATAGCGAAATCTGAGAACAGCGGAAGGTTTTCGGATCTGGAACCCATGGAGATGCGATCCCAGTAGCAGGTTTGTGCCAGCCATTTAGCACCGATGGGCAATGGCACTCGGGCGGATGCATCTCCAGTAGGACTACTTGCTCCTCCTGAAACATGTTTTTTTTGCTGAAGCCAACTGAGGATATTGCTTTGGGGGATGCTTATTCGGCTTATTCATGTTCTGGAATCTTATGAATGTTTAAGGGCACTTTCCTGGTGCAAAGATCTTCAAAATAAAAACTGCCGGTCGCTTGACTTCGGGGAACTCAGTGGTAACAAGCAGTTCAAAACAATCGAAGGACTCTCCTCCGGCTCTTTTTCGACATGATCATCACTCACAACCTGGGCCAGAAACATGTTGGAATGCCTGGAAATGGCTGGAAACGATCCACACATCAAAATAGCTAGTTGTGGATGTTCATCCTCCATAGACAAAGATCAGAGGTTCTCCAACTTTGGGCATTCATTGGTTGAACCGGTTGAAACACCACCCAGCCAGAGGCACCTGTCGCATGTCCGTGGCTGAAAAATCCGTTACCCCACGTACCACATAATTAGCTATTAAATATATGCTATTATGGCTGCATCATCCATCATAATCCATCATAATCCATCATAATCCATCATAATCCATCATAATCCGTCATAATCCATCATAATCCATCATAATCCATCATAATCCATCATAATCCATATTTATGAATGATTTATTTATGTACATCTTCAAGTGCACCACCGCATTTTGCCAGCTTTGCCTCAACCTTGAGATCAAGCGTTGAGGCGTTCTGCGGATTCTCTTTGATGCTCTCCTTGTTCAACATAACATTGGTCCATTGGTCGCGTGGCTTTCTGTGAAAATGAATGAACATTGCATATCCAGTGGTTTATCATCATTTTGCCATAAACGTGCTTGTCTTATCTAATCTATTCTAAATTTGGGCTTGTTTAGCCCATTGTTGGACAAACTCATGCACAATTTGAGTGGCGCAACTTCCCGAACATGTTTCGACAAAAAGTCTAGGACACCAGCTTCTGCACTGTGGCGTGCAAATGCATCATCCTTTTTCACCTCCGCCTCGTTTGATGAGTCCAACGGTGAAGTTTTGGACCCGAGAACACAAGTTAGTGTCAATTGTTGAGCAATCAAAAATGTATCGTGGATCTGGATCCGATATCCCTCACTGGGAGCAGGTCGTTCAATGAAAAAACACATGCAAAGATATGCAAAGTATTGCCTCAACCTCCAACAGTGAAGGCTTCTCTGGGCGAGTGGATGGAGCTGAGCCAGTCTTCTCTGGACTGTCCTTCATTTTGGCTCATCTATATGGAGGTTTCGCAAATTCTGGTACCCCCAAATCATCCATTTTGACAGGATTTTCCATTAGAAATATAAACTATAGACATCTATAAACCATCCATTTTGGGCTATACCCATTTTAGGAAACCCCCATATAGTGATGTGTCAACTTCCACACCATCGTTGCTTGGGAACAGATAAGAAGCAGCATATCCAACATGCTTAAGCTTTGTTTCGTCGCAACCAGCCTTCGTAGGTTGGTCATCCGCCAATACACGATCCTCCACATTTCCACCTTCAAATCCACCTTCAGGAGCTGCCTGCCCGACCTGAATCGCTGCCAGCAGGACTTGATGCTTACTAAAAGAAACACTGAATATGAATGCTCGGAATGTGCAGAATGCCTGCAAAGCGCGCCCTGGATGCCGGAAGCGGAGATTCTCCTGTGAAGGGTAGAGCATACAATCGCTGTGGGCTCGGCTTTTGAACATGTTTGGAATCTAACAGCGGCATGACGTATTGATATGTTTTACACAAAGTCGCGCACAACGATAGGCTGTTCAAGTCTGTGGTTCAAGTCGCATTTCCTACAGTGCAAGCGAGGAACTGACTCCAGAAGACAAACATGTATACCTATGACCTGAGCGTTCTGAACACCTGGCCCCATCTGCAGCTCAATGCTGTTGAAACTTCAAGGTGTGTAGTGAGCATATGCACAGTTGCACCTCGTGGAAAGCAACATATTGATCCGGAACACATCGATATATGCAGCCACGTTGCGAGGAGAAGAACAGCAGTGAGAAACATGCCTAAACACAGTGATTCATTGAGGGTGCCATCATTTTGCATGGGTCAATAGTGGGTACCTTGACAATTTTCAGGTTTGCCAAAGAAGTGTTGCCTTAAAATACTGCACCCTTAAATCCCGTGCCCCTCATTTTCACAACTACACATTGCTATTAATTGTGTAAATCCTCCACTTTGCGGACACACCCAGATATCATATTGTTGCTTCCCAATTAATTAAATCCCAGAGATGCCAACAATTGATATAAACATATATATATATAATATGTGTAAACCCCTATTGCACCCCGTAGATATCCATTCAAACATGCCATCAGGAGGACCTGCTCGCTCTCCCAACGTCTTCCGAGCCATTGGGATCCGGAGTCAACGCCTGGGTTGGTGTCATCAAGCGTGGCAATCAAATATCCCTGAACTAAATGAAGGTTTTAATGGGAACATATGGGCACATCATCTTATAAAATCTTATAAATAAGTGGCCACTGGCATGGTTGCCTCTGTAAAATCACAGCTCAGCTGTCTAGTGTCCCGACAAACTTGGAGCATCATGGAGCATCTCAATATTGACATGTCGTCCGGGTTGGGAACAGTCACTGCTCGTGGCTATCATGTTTCGAAGAGAGAAGAGTGCCCAGTTCTTTTAGTTTTCAGGGAAGGCAAGCAGCTGTTGCTTTGGACATGCTTCAAGTCTCGAGGGTGCACCTGTGAGTGCAAACGGAGTCATATTCGCTCCGCATATCGTCACTCCATGATAAGGTGAGCAGCCAGTGGCCCATATCTTCCCAAAAAGTGGATCGGGCTGAGCTGGTATGGCAAAAACACATCAGATAGCACACAGAAACCACACATTTCTGAGATAAACAAATACATATAATACATATAATACATATAATACATATAATACATATATATATATATATATATATGATGCAGCCTCCCAGGTCCCCCCCCTCCCCCCCAATGGGTATGGGTATACAGGAGCTATGTTCCCCGCCCCCCCCTGTGGGTGGGGGGGTTAGTAGTAGTAGTAGTAGTAGTAGTAGCAGTAGGAGTAGTAGTAGGAGTAGTAGTAGGAGTAGTAGTAGGAGTAGTAGTAGTAGTAGTAGTAGGAGTAGTAGGAGGAGTAGTAGTAGTAGTAGTAGTTAGTAGTAGTAGTAGTAGTAGTAGTAGTAGCAGCAGCAGTAGCAGTAGTAGCAGCAGCAGCAGCAGTAGTAGTAGTAGTAGTTGTTGTTGTTAGTCGTAATGAGTAGTAGCTAGTAGTAGTTAGTAGTAGGAATGGGTATGGATATACAGGAGCTATGTTCCCGGCCCGCTCCTGTGGGTGGGTAGGGGGGTGGGGGGGTTAGTAGTAGTTAGTAGTAGGAATGGGTATGGATAAACAGGAGCTATGTTCCCCGCCCCCCCTGTGGGTGGGTAGGGGGGTGGGGGGGTTAGTAGTAGTTAGTAGTAGTGAGTAGTAGTTAGTAGTAGGAATGGGTATGGATATACAGGAGCTATGTTCCCCGCCCCCCTCCTGTGGTGTGGTGGGGGTGTGGTACTGCGTATATATATATATACACATATATGTAAACATGTATGTGTATACAAATATATATATATACATGTATATATATACATATATGTAAACATGTATGTGTATACAAATATATATATATATACATGTATATATATATATGTAAACATGTATATATATATAAGTATATGCCTATATGTATGTATGTGTACATATATATATATATGTGAATATGTGTATGTTTGTGTATCTATATATATGTATATTTCAAAAGGAAAATGAATATATATATATACATACATATTTGTGTATGTATCTATAACATGTAGATAAATAAATAACATAAATAAATAACTAAATAAAATAAAATAATTAAATACATAATATATATATATAGGAAGTAGCTACATAGCACATGTATATATGACTATAGGTAGCACGTAGGTACTTTGAGGGAGTATGTGTGCTACGTGGCGTCTAAAGGGTAGCATGTACCTAGTAAATGGGAGGCTGGTAGTCAGAATCGCTGCAAAAACCTAGCAAATACGAGGCTGGACCTCAGAAATGCTGCCAATGGCTTGCAAATAGAAGGGAAGGAGGGGTGCTACCTGGAGACCCATCCCATTCGGGGGGGAGAACCTCGTGGGCGGAAGACGGGATCATATATATATATATATTATATTATATATATATTTAATATATTTTATATATATATACATATATATATATTATATAATATATATATATATATTATATATAATATATATATAGACTATATATATATTATATATTATATATATTATATATATATTATATATATAAATTATATATATATATATTATATATATTATATATATTATATATATATTATATATATATATGATGCAGCCTCCCAGGTCCCCCCCCTGTGGGTGGGGGGGTTATTGTTATTATTATTATTATTTTTAGTAGTAGTAGTAGTAGTAGTAGTAGTAGTAGTAGTACTAGTAGTAGTAGTAGGAGTAGTAGGAGTAGTAGGAGTAGTAGGAGTAGTAGTAGTAGTAGCAGCAGCAGCAGCAGTAGTTGTTGTTAGTCGTAGTGAGTAGTAGTGAGTAGTAGTTAGTAGTAGTTAGTAGTAGGAATGGGTATGGATATACAGGAGCTATGTTCCCGGCCCGCTCCTGTGGGTGGGTAGGGGGGTGGGGGGGTTAGTAGTAGTTAGTAGTAGGAATGGGTATGGATAAACAGGAGCTATGTTCCCCGCCCCCCCTGTGGGTGGGTAGGGGGGTGGGGGGGTTAGTAGTAGTTAGTAGTAGTGAGTAGTAGTTAGTAGTAGGAATGGGTATGGATATACAGGAGCTATGTTCCCCGCCCCCCTCCTGTGGTGTGGTGGGGGTGTGGTACTGCGTATATATATATATATACACATATATGTAAACATGTATGTGTATACAAATATATATATATACATGTATATATATACATGTATATATATATATACATGTATATATATAAGTATATGCCTATATGTATGTATGTGTACATATATATATATGTGAATATGTGTATATTTGTGTATCTATATATATGTATATTTCAAAAGGAAAATGAATATATATATATTTACATATTTGTGTATGTATCTATAACATGTAGATAAATAAATAACATAAATAAATAACTAAATAAATAAATACATAACTTAATAAAATAAAAGAAAATAATTAACTAATTAAATAATATATATGTATATATATATATATACAGGAGGTAGCTACATAGCACATGTATATATGACTATAGGTAGCACGTAGGTACTTTGAGGGAGTATGTGTGCTACGTGGCGTCTAAAGGGTAGCATGTACCTAGTAAATGGGAGGCTGGTAGTCAGAATCGCTGCAAAAACCTAGCAAATACGAGGCTGGACCTCAGAAATGCTGCCAATGGCTTGCAAATAGAAGGGAAGGAGGGGTGCTACCTGGAGACCCATCCCATTCGGGGGGGAGAACCTCGTGGGCGGAAGACGGGATCATATATATATATAGAAATGTACACTCGCAAATACACATGCTCATGCACTGCAGATGCAGCTACATGCAGATATAAGTAGAAACCTAAATATATAGGGATATACAGTATTCTATGTTCATACGCACACGCCTTGGAGTTGCACAATCCCTATCCCCGCCCACCGATCTGCGGGTGCAGATCTCGGCCATCAGCCAAAGTGGGACCGTGCAGCCGATCAGGTCCTTTGAAGTCTTAACAAAAACAAACTCTATGCTTTTGTGGAACCAGTAAGATGTCATAGTGAAGATACTCTGTTTCTGAACCAGTATACTGTATATAGACAAAAAGACCCTAGAAAACTGAAAAATCCAAATATATTTTTTTCTCTGCTTTATCCAGTGACCAAAACAGGATACTGCTAATGTTTGGGGTCTGAACGTTTGACACCAAACGGTCATTTTCAGGGCCCACAAGCCGTATGGCTGTAGGAAAACTGATGCAGCCAGTACAACTGAGATCCCAGGAAGTTGATGTGGTTTGCTGAGAATTCATGTTGAAGTATGCTTAAAGCCATCCTTGATGAGGACCTATTCAGCCCCTGCACTGGGCTTAGAGACTGCTGCGAATGACTGCAAAATTCAAATGCATCCACAGATATCCACAGGCAGCCAACTCTGTGCTAAAGGAGCTTCAATATCCACTCGGCATGGCAAGATATACTGTAGCTCCAGTTGAAGGGTGTATCGTGAATCTTTGCAACCTAGAATAAGCATATACTGAGTCAGACCTATATCCAGGACTGAACAGGCAGTCCAACCAAAACTGTATTGCATTGCTTAGAAATGTCTCTGGACAAGATATCAAGAATCACGAACTTGAATCATGGCCGATCTTATCCCATCCAAAAGAAGTTGTTGGCCGGGTATATTCAATTGTCAGTTCCTGAGTCGTTCTCACCCATGACTAAGCATGTGTTGCCACTTACCGACATTGGCAATCATTTGGACCGAAAACAGTGACCCCTTAGTGCATTCCTTCTCCGCTGATCGCGGCATAGCCATCCTGGAGTCTCTCTTGCTGTTAGGGGAAACAGTGATTAGTTCCTTATACTCTTGGGTGCAACTACGCCGATAGTCATCTGCAGAAGGAGGTGAAGTGAGGCCAGCTACCCGCATGGTAGCGGAGCCTGCGGGCTCAGTGATGTACTCGAGTGGACGGGTAGCAATGGGACGATTCAGAGGAATCGTGATGGGGTCCCGATGTGAAATGGTGATCCTACACTGCTGGTTGCAGAAGCATGTCTGCGGTACGAACAAACAGTAGTGCGAGAAAAGAGGTACTTGTGTGGCCCCAGGATCGCCAGTGAGCTGAGTTGCCCAGCAAAGAGAGTTTTGTTGGGACGTCCAGCTGATTGGCTATCCTTTGATGGGGGGGTGCGGCGTCTGTTAGAGGAGCTGAGGGTCGGCAGAGGTCAGCCAAAGGTTCCAGAGATGTCTGAACTGTTGATGAAGTACTTCAAAGGTACAAAGAGGACCAAAGGTGAAGGTATGAGCGACTATGTGACGAGGAAGGCTGAGGCATACACCAGGGCTCAACATTCAATGGCCAGGTATCTCCAAGAGCAAAAGTCCGGAGCTTCTTGGAGTAACAGGCCACAGTCGTCGTGGAATACAGGGCACAGTCAGAACATGGGAAGCTCAGTGACGGCAGATCTACAAGACACAGCCGGCGATGATGAAGATCGCTGGGAGGCTTATAGCCAAGTTAGCTCAGCCGCGGCTCGGGTTGAAGAAGCACCGAGCCAAGAACAAAGAAGTTCCCGTGGGAATCAGGAGCTTGAACTGTCCTGGTGGCGTCAGCAGGGATGGGATGATTACTCTCACCGTCGTCCTTGGGGAAACTATGGTGGCTGGCATAGCGAAGTTACCTACGACACAACCGAGTGGGGACGGGGTCAGCTGCCAGAGATTGTCCCAGCCTTCGTGCAAGGATGGTATCTCTTCATAGACTCAGGGCTGGATGTGATGGAGCGAAACGTCCTACAGGCTGAACTCAGAGGTGATTTCAGTGTACAGGCCGTAGAGGATGTTCTCCGAAGAAGAGAGATGCAGAGAAGGGTAGATTCCTGGCTAACCTAGCTGATGCTGAAGAGTCCTACGATGAGTGGTCCTGGCTTGGGGAGTGTGATCCAGAGCAGCTGGAAGCTGAAGGTTTTTCAGCTGATGAGATCACTTGCATGATGACGGAGCAGGGCAACCAGAAGGAGGCACTGGCCGTGATCCAAGAGGCACGTCGGACTCTGAGGGATGCCAGAGCACGCCAACATGCAGTTCGCACATCCCGGCAGTTTTACCCAGTGAAAGGAGGAGGACCCTTGGGTGCTGCACGACCCGGAACCAGTGGTGGCAAAGGGGGTCCCATGAAATGTTTCAGATGCGGTGGACCACACAAGATCGCTCAATGCACCGAACGTCCTCGTGACAGTGCCAATGTCACCATTTCCACTGATCAGGATGAGCAAGCTACGTTCATCTTTCTCACCGAGCACGTCGTGGATGAGCAGGAGGCCTGGGTCTGTGTGGGGCCGGATGATGAAAATCGTCTCACGACCTCACAGATCGTTGAGGCCGGCAACGCAGTGATCGATGGGGGAGCCACGAGGTCAATTGGTTCCACGTATGCCCTCTCCAAGGTTCTTGAGCCCAATGAGGCAAAACATGGCCGCGATGGAATGAGGGATCTGGACCTTACTGACAGGCCGTCGTTCGGATTTGGAAACTCCAGCCGTGACCAATGTGTCTCCACGGTGAGTCTTGATGTACCGTGGAATCAAGGTGCTGGAGTTCTCAAAGTTCATGCACTGGACAAAGGAACGTCTCCCATTTTGCTGTCCATAGACTCTTTGAGAAAGCTGGGTGCAGTGATGGACTATTCCTCCAGCTGCGCAGTTTTCCGTAGCGTAGATCCGAAGAAGCTGATCCATTTGGAACAGTCAGCGGCAGGGCATCAAGTGCTTCCTCTGACGGATGATGCGTTTGTGCCATCTTTTTTAGATTTGTGCTAGGGACAGCTCCTTTCCACTCGCTTCCCTGCGGTGAGTAGAAAGGTCAAATCTTGTGCAGGTAGGAGTCATGGGTGTGAAGAAACTTTTTTGGGAGAGGATCATGTGAATGACAAAGGTAGGTGCGTTGTTCAGGGTTCTACGGTCTCGAGTGTTCGCGCTTCGAAGCTGCTGGAGTGGCCAGGAAGGAAGGAGGATGAACCCAATGAGAAAACAATAAGCCTTGGAAAAGGCCCCGGGGTTTTGGGGAAAGGAAGGGGGAGGAAGGATCAACAAGATGAGAGGAAAACAATAAGCCCCGAAAAAGCCCTTTCCCCCAGCATCCCACGCGCGCTCCAATTGGAGCAGGTCGGGATTGACCCGAGAGGGTCGGCGGACAGGGGCCAAGAATGAAGCTACTTGTGAGAGGCTAAAACAGGCAGCATATCGCTGCGAACCGGATGTCTTTCAAAGTCTTGTGTCTCACGGACGGCCAGTATTGTTTGAGATTGCGTGCTCACAAGAGAGCAGGCTTTCAACTTGCATGCAGCAAATGTGCTCGGAGCCAGAAAAGGTGCGTCGTTTTGCGTTTTGGAACGGTTATGATGATATCTCCAAAAGTTCAGGGGTTAGAAGCATCATGAGTTGTATTGAGAAGGAAAAACCTCTGCATGTGTGGTTGAGTTTGGGATGTGGACCGTTTTCACCAATGCAAAACGCAAACCAGCGAACTGAGAAACAGAGAGAGGAACTCAAACTGAAACGAGCTGAATGCATGCGGCAGTATGTAGGTGGTCTGTTGATTTACACTTTTTGTCACCAACTTGGGATCACTTGCACTTGGGAATGGAGTGAACGTTGCCATGCTTGGAGGCTGCCCATGGTTCAGAGGGTTTTCAAAAGGATAAAACCAAGGTTTGTGGTGGCCAAGGGTTGTCGGGTTGGTCTCAAAGACCAGAAAACCGGCCTGCTGTTGCAAAAGGGTTGGAAGCTAGCCACCACTCATGAACTGTTGGGTGATCGCATGAACATGCCATGCCAGGGTAATCATGAACATGGAACATGTCAAGGACACCTCACTAGAGAGAGTGCGTACTATACTGAGGCATTTGCAAAAAGGGTCTGTCGTGCCATCTTGGATGGAACTACTCACCAAGGTCTCTGGTCAGAACTCCGGTCAACGGAGTCTCTGATCGCTCAGAGCTTAGGCTGCACTTGTGAGGACGTTTGTCACCCTAGTAGCAATCTGCAGTGTAGTACGTGTGAAATGAAACAGCATAAGGAGGATCCGTTGAGCATGGTGAATCCAGAAGAGGTGGTTCCTTTTTCGAGCGAAGAGAGAGAGAAGCACCAAAAGATGCTGTATCAACTTCACCGAAACACTGGTCATGGTAGCATGGAAAACTTGGTTCGGGCCCTTCGGGCAAGAAACGCTGACCCCCGGATAGTAGAATTGGCCAGGAGCTTAAAGTGTTCTGTGTGCGAGGAGTCAGCACGTCGGACCCCTAGACCTCGAGCGATCTTGGAGCCACTGCCTCCAAAGTGGAAGGTGGTGCAAGCGGACAGTGCCTATTGGACACATCCAACCACTAACAATCAGATTCAGTTTATCCTCATGGTAGACGAAGGCTGCAGGTTTAGGGTAGGACAGGTGATCCAAGGGGGTTCAAAAAGGGGAGTTGCTGGAGCCACTATGCTTTGTTTCTTTCAAGAACAATGGAAACCTATCTTTGGGAAACCTGACAAACTTCGAGTGGATCCAGCAGGCGCATGTCGCTCCCGCGAACTGGAAGCCTACATGGAGAGTCAAGGGATTGAGTTGGACCTGGTGCCTGCTGAGGCTCATTGGCGCATATCACATGTTGGAAAAGCCATCGGTAGCGTGAAGCACGTCATGAATGTTTTAGCCCGGGAAGAACCCTCAATCACCCCGGAAGAAGCTTTTGCGGAAGCTATCAGGGTTGGTAATGAAAAAGAGGTGGTAAGGGGTTATTCTCCATGTCAGCATGCTTTAGGCAGGACACCGGATGCTGCAGGCAGAATCCATGTCAGTGAATTGGATGAAGTTCCCCCAATCTTGTGTGAAAATAGTCAAGGGGAATTCCATAGGAATTGGGAGCGCATGAAACAGGCTGAACAAGCTTTCACTGAGTACGTGTACCAAGAAAGGTTGTCCCGGGCGAAGAACAGCCGTAACTATGCCCTGAAGGATTTCACCCCTGGGGATTTGGTTTATGTTTGGAGAGTTCAAGACAAAAAGAGTGTCAAGGGAACCAAGAATGGGGGTTTTACGGGTCCGGCTAGGGTTTTAGCAGTAGAAACTCGTCGAGATCCTGAAGGCAATCTGAGGCCAGGCTCGGCAGTGTGGGTTGTCAGGGGAAACCGGTTGTTAAAAACATGTCCACAACAACTGAGGAGAGCATCAGCTCGGGAAACGTGCTTAGAAGAATTGTCTCAGCCAGTGGATTTGCCGTGGACGGTGACGAAACTAACTGATGACCTAGGGAGTCACGAATTTGAGAACGTGATGGACGAGGTCCCGAAGGCAATTGAGTACGAGCAAGGACTGGACGAGGAGACCACCTCCGATGCGTGTGTATGGGAAAAGGACCGTGCCAGCATGTCCGATGTCAAGAGAGGCACGGAGGAAAGTGGAAGAGAGAAAAGGTAAAAGAAAAGATGAATCTTCAGGCTCACAGGATCAGGTGGTAATGAATGAGGAAAATGATTACGCTGAATGTTTCTGGAGTGACTCACTAGCGGCTGTAGAGGTGGCTCTAGACATGCCTGAAACGAAACGAGGCAAACAAGGTATGGTGGAGGATCTAGGAGCCTTCATGGTTAGTCAGCTGAGACGTAGGGCTGTTGAAGTGAGTGAAAGGTACCTAGATGAAAGTGAACTTGCTCAAATGAGAGAGGCGAAACAGATTGAAGTCAAAAAGTTCATAGGTGCTGAAGCGCTGGAAGTGCTTCCAGAACATTTGCAGCCCCCAAAGTCAGAAGCCATGCGAATGAGATGGGTACTCACATGGAAACGCTCATCAGGTGAAAAATCAGCTAAGGCGAGATGTGTCATCTTGGGATACTTGGATCCCCAATACGTCTTCCGACAGTCGGCTGCACCAACGATGTCTCGGACCACGAGACAACTGCTGCTGTGTCTGGCCAGTGCTTTGGGTTTCAAGGTGTACAAGGGAGATGTGTCTGGCGCCTTTCTCCAAGGAAGGGATTACAAGGGGACAGCCTATGTGATACCAACAGAGGAAATCTGCAGTAGCCTAAACATACCACCAAACTCTGTGACAAAACTCAAGAAGGCATGTTATGGCTTGGTGGATGCTCCGCTGGAATGGCTTCTCACGGTCTCTGACTACTTGGAGTCAATCGGCTTCACTCGGTGTGTCTCAGACCCCTGCTGCTTCAAGTATGTGGTCAAGGACAGGCTGATCGGTTTGATCAGCAGGCATGTCGATGATTTTCTGTTCTGTGGGCGAGAAAATTGTGCGACTTGGAAATCACTGTGTGTGATCAAATTAGGCGAAAGTTTCAGTGGGGAACATGGGAGGATGACCAAACTTGTTTTACTCAATGTGGAGTGTTCATACAGCGATTGTCGGATGGGGGTTTTGAACTTTCTCAAAAACAGTATGTAGATGATCTCAAAGAGATTTCAATATCCTCAGAGCGCCGTCGAAATATGCAAGAAGATACCACTGAAAGGGAGAAATCCAAGTTGAGAGCAGCGTTAGGAGCTTTGTCATGGCATGCACAGCAAGTAGGACCACATGTTGCGGCATCAGTAAGTCTCCTGCTGTCACCGGTCAATTGTAGCAAAGTACAACAATTGGTCGAGGTGAACAAGGTAATCCATCAGGTGAAATCCAACAGGAAACATGTGCTGAGGATTCACGGAGGGCTGAAACTAGAGGACTTTCTGGTTGCTGGTTGGGCTGACGCTTCTGGTCAAAATCGGATTGATGGGAAGAGCACTCAAGGCCTGGTAGTGGGAATCACTCATCGGGACTTGCTGAAGGGAAGCATGTGTCCAATCAACTTAGTGTGCTGGCAATCATCAAAGATTGGTCGTCAGTGTCGGAGCCGTGGTGCCGCTGAAAGCTTAGCTTCCATAGACTGTGAAGATCTGTTGTATGCCGTAAGACTGCAGTTGTTTGAGATGAAGGGGGGTAAGATTCAAGTCCGTCGGACAGCTGGCCATGTTCGCCAGATACCCGCCGTCCTGGTAACGGATAGCACCAATGTGTACGACAGGCTTCACAATGAGGTGTATGTGCCAAAAGGACCAGGGCGCCGTGTGGCTCTGGAAATGTTAGGTCTGAAAGATGCCCTGACTGAAACTGGTTTGGAATTGCGTTGGGTCAACAGTGATGCCCAACTGGCAAATTCCTTCACAAAGGACAACGAACCCCAGCAATTGCAACGTTTTTATCAATTGAACCAAAACTGGAGGATCGTAGAGGATCCGGCCATGAAATCAGCCAAGAACCGAAGAAAGCTTGGGATTGGGGCCTTAGATGATGGCATTTTGCCTGCGTCGGCTGGGGGGCATGTCAGTTCCTGAGTCGTTCTCACCCATGACTAAGCATGTGTTGCCACTTACCGACATTGGCAGTCATTTGGACCGAAAACAGTGACCCCTTAGTGCATTCCTTCTCCGCTGATCGCGGCATAGCCATCCTGCAGAAGGAGGTGAAGTGAGGCCAGCTACCCGCATTCAAAACAACTAAGATGAAAGAACGCTTCAACATCTCCCAGTCACCAATCTGCCTAGCCTGGAATTGAAGCCTTTTTCGTTGGATTTCTCCAACAAAGCATCCCCATTGATCGGGGCCGGTAAGCCCTTCCAGGTCAATGGTAGATGCACAGGATGCAAGCGGAACTTTCAGTGTGACGCCCTGTCAGCAAAAGTTGAACTTCAGATAACTTCAGGGTTTGCAGCCAGTGGCCCAAATCTTCGCAAAAACTGGATCGGTCTGTGTTGGTTTCTCCTTTATGTGCGCACTCTGTGTCGCAAACATGTGACCTAGCATACAGAAACCACTGTTTTAGGAGATGATCGAACATACGCACACATTCACACTCACAAATTCACATGGAAAAGCAGATTTCAATTCAAACTCTTTGGAACAGAGCTAGTCTCATACAAGTGTCTCTTCTAGTGGCCACTGGCATGGTTGCCTCTGTAAAATCACAGCTCAGCTGTCTAGTGCCCCGACAAACTTGGAGCATCTCAATATTGACATGTCGTCCGGGTTGGGAACAGTCACTGCTCGTGGCTATCATGTTTCGAAGAGAGAAGGGTGCCCAGTTCTTTTAGTTTTCAGGGAAGGCAAGCAGCTGTTGCTTTGGACATGCTTCAAGTCTTGAGGGTGCACCTGTGAGTGCAGACGGAATCATATTCGCTCTGCATATCGTCACTCCATGATAAGGTGAACAGCCAGTGACCCATATCTTCCGAAAAAGTGGATCGAGCTGAGCTGGTATGGCAAAAACGCATCAGATAGCACACAGAAACCACACTTTTCTGAGATAACCATATACATATAATACATGTATATATAGAAATGCACACTCGCAAATACACATGCTCATGCACTGCAGATGCAGCTATATGCAGATATGAATATAAACATAAATATATAGGGATATACAGTATTCTATGTTCATACGCACACGCCTTGGAGTTGCACAATCCCTATCCCCGCCCACCGATCTGCGGGTGCAGATCTCGGCCATCAGCCAAAGTGGGACCGTGCAGCCGATCAGGTCCTTTGAAGTCTTAACAAAAACAAACTCTATGCTTTTGTGGAACCAGTAAGATGTCAAAGTGAAGATACCGGTTTCTGAACCAGTATATTGTATATAGACAAAAAGACCCTAGAAAACTGAAAAATCCAAATATACTTTTTCTCTGCTTTATCCAGTGACCAAAACAGGATACTGCTAATGTTTGGGGTCTGAACGTTTGACACCAAACGGTCATTTTCAGGGCCCACAAGCCGTATGGCTGTAGGAAAACTGATGCAGCCAGTACAACTGAGATCCCAGGAAGTTGATGTGGTTTGCTGAGAATTCATGTTGAAGTATGCTTAAAGCCATCCTTGATGAGGACCTATTCAACCCCTGCACTGGGCTTAGAGACTGCTGCGAATGACTGCAAAGTTCAAATGCATCCGCAGATATCCACAGGCAGCCAACTCTGTGCTAAAGGAGCTTCAATATCCACTCGGCATGGCAAGATATACTGTAGCTCCAGTTGAAGGGTGTATTGTGAATCTTTGCAACCGAGAAATTGCATTGGCCAGAGATGTCTCTGGACAAGATATCATGAATCACGAACTTGAATCATGGCTGATCTCATCCCCTCCAAAAGAAGTTGTTGGCCGGGTATATTCAAATTCAAAACAACTAAGATGAAAGAACGCTTCAACATCTCCCAGTCACCAATCTGCCTAGCCTGGAATTGAAGCCTTTTTCGTTGGATTTCTCCAACAAAGCATCCCCATTGATCGGGGCCGGTAAGCCCTTCCAGGTCAATGGTAGATGCACAGGATGCAAGCGGAACTTTCAGTGTGACGCCCTGTCAGCAAAAGTTGAACTTCAGATAACTTCAGGGTTTGCAGCCAGTGGCCCAAATCTTCGCAAAAACTGGATCGGTCTGTGTTGGTTTCTCCTTTATGTGCGCACTCTGTGTCGCAAACATGTGACCTAGCATACAGAAACCACTGTTTTAGGAGATGATCGAACATACGCACACATTCACACTCACAAATTCACATGGAAAAGCAGATTTCAATTCAAACTCTTTGGAACAGAGCTAGTCTCATACAAGTGTCTCTTCTAGTGGCCACTGGCATGGTTGCCTCTGTAAAATCACAGCTCAGCTGTCTAGTGTCCCGACAAACTTGGAGCATCTCAATATTGACATGTCGTCCGGGTTGGGAACAGTCACTGCTCGTGGCTATCATGTTTCGAAGAGAGAAGAGTGCCCAGTTCTTTTAGTTTTCAGGGAAGGCAAGCAGCTGTTGCTTTGGACATGCTTCAAGTCTTGAGGGTGCACCTGTGAGTGCAGACGGAGTCATATTCGCTCTGCATATCGTCACTTCATCCTTGATTTAAAAGTAAATGGGTACGGGTCAAGACTGGGTCCTCCAACAAGAATCCGATAGTTGATAAGACGTGACATGCGGAAAAAACATCTGGCGAAACAAATGTTGACCCATCCCCACAATTCCCACAGGGATGGACAAACCCACAGCCCATCTGTAGTCCCCGGAGCCGCGGACATAGAAAGTGCACTCATATCGCAACAGCTGCTCCAGTTGTATCAATCAAAACGGGTTGCAGAAGTTCCCGCTTTTAATGGGACAAATCATTCAAACATGTGAAGTTTTCTTTCATGTGTATATATATATATATACGAGGTTTGATTGCCAGAGCGTAAGCTGAAATTAAGATAATGTACTGTCTATACTATCGTTTTGAAAGCACCACTGGACGCTGTTTGCGTCTCATGTGTCACATCTATCTGCGCACAGCCACTGCAAAGGCACTTCCGCAGGGAGGCTCACTTCTGTCCAGTTCTGTCCTTGACATTGGCAGTTCCATCACCATCACCACCTGCGGGACTGTTTCCGAGGGGATTCTGCTCATCTGACTCAGCAGCTGCAGGGATGCCAGCAATTCCATCCCTATCAGGATTCACCATGACAGGTGCTGGCGGCTGACGGTGGATGCCCACAACTGGAGCCGACCGCAACCTGTCGCCATACTTCTCTAAGAGACGGTTGGAAGGAATGCTAAGGCCAAGGGCATGAACGAGACGCAGGTCTCCCATGGCGGATGATGATCTGAACAAAAAGCTAGCCGAAGATAGGAAGGGCCGAGATTGCTTGCGACAGAATCTGCATGATCATCCCAGTGCTGCAGCAGAACGTGTTCATAATCATAGTTGGAAGTCTCTCACCATTGTTACTTATTATCACCAAACATTCTTGACATTTCTTGACTAAAACTTCAGCTCATCAGGGATTTTCCATTGCCACGGTTGATTACCAAAGGGTAGACTGGATGATGTTTACGTGTTCGGCTATCCATTTTTTTGTGTACTCGATTGGATTTGGGAATTGAGGCTGATGACTCTCATGAAGCCGTCTGGGAACCAGACAACTGATGCCCGCAATCTGGATGCGCGGAATGCACGTTGTGTGGGGCGTTCTTGATTTCCAGATCAGCGGTCAGGATGCAAAGCAATTCAGTTTGTCAGGTCTGCCCAGTAAACAAGGAAAGACCCAAATCTGTTTACTATGCGTGGGATCATATTGGATCAGATATTGGTCAACAAAACATCAGGTACCTTTCCCTCCGTAGGGCGGCAATCCGTCAATCACACAGCCAGGCTACTTCCTTAGTCCCGCCATTGCTCAGATCTTAGGTCGGACCCAATCCCATGGCTCTTCCTACGAGGAGAAACCACAGCATTGTCCAACAAAAAAACAGGATAGTGACGGGAATTCAACTGAATTGCCAAGTCAATCACCTGCCATCCCGTCGCGTCGTAAATTTCAGCATGCGCGGATGTGGCTTGGTCAACGCAGCCAAACGAGCTTGGGAAGGCATTCGTTCCCATTCCAACCTCGATTGCTGCATGACAAATGGTGGATGATCTAGGGTCAAATAGTCTTGGGACAAAACACCTTGCCCAATGTGTATGTACTTGACAATCTTCGTCAGATTGTAAGATAATGTGAGAGATGTGGGTACTCCGAACGGGCGGGATGCCATGAGGACTGTAGTTGGGCGAGAAGGCAAGGAGCGAACACGTAGCAGCTGCGAATGTGACCAACATATTCACTTGCAAATTCATGTGGTCCGGTGTAAGCTCCACGCCAATCCAATCTGGCAAGCCTCACCTTTCGGAACTGTACCGTAGACGCTCATGCATGTAATGTGCAATATCTACTGCGCCCAACACATACACGCACAAACTATACCGGCAGCATAATTCCACAGAGTTACATCTGCATCTCTACAGTATCATCTGTTTGAGTCTGGTTCAGCCGAACATATCCCTAAAAATCCTCTGGTTAATCTTCATACTCCATTCATCTCCATGAAATATTTAATATATACGACCAGCTGCACCTCATGAGCCTCCAACCACGGGAATCTCTTGCTTCGAGCCTGGCATGGCATGGAATAGCCGGATCCAAATGGTAGAACATGATTTTCCATGTTCAATCACATTTAAACAGTTGGGCGCTGATATACCAGATTTTTCAGCAACAACCATTTATATCAATTTCATTATATATATATAACCATCTGTTTTTGACACCATTATATCAGCTTTGTTTCAACCTTTTTGGACCCATCCATGGTACGATCTGAGACTCCCTGCCAGGTCGTGTGGAATGCCCAAGACCTCTTTGCCGTTCCTGTCGGGAGAAATACTCTTTTCATAAATGCTATGGTAGATAACCCTGAACAATAATCATCAATACTCTATTGGTATTTAGATGTATTTGGCATAATGGTAGATCAACATGATAAAAACCTGGACGTGATGGCTATCAGTTGGCTGCAAATCCCCAAACAAAGCGGCACTGAATGACTCATCACACAAAGCTCCTGGGAGCTTCTCCTTCCCACGCATCCAATGAAGCATCCTTGAAAGCCGCTGTTTCGCGGTGATTCGACGATTTTGTGATCAAAATCCGATCCATTTTTTTGGGGGGGCCCATCCAATCCATTTTTGGACAAAACCACAATTTGGTGATTTCTTGCCCAGAATCCATGGCTTCAACAGCACCTTTGTTAAGCACTGCCAGAAAGAGCTGCGATCGGAACGTCTCCATGGGAACCTGAGCTGACGAATGAAAGTCACGGATATGCGTAAACATGTATATACAGCACAGAAATAATATGTGCATCTATGCGTATCTGTGTAAATCTATTTATGTATGCACTTGTATGTAACTTTTAGGTAACAATGATGCATGTTTATGCAATTGTATGCAGTTGTATGCAGTTGCATGCAATGCAATCAATGTAATGCTATGTAATGCAATGAAATGCAATGTGTAATGCAATGACATGTCATGCTACGCAATGTAATGTAATTTATGACATCTTCTGTAATGCAAGTTATGCAAAGCAATGTAGTGTATATATGTACATACACGTGCGCGCGCGTGTGTGTGTAAACATCAATCTACGTGGACATATATATATATATATTTATGCCATGGCAGTTACTACGCATGAATAGTCATGCTATACTCTTGGCTACAACTCCCTAAACAGTTTTTTCCCACTTCGTTGAGGCTTCACAAAAGCACCTGAGCATCTAGCCAACTCAAGCTTGGGTCTTGTGGAATCAGTCCGGAAGGGTCTTCGAAAAGCCTAGCATATGGAAGAACTTGCAAACCACGATGCTTATTATCATTGATAATTCAAGATATTCAAGTGCTTTTGACCAATCTCAACTTAAACATCTCAGAAAGCCGGTGCAGTAGCGGCTGCCTCTGGGCCATCCAGAAGCCAAAAGACACCATCTGGTCCTGGCAATGCCTCATTTTTTTAAGGGGTCAGAAAAAAAACCAGATCCCCATAGATCCCCATAGATCCCCCAACAAATCCTATGGTTCAAACTCTGGGAACCCTCTGGGACTCCCATGGTTCAAACACCTGAGGCATCGGCCAAATCCACGAAACCCACTCCTAGGCCTAACCGATGTGGAAATCAAAACGGGGGATTGACCCATGGGGAGAACACCGACCAATTTGAAGCGGATGATGGGATATGCCATAGATGGGCTGTGGGATAATTTAAGATGTTCAAATAGTTGTCTTACCTGACATTCGATGGCATGAAGATGTACAAAGAATGCTAAAATCCTATAAAACATCAGTTCCTTTATCCGAATGTTCTGGGATATTCTATGGAACATTCTGTTATTGTAAGTTACTTTCTGGGTAAAACAGGGGTCAAGGCAGATTCAACAAAAACAGGAACTGCTTTTTCTCGTGCTCAGTCTTCGGCTGATGTCTAAGTCATATGGCCGCCCAGCACGTCTCAATACTTCCGCAGCCTCAGATGTTCGGCTTGGATCATGGGATTCCAGAATTTCAGCCACAAAATACATATACATATATAACCTACAATATGTATGTATATACAGTATATGTATATGTATTATACATTATATATAATAATATACATGTATGATTTTATATGAATTTATAATCATATACATATATGAATTATCTAATAATAAGTCATAATAAGTCCACTTATCTTTTGATCAATGACCGTGAGATCGGCGACGCTGCCTCGTGGCGGAACTTGAGCGTGGTATCCGAAACGGGCCGACGGTGAGTTGCGGTCCCTCGGATGAGTCGTGCCTCAGAACGAGGAAAAATTGTTGTAGACCTGCCATCTACAATGGTGAATAACGGTGAATTATAGTGATACGAAAGGTATAGTGCTGAATCAATAATGGTAGATTTACAATATAATAGTGATAATAATGGTGAATAATGGTGAATAATATTCGGGATCATGATTCATTCATTAATGATAATAACGGTGAATTTCCTGGTAAATCATGGTGAATAATGGTAAATAATGATTATCATTAGTTTTGTAGACATGCAATCTACATCAATCTACAATGTAACTATAATGAGCAAAAGACCAGCCAAACCAGTGATTTCACCAGCAAAAAATGACGAATCCACCAGCAAACATGGTGATTTATCCAAAAAAACATCCCCACATCTTTGTGAAGAACTCCAAGTTCACATGCCGTCCCTATCAGCTTCGGCTGGGCAAATGTATTCGTCTGCGCTGAATCAAAGTTTGCCTTTTTGGTAATCCGGTCTCTGGTAACAAATTGACCCATCTCCTATCTCCATGGCTATGTGCGCCAAAACCCGATGGCTGGCCCATATGTGGTAGACAACCCCCGTTTTGAGACAAGCTCAACATGGCTACGAATCAACATGATCAGCAACACTCAACAACCAAAAAATAGATGATCTACTGATTTACCACCAAAAAGGGTCAACATAGTCAACAATATCTCAAATTCATAAATCCTACCAAATCTGTGGTTTGCTGATGCTTGCTGGTATCATTTAACCATAACCCCATCTCCGAAAAATTTCACGCTCTGAGAAATCGGCCATGGCTTTTTGAAGGTCAGGGTTCAAACCATCGATTGCAGCTCGTCCTTCAGGTTCGATCAGCAACCCGAGCCTGGTCGGAGGCTGATCACTTGTGGATTAACTGGCATGGTTTCATTCTATTGATGAGACTTGCTGATCATGCAAAGTTTTAGGCCATGTACTCTTCAGTCAGAGGCATTTCTCTTTGAGTCACAACGATGGCATTTCTTGGTGTCACCGCTGAGTCTTTCACGCGAAATTCCGCATGCTGAAGCCATGACTTGGTCGTACAGTTGCTTGGTCCAACGTTGCCAGCCACGAGGTGACCTGGACATCACTGGGATTGGTATTGGGATGGTATCAAAATGAGAAATCTAATGCTAACATGATTGAACCATCAAAACTGATCGTAGAATCATTGTTGCAGAATATAGGGACACCTATTCCGCATTCTTGGCGACTTTAAACTGATTACATACTAGAGATACTAGAGGACTTCCTCAAAACATCATCCAACTTTCACTTCTCTGGAATTGGCAGGTGAAATTTTGGTTGTCTGAAAAACTTGGATCCTCCCCTCCCAAAACCGATTGTTATTTTCACCATGACTTCATTGATTTTTCATGGATTTTCACCATATTTCACCATCAGAACTGGCAGCCAGACTTCATTGATCATCCCCCAGGTTTTTGCTCCCTCAGCACCTGCCAAAAATCCGACTGGTTCTCTGATGGCATCCACCCTGAGGACACAGGGATTTAACGAAAACAAGGTGGTTGGACCATCAATCTTTCATGGGATTGAATGGGAAATTCATGGGATATTTTTACCAAAATATCTAACCAACAATGTGATAATATGTGATAATTTTGTGCCCCCACATGGCTACCGTATTTGAACAGGGAAAATACGGGAAAATGGTCACCAGTGGATGGAATGGAATACCCTATGACAAACACATTTCAGGTGGTCATTTCTGGTCATTTTCTTCAGCTCCGCACGATATTTGATTGGATGTCTCTGTTCAGCCACAAACCGACCATCTTTATGCATCAACAAAATCTTGCTGGTTCCACCTCCGACGTCTCATTGTTGAATCTCCATCATTTTTCGATGGTTAAACGATTAAACCTCCCAGCGTTTCAAACGGTTGAAACTGAATCCACATTTTCTAATTTTCTTTCAAGATGGTGGACATCTCCCATTTTTCATCATTTTTCGATGGGAAACATCCCGGAGATCGACATCTCCTGGGTCTCCGCACTCTGCAGAGTGAGGCCCAGGCACAGCGATGCCAGCGTCTCCGCTTGCATGGGACGGATGGGTGAAGTCACGGTCACAATCCTGGGGCCACGGGGGGAAGGGATGTCTATGCTATAGTTTTTGATCCATCTACATTTAAAAATATTGATGTTAAACAACCAACATTATCTTGAGTTGGGATTTTCAAAACAAAAAATATGTAAAAACCTCGACCAACGAGATGGGGCGGATGGTGCCATGGATAAACCCAGTTGCCTGGGTCCAGTTGATCACTGTGTGGAGACAGCTTGCCTGCAGTTTTGCCCCATTTGATGGACATACCCACATGTGCCAGTGCCTGTGGAGGATACGCGCTGTTTGCTCCGCCTCCAATGTCAGCGAAACAAACATCATCTCTGGGGTAAGTTTGACGTGGGCCATGTGGAAAGACATCACAATGAGGGATGGGCTATTCCAATTCCTCATCCTTGATCGCCATCCTTCTACCACTTATGATTCTCCGTTTGCCTTTTGAATCCTTTGAACCCTTTTGAACTCTTTTAAATAGGTTGTAGAAGGTGAAACTTTGGCGCAAGATTGGTGAAACGTTGGTCCGGCTGATTGACAAAACTTTACCAACCCAATGGGTTATACCCCCAGTTATATATTTATATATGTGCATATATATATATAATATGTTTGTATATGGAATATCCCCACGTTTACATGGGATGAACTATGGTTTCTATAAATAATATGGATTATAAACCATGGATCCCAAGTGGGGTCCGGACATCCAGTTGGTGGAGGGTAAACATCCCTTCAGTAATTACATGACATATACAGTGTTTCATAGGAATTCCAATAGTTCCCAATTGGTGCAGGATTTTGCAACCGATGATTTGGGTATCAAAACCCTGGCACCCCGGATGTATATGGATGTAGCTGGTATAGCTGGATGGCTATTCCCACAGTCATATGATAGATATTGATAGATTATGATAATAGTAACCATATGTCCAGATTGCCATAGCGTATGAAAGATTCTGAAAGATTATCATATCATGGGGATGAAAGATTATCCCATATTATGATCCATAATCTATCATATGGGATTATCACAAATGATTAATGTTACCCATGAATGATATAAAATAATCTATCACATTACCTATTGATTAATCGAAGGAAGCTTAGAAGTCAAACTTCCGACAATATGGACAGATGGAAAAGCAGGGGTGGAAAGAGTCAGAGAAGAGAAGAAGAAGAGAGAAGATCAGAGAAGAGAAAGAGAAAGAGTCAGAAGAAAGAAGATGCAGGCGCACGAAAAGGTAGAAATGGCGAAACACTGTGTTTTTTCCAATGATTTGTGGATCTGGCGGGTCGAAAAATAGGCTCGCTATTTGGCGGTTGCAGAGCCAGCTGGCCAGATGAGAGATGAAAAATTGCACACAGTTGTGGCGCGAAGCACATTTCGAAGTCAAAATGCACAAAGCACCTCAGCATCGGAGCACGTTTAGATACTTTTAAACTGTTAGAAGTTGAGATGTCGAGACAGTGCACGCCGTTGTGGCGCGAAGCACATTCCCAAGTCAACATGTATACAAAGCACACCATGCTCGGAGCACTTTTGGAAGTTGTGATGTCGAAAAAGTGCACGCCGTGGTGGCGCAAAGCACATTTCCAAGCCAAAATGTACAAAGCACACCATGCTCGGAACACTTTTGGAAGTTGAGATGTCGAAAAAGTGTACACCGTTGTGGCGCGCAGCAGATTTCCAAGTCAAAATGTTAAAAGCACTACATGCTTGGGATGGCTTTTGAAGATTCAGATGTGGTTTTGCGTGGCAGGCGCAAAGGATTCTGCACCTTGCCAGAAGTGAACAAAACGCGAGGGTTTTGTGACATTTTCAAAAACGATGGCAGGTGTGGGACATTTGAAGAGGATCTGAAAAGATACATTTTTCGTGGCAGGCGCAGTACAAGAGACATGTTCATCAGAGATGTTAGGAGGTCAGGGCGCTGATTTCCTGAGAAGGGGGTTGCATTTTGGAGCAACAGATCTGCAGGTTTGCTAAGATGATTTTGCGTAACAGGTGCAGCACTTCATATGACTTGGCATCAATTTATCGCGGCAGGCGCAATACTTTAGAGACATAGGCCGGAAGAATCGCAAAACGCATTGGTACGAGGCCGTCAGCTCTGCACTCAACTTTCTATTTTTGAGGGAAGTCTCGCAGAATTGTTTCGTTTTTGCTGTTGTCAACTTCAAAAAATTGAGGAAGTCTCGCAGACTTGCTTCGTTTTTGACGTTATCAAGTTCAAAAGTTGACGAAGTCTCGCAGAATTGCTTCATTTTTCATGTTGTCACCTTCGAAAATGGAGGCAGCCTTGCAGAATAGCTTCGTTTTCAAACTTGCAGATAGATAGAAAGATGGATGGATGGATGGATGGATAGATAGATAGATAGATAGTTAGATAGTTAGACAGATAGTTAGATAGATAGATAGACAACTACAACTGCAACTACAACTACACCACCACTACAGCTACAAATACAAGTAAACTACAAGACAGTACGCTAATTGCACTACACTAATTACACTACACTACACTATGCTACGCTACACGGCACTAATTACAGTACAACTACAACTATAACTATAACTAGAACTACTAGTACTACAGCTACAGCTACAACTACACTATATTGCACTACACTAATTGCTTTACACTACGCTAGACTACAACCACAACTACAACTACAAACTACAACTGCAACTGCACAACACTACGCTACACTAATTACACTACACTACAACTACAAGTACAGCTGCAGCTACAGCTACAGCTACATTGCACTACGCTCCACTAATTACACTACACTACGCTCCACTGACTCCACTCCACTCCACTCCACTCCACTCCACTGCGCTACACTACACTACACTACAGTAGACTACACTACGCTACACTAAATACAGCAACAACTACAGCTACTACTGCAGCTACACCACTTTACACTACACCGCTTTACACTACACTACACTAGACTACGCTACACTGAAGCACACAACACTACAGCACACTACACTACACTACATTACATTACACTACACTCATTACACCACACCACAACTACAACTGAAACTACGGCTCCACTACACTACAACTACAACTACAGCTGCACTACACCACGCTACATCCAGCAGTTGTGGGAGAGGTGACCACTGCAACCATTGCAACCACTCCAAGAAACACAACTCCAATCACCTTTCGGTCCATCAGTGAATTGGCTCTGCCATTCGTGATTCACAACAACCAGCCTCTCCTACAAGTTTCCCATTTTTGAAACTTTCGCCACCGCCTTGTGCGGTAATACTGGTCGAAGGAAGTTTAGAAGTCAAACTTCCGACAGTATGGACAGATGAAAGGCAGAGATGGGAACAGTCAGAGAAGAGAAGACAAGAAGAAGATCAAAGAAGAGAAATTCAGAAGAAAGAAGATCCAGGTGCGCGAAAAGGTAGGAAAGTCACGATTCACTGTGTTTTTCCAATGACTTGTGGCTCCGGAGGGTCGAAAAATAGGCTCGCTAAAGCGGCGGGTGCGGAGCCATGTGGCCAGATGAGAGATGAAAAGTTGCACGGCGTTTCTGGCGCGAAGCACATTTGCAAGTGAAAAAGCTTAAACCGATATAGATAGATAGATAGGTAGATAGATAGATAGGTAGATAGATAGATGGATAGAAAGACAGATAGATAGAGAGATAGAAAGACAGATAGATAGGATAGGATAGGCTAGGAAAGGATAGGATAGGATAGGATAAGATAGGATAGGATAGATAAGATAGATAAGTTGGATAGATAGAAAGATAGATAGATAGACAGATAGATAGATAGCTAGATAGCTAGGTAGATAGCCAGATAGCTGGATAGCTAGAAAGCTCGATAGCTGGACAACTACAACTGCAACTGCAACTACAACCAAACAAAAGTGCCACTGCAACTACAAATGCAAAAGCCAAAAATACAGTACAGTACGCTAATTCCACTACACTACACTAAGTAGACTTGACTACACTAATTACACTACACTACACTAATCACACTACACTACACTAATAGTGACAGCACACTACACTACATTACACCACACTACACTAGACTACAGCTACAGCTACAAATACACTACGCTACATTCTACAACACCACGCTACACTAGTTACACTGCACTACAACTACAACTACAGCTACAACGACCACTACAACTACCACTACAGCTACAACTACCACTACAACTACCACTACAACTACCACTACAACTATAACAGCAACAACAACAACGACGACATCGACATCGACATCGACATCAACATCAACAGCAACAACATCAACAACAACAACAGCAACAACAACAACAACAACAACACTACAACTGCAGCTACAACTGCAGCTACAAGTACAACTTCACTACAACCACACTACAACTACAAGTACACTGCAACTACCACTACACTACACTAGACTTCAACTACAACTACAACTGCAGCACCACACTACATCCTGCAGTTGTGGGTGAGGTGACCACTGCAACCACTGCCACCTTTGGGTCCATCAATGGATTCGCTCTGCCATCCATGCATCACAACAACTCACCTCTCCTATAGTTTCCTATCTTTGAAACTTCCGCCACCGCCTTGTGCGGCACTACTGGTATTAATATATAACCATCCCATAATACCTAGACGATCTATCATAACATATAGATCATATAGATGATTATCGTATTGATCATATTACCTAATGACTAATCTATTACCTAACGATATTAATCACATGGAAAAATCATGTTACGGCAATTGTTGATCCTCTTGGTAATTATCCCACATACTGTAATCCCATATATCACCCATTCATAGTATAGATTATCTATCATATTACCGTTACCTATTGACTAATATTAATAGATAATAGGGTCAAATAGGTAACATTGACCCATCCCCATGTTGTCCCGCCTGCACCCCAAGGCGTCCAGCCGCTGCCAGCATTCGTGCCAAGCCGCTGGCTGAGAGCTGGCGATCCAGGCCCTACCGTTGAAACGTCGGGCCAACGTCGCCAAAAGCCCCGGGAAAAATGGGATGAACTAGATGAACTAGCAGGAGAACCATCAAGAATCATCGAAAACTACGTATGGAAAACACATGGAAAAACATCAACATTGAAGGACAGATATGCAACTACTATGCCAACAGGATGCAACAATCATGCAAAACCCATGGAAACAAATCCTGTACAACATCATCATTTCCAGTTGCATTTTTTTGAAACGCCATCGGCGGATTTCATAAATTGAATTGCCGGCAAATTTGAACTCGAAGAAACATGCATCATTCTCGTTGGGTCCTTCTCTAACAGCATTCCCAACCACGGCTGCAGCCTTGGCAAAATAAGTCACATGGGCAACCAAGGCTTTCTCCAGTTCATTGGGATGACGGGAACATCTGCCTGTTTGCCGTACATTTTCCCTTAAACCAATCCAGTGAACGACATACAATCCCGTACAATCCCCAATTCTTGGCCTTGGCACACGCGAGCAAAGGATGGCAAATGACTGGAACACCATTTCAACTACTCACAATAGGGCAACCACTGAGGAATATCCAAGCGGAGTGCAGCGCACGACTCCAGGACCTTGCAAAAAAGACCATGGTGAAGATGAAAATAGATGAAAACGACTCCGAGTTCTCAGCAAGTCTCGTCCATGAAACATGGCGGCCATGGCGCAACATCTAGGTTTGTCTGAAAATAGGGTACCCCAAATGTTTCTTCATCGTTTTCCCATGTTTTCCCTATCAAAGTGGCCATTTGGGCCCCGGAAATGCTCGCCTCCACAGACTGGGCTGCCTAAGTGACAGGTGCTCCTCTGTTTGGTGCCCCGCAGATAGTGATAGGCTGAGCTAGGCTAACTGTTGGGTTAGGGGTGGATTTATGGAACTGGTTGATTGGCTTTACATATGTTTATGCATCAACTTACAACTGGGACGCACCAGCTTGTACGAATGCCAGAAACCGCTGAGAGACAAGGCTGTAAGATTCGTTCCCAAGCTAACCAGCGCAGCAGAACAGAGAGGAGCATATGGAAGACCAGCTTCCTTAGAAACAACGAAGCTGTAAACTCCCCCAGCAGCGGCTGATTTTACACCTGGGACCCAAGCGGCACATGCACGCATGGCTGCCACCTTGGGGCGTTGATCGACAGTTGGGGAATTGAGTCCATCTATTTCCCACTTTGCACCTCCGCCAGTTGAGTTCCAGACAAGCTCACGTGTTTCCAATTCATTTGCCGAGAGAGCAATCTTTTTGCAAAGAAGCTCCAAGTACTGCAAAACCTGTGCAACTTTAAAGACAGGCAAATATGCGATGTTGCTCTGTTGATTCACAGGGAATTGTGCCTCTGCTGTTGCATTTGCAGCCAGTTTCTCCGCAAAGGGTGCTGCTGCCTGGGTTGCTGACAAGCCAAAGATTCGCTGTGTCTGTCCAAAAATAGGATACCCTCTCGTAAACTAGCTACGGAAAATGTCCTATTTACAATCATTTATAGATGATTTACCTAATAAACACACACACACATATATATATATATGTATATATTTATAAACATATATAAACGTGGTCTTTCTATACTAGTTATGGTAAATTACCAGAGGCTATCTCCTCCAAATCCAGCAATCCCAGAAGTTTCTGCGCTTCACCTCAACCGCTTCGAGGGCTTCTGCAGCTTCCCTGGAAGATGCTACAGCCTGGACATTGATGAATTTTCCATGGAAAACCATGGTTCTGGCTCCTCCCAAAATTTGTCTATGGGCGGATCTCCGGTCACTTGTCCGCATTCTTCCCTACAAATTCTGGGACCAATGTTATTGCAAGCAGCCACTTGAAGGTTGCTAAGGCAAACACTTTTTTCAGGAAATCAGCAAGCTCTAGATCCGTCCTCATCAAAGCACTTCTCGCTTTTCCTTTTCTAGAAATAGATCAAGTCGACTTCTTGACTAGGTCTGAAACAACTTTTATCTTACATCAACTTAGATACATCGAAAGCTCATGCTTATTCATGGCAAACACACTGTGGGTATTTATTTGTTGCAACCATTGCAGTCCCAAACATCTCCACATCAACGCCACGTCCTGGGAGATCTCCAAGAGCCCAGTAGGCTCCGAAACTCGGTGCCAGCTGTGCCAGTTCCAGCGACCTGTGCCAGTGATGTCATGAGCAACCTAAAATCGAATGGTTTACCATGGTTTATTGCTAAGCGGGAGCAACATGGAGCAACGTGTATGTGTGTGTGTATGTGTGGGTGGGTGTGTGTGTGTGTTTTTTTGCGGGGAGAAAACAACTTGAGTGATCTAGTATGATATAGTCGATATATGCAAATAGATCCGAATGGTATCAAATGGAACAAAAAATCGAGCAGAAAACCAGCTTGCAAACAACTTGGCAAATCGGAAAGTCCCTCACCCTCCGCCCCGGCACCTCGACCGGAGGTGCTTCTGAGGCTGTGGCTACCGCCGGTGTTCCTTCGACAGATTTCGACTGACAGCTACAGCTTCACTGTCAAAAACTGCCATGCAAAGTAGTATTCGAAGTCATCTCAAAACCGCGGCAAAGACTTAGCAGTTGGTAGCTTTTCACATCTTTTCATACTCATAAATCACAACATCTCAGAACTCATAACCCACTTTTTGTGTGCCATGCGCAGCCCGAAAAATTGCCTTGCTGCCCGTGCCTTTGCACAAGACCTCCCAAGGAGTGCCTGCTACAACCGCCTGCACCTCAACTGAGCAATGTTCAATCCCCCCTTTCCAACTGGTTGGTTCATGGATTGCCATATAATTGCGATAGTCCCCAACAAATTGGGCAATATGTTATATATATATAATATTATATAATATAACGATTATCACCCAATCTAGTTATTATAGATAATCCCAATTATAATGCCAAGGGGTGGATAATTATATAATATATATAATTTTTTGGGCAATTTTTTTACCCCCGAACTGATCATCAACCAGCAGGAGTTCTGCAGTTCCTGCACTGCTCAGCTCGCAGCACGTTCCACATCATCCGCACCACGGCTACTCAGCGCAGAGTTGAGCACCTCTTGACTGAAGCTGGTGAAATTCATTGGATTCTTAGTGAAATTCACAGGCCATGCGGAAACTATGGGAAGCAATGGTGATTTCCTAAACTTGTGGCCAAACATTGAGGATCTTACAGGATTGGGTTGAATGAACATTTTGTCGGAAAGCCTTCGGAAACCATAGTCATGTGGTAAACCAGTGCCATAAACCTACAATTTGGGGATGGTTGGAATCCCACCCATTTATATCATTTATGGCAGACTTGGGAATAGCTTGCTATTGGGTCACATTCAGTGGTGGTTTCCCATCAATTTCGCTTGCTCCGATTCCGGGATGTGATCGAATTCTTGTGGCTGACTTTTCCTTCCAGTGGCGACCTTTGGAGACAGAACTTTGTAACAGAACATGCTCACATCACTCACAGTAACTTGAAAACTTCCCAGCCCAATAAGAATAATAACCACTAAAAATATCTATTAATGGTTAATGGTTAACCACTATTAATCAATATTAATCATCTAACCCTCCAACCCCCCCAACCGGGTGGGAATTTCCCCTGCCTCGATAGCCCGCTCTGACAGGCACTTCACCAAACCTGGCGCTGACAGCGCCGCCTGGTTGGAGAGATCCCCGCCGTCCCCGTCGTGAAAATTCGTGAAGATGATGATCCATTGCGGGGGTTGCCTATTTTCAGACAAACTCATGTAACTTACATGGTTTCTGCTTCAGAGATTGCACAAAAAGATCATCGATCGATCATCTAGTTGTGACTTTGAAAATCCTTGAATGGATTCCAAACCCTTGCTGACCAATTGGAAAAGTCGAGCCTGGAAGGTCTGGAGAATCTCCGTGGTATCGGTGAATTCCAGAAGCAGCTCCTACAGCTTTTCAAGGCGCGGAATGACTACCTGCCATTGGCCTGCCATCCAAGATAATCCACATGCGGTTGTCTCAAAATGTGGAACCCCATTCCATCGCATGGTTTAGCAGGGGGCCTATCTCCCCACTCAGGTGAACACATCGAATATACACACCTTGTAGTGCCATACTTCTGTCGCCGCAAGTCACTATGCGCATGCGTGTCCTCAATCCTTTTGGCAATTGCTTCAGCAAACTCCGTGTGTTGGCTCCAGAAGTCCTGGTCAGTTTGCCAAGCATCCAATATTTAGGGTTTGTCTAAACATCGGCCATGATTAAAACCTCATTTTCCCCATGTGAATGGTGTCTTGGGGTAATAACACCATTTTCAGACACACCCTATTATCATATTGATTCATCTTGTTGGTGTATATATGTATATATACATATACATATATGTACGTATGTGCATATGTATGTGTATATATATATACACATCAACATCTACTGTAAATCTATATGTAGCTGTATGCCATCATTAGTATCTCATGTACCTCTATTTTTGATGACTCAGCTCGCATACTACTCCGTATGCATATATAAATATATACACGTAGTGCATGTACATATTTCTCATATCTCACTTAGTATACACACATGTCCAACTTGGAAATTGCGACCTCCGATCCGTGCCAGATTTCCAAGATCTGTGCCAAAGTGTCGGACCTGGCTGGGATTGGTTCGTGCTTTCGATGCTGAAGCCGTTTGTCAATTGGTATCAGCATCATCATCATCATCATCATCATCACAATCATCAACAACATCATCAACATCACCAACATCATCACCGTCACCATCACCATCACCATCATCACCATCATCATCATCATCACCATCATCACAATCATCAACAACATCATCAACATCACCAACATCATCACCGTCACCATCACCATCACCATCACCATCATCACCATCATGAATCATCATCATCATCATCATCACCATCATCAACAACATCATCAACATCACCAACATCATCACCGTCACCATCACCATCACCATCACCATCATCACCATCATCATCATCACCATCATCATGATCATCATCACCATCATCACAGTCATCAACAACATCATCAACATCACCAACATCATCACCGTCACCATCACCATCACCATTATCACCATCATCACCATCATCACCATCATCATCATCATCATCATGATCATCATCACCATCATCACAATCATCAACAACATCATCAACATCACCAACATCATCATCAACAGCATCATCAACAACATCATCAACATCATCATCGTCATCATCATCAAGATCAAGAACAACATCATGATCATTGTCATGATCATAATCATGATGATGATGATGATCATGATGATGATGATGATGATCATCATCATCACCATCACCATCATCATCACCATCACCATCACCATCACCATCACCATCATCATCATCATCATCATCATCCTCATCCTCATCCTCACATTGAGGGGGAACAACAAGACATTGAAACACTATGAACTTAAACACCCTCTGATTATACCGTAGGTATAGAAAATGGGTCATTTATAGGGCCATTTATAGATGGCCTATGACGGCTGATGATGATTTACCTGTTAAAAAAATGAAAAATGATGTTTTTTCATTGCAAACTGTGAAATGACCCGAGGGTATCCAGGAAGCATCTGAACTGTGCTGAACTATGCTGAACTGAGCTTTCAGGCTGACAATACTGCACCGACTCTGCCAGGTCCTGCAAAGACAAGCAACGGACCCGCAAATATGTTGCTTTTTAGATACAGCCATTCAGATCCATTCAGTCATTCATTTTTTTTGGCAGTCAATTGAGTCAACATGTCTTTTTCCAGCCATTTCCAGCAACTTTTGCTCCTGAATCACCAACTCTTGTAGCTCTTCAAGTTCGCCAGTCCAATGTGGCAAGGAACCCTTCGCCTGACGAGGTTGCTGCCACCATACAGAGGCACCATTGTTGACACATGTTAACATCACCAATTTCCAGCCCGTTTGGCCTTGTGGCCATCATGTTCCAAAAAATCAGGTTGCAGCAACCCTGGTTGCTGTGATATAAAGATTGCTCATCATGATGCACCATTCGCACCATCCAAGCAATGCTCTCAGCTACACCAGGATCTGGATCGTCGCCTCCTCCTTCACACAGGTGAGGACCTCTGAGAGCTGGATCAAACGTTGCCTGATGGTGAAACAGCTCCATGGCACGTGAGTTTTGCAGTCGCAGCTTGCAGTGATACAGTACTTCATACAACATATAGAAACACTTTGGCAATTCAATAAGCTGGAAATCCGTAGCCAAAAAATAGGTGCATCATCGATTCCGAAGATATGAAATGAATTCACACACGTTCTGTTTTTTTGTTTGATTACACACCTAGATTTTCATCGGGTAGCTCTGGTGGACGCATCCTGTAGCTTGAGCTCCCGGCAAGCTCAACTCTGATGATGCTGACAACATGCTCCAGAGTTTCTGCACCTTGCGAGCCCATGGGATCCACGGGAATCCCGGTCACCAAACTGCTCGACTCACCAGCAAAAAAAAAGGATGAAACCATATGAAACCACTGGAAAACCATCATAGATCTGGATATACCTGGATAAGTTAATTCATGCCCTCCAATAAACCATGCTTTGGCAGGGGATTCACACATTTTGGGACCATACAATGGGGCTGTTTAATATTAGGGATATGGGATTTTGTTTACTTCAGTAGCCGGAAATGAGGCCATTTTTGGATACCTTCCAGTAAACTAACAGTTACTGACATAGATGTGGAAAACCCACCATGAAAGTAGCGTAGATCATGTTCGAAACAGTTCGAAACAGGCAACAATTTGACTTGACATGGCTTTGTCTTTGAAGTCGGCGAGCCAAAAAATTCAGTGGGCCACCCATCATTTTCACTATATGTATATTTCATTCATGTTCACTTTTCACCATACAAAAACGACATTTATTGGGGAGTCTCCCTCATTTTCAGACACCAACAATCCATCTCTTTTTGGCCCCCAGGATTTCACTCATCCATCGGCTCCATCCATGGGCCTGCTTCAGACCCCGAGCCAAGTGCGCAGTGGAAGACTTTGGCACCACCAAGCGTTGGATGGCCTTGGAGGGCGATCTGCCACAATGGGGTGACGCTCGACCAACTGTGGACCTATACAGCCTATACATAGTCATATATATATATACTACATATATATATACTACATATATATATATATTCATATAGAATATCATATAATATCAGATAACATCATATCATTATTCTATCATATCATATCTAACTAGGACATACTAGGAATATATCAGCAAATCTCCGAGTATCAGTGAGAATTGCATAGAGATTGATGGCATCAATGTTTGCAGCTTACAGATAAAAAATCCTGGCGATGGTGGGACGATTGGGCGTTTTAACTTCTACGGGCTATGTGGATAGGGGGTTAACATGGGTTAACAACGACAATGCGAAGAGAAGCCACATGAAGCAACGTTCAACCGGAGGATACCAGCTTTGCTTAGCATTCTTGGTGATTTTGTTTAAAAGTCAATCGAATGATCTCTATACATCTCTATACTTGAGGCCCAAGGGGGGGTGAACGAAAGCCAAGGTTCATATGAGCATGGAAACATGATGGGATTTTGATGGGATTTGGATATGCTGAATACAGATTGCCTAGAGACCTGGCAGGATTTGAGCCGTGACCATCTGCTTCCAACACCGCCCAAAATGCCCTGGGAGCTTACGGGGGGGAGGGGGGGTTCGAGTGAAACATCACTGTGTTGGACTCGGACCTGCCACTCCCCTTGCTGAAGCAAGAGTAACTCCAGCTAGCTACCGCTAGCATTCGCGATAATGCAACTAAGTTCAACTAATGATTTACATCCCCAATTCCCACGAGGGCACAATCTGGGCTCCCCAGGCCCACAGAAAAACGATCAACTCCTCCGCTCTGAGGAGATGGAAGCGGTTGCCAATGAAATCAAAGACCTCAAGCGGTAATGAAGCTGTCACAACGGGGAACCAAAAGCTGTTGAAGAGGACCAAAGAATACCAAAGAAATCATTAAACAATCAGGAAACCAACGTGTTGAGCATGTGTTTACCATCCGTTAGACTTAGTTGTTAGATGTTATTTGTGACATACGGACATACCCTGCAGATGTTCCCCTTATCCACTTTTCACCTGACAGTGGACACTTTCCATTTTGACAGGAATAAATTTCTACAGGTTGGAATGCCAAACATTCGAGATCGCCTTAGCTATTGCCTCCTGGAAACTGGTCAAAGTAGAAGGAAGGCGTGAATGAGATTGATCTGAATACTTTGCTACCGAAGTACACACGTTCCGGCATAGATTCAAGTGGACCAAAGGAAAATAATACAACGTAAATGGATCAAATTAGATGAAATTGGGGGGGATCTTCTGTCTACTCCTGTATGCCAGGACTACACAAGTACACCCAGCTCTAAGGTCACGACCTCCTTCGTAAACACTGCCGTATTGACAATGTCGGGTGACAGTCCAAGCGACCTTTGCACACCAGGGGGTCCAACATCTGCGGTGTGTTCCATGACATCTCCAAGGTCGGCCGGGACTTGGCGCACGGCACAGCTAAGCTCAGAATCTGTTGAATCGTGACTGCCCCTGTGGGATGCTCCTTGGCCGTCGGATGAAGAACAGCACAGGCCCTCTACAGCTGGAGTAGCATCAGCATGCGTCGCCTTCTCCTGTTCAAGCATGCGTAGCCACTTCACAAGCAGTTCCCGAATCACTTCTTCCCGGTCCTTGGCAGATCGTCTTCTGCGTCAAATGATCGAAAGGAAACGTCCAATGGTCCAACGGAGTCGACAGTCTAAGTGCTGAACTTCTTCTTTCATTGGTACGCGGCAAAGGGTCGCCACAATCGGCGGGATGTGACTGGGCGACCATTATGGCTTTGTCCAAAATGGGCTGGCTACCCCAAATCCATCATTTTCCAATGGCTTCCGTATTAAAATACACTAAAACATGTATAACATTTTTTTGGAGATTTTGAGGGTATCAACAGGTGACTTCATACGCTGAAAACATGGCACCAGCACTGGGAGCTCAACTTCGGTTCAAGGCTTTGGAGGACTTCCATGACCCGACGGGCGAGTGCCTGAAAAACAACAAAGCACGAGTTCAATCAATGAGGTGCCAATTTTATCCAGTTTTATCGAATTTTCATAGTAATTTATCACAACTGATCACTAAGTTGGTGGTAAGTGGCAACCCCCAGATTCATGAACTGGAGGGTTATGAATCCGGGGATTGGCATGCTATTTGCACTGCACTTCTTGCGAACTTGACAACAGGTCTTTGAATAGTCGAACAAACTGCCCCTGATTTTGCACGCCGCGAATGCTCCAACACAATAGGTGAGACCAAAATGGAACGAGCTATGCTTCATCCAGATTGATGTCTTCCTCCTCTTGCACCACCTCGAAACCCTGTGCAGCATGGCACAGCAAGGTTCTACGCTGTCTAGAGGCTGCCAGGTAAAGATTGAGCACCCTAAGACCTAACCTTGACATCAAAATAGCAATCTGCAGTGCCATGGACCAGCCTCTGCTGCCTCCTCATTCTCCAAGTTCTCCTGTCCCAAGAATGAAGGCATCTCCAAAAGCCAGGAAACAACAACAAAAACATACAAAAACCAAGGAATCACAATGCATCACTTAAGTGTGTAGACTCATTGCATCTTCTGATCGTTATGTCGACTCAGCTTACCTTTTGGGCGAAAATCGGATTCTCAAATATTCTCTCCTTAGTGCCTAATCAATTGGGGTGCCCCATGTCCTCCATTTTTTCTGGCCGCTTGCCAACAGGGTCGACTCGCCTGGAAGTACTTCGCCTCAGCCAACGGGGGCACTGACTGTGATGGCGCGTGATGAGATACACAAAAGACATCCAAAGACATTCTTACACCGGTACGGACATAAAGTCTAAAATCTGCCCACGGACCAGAATCATTCCAGGCAAGACACTTTCCATCTCTGATGGAAGCTTTGGGTAGCTCAGCATCTGGTATCACCGCTGCCAGGACCTTTGCAGCTAATGCTTCAGCATTTAGTCCAGTGGCCGCCAGGAAGGTGGGTGGAGCCTTGCCGTTGGTTGCCATGACCACCGGTGGCTTTTCCCGGAATCCAAAGCGCTGGGCCAAGGTCCGTTTCCCTTTCTTGGTCTCGATGGGGTGCCAGCAATGCACTCGGGCCACACGCACCCCGCGTGGCCGAAGGACTTCGGCAGCCGCCTCCAAGACTCGGGGAGGCTTGGTGGCACTTTTGTTGGTGATACACGATACCAACCAAGCGGTGCCACCAAAGAAGATGTCTTTCACCTGCTCAGAGTCATCAGCAGGTACCAAACGAACCAGAGGATCAACCCACTCTTTGGCCGTGAGAAAGAAAGCAGCGATGGGAGGACCAGTCATAACCACCAAGAAGAACATACTGAGCCAAGCTCGCCAGCGGTGCAAGTTCGCTGGCTCCTCGTCCAAATCGCGGTTGATTTTGGCATACTCTTCTTCAAAGGTGCTGTCGGAGTCTCTCATTTCAAGAGGGTCGAAGCTACAAGCAGAGCCACATGGTCCACAGGTCGCTTGATGCCTTGATCGGAGTCCAGAAGACACTAGCTCAAACACCTCGTCAGGGCTATGCGGAATCATGGAAGCGGCTGAGCCTAGACTTTGTAGACTTCTACAGTTTCTCCTTTTCATGGGTCAATGTCTAAGTGCTTTCTAGTCTTGTCTTGACATGCTTTAAGGCAGCAGCTCTTGATTGCTCTTGCAGAGATTCGACCCCGAAGTGCATTCCCAGAATGAGTTTTGACCGTGACACCTCTGTCCATCAGATTTCAACAAAGGAACTTGTCAAACCACATGCTGTCGTGATCTGTGGGGTGTGGCAACAAATCTCGATATTTGACCTGCACATGTTGCTGGGGGTTCGCCCTCACCCCTGCCATGGCCATGCCTCAGAGTCCGTGCTCTCCAACTTGGGCATCTCTTTCTCTTCATTCTCTTCATCCGCATCACTGGAGCTGCTTTCTGCCTTTTCTCCGTCCTTGTCATCGACTTTGGTATCTTTGGTCACGGGCACTTGCTCCTTGAAGTCGACCTCCTTGTCCTTTTCGTGCACAAATGTGTACTCCTCTTATCTTCCGCGCTTGACATGATGCTGTCGCACAGGCCAATGGATTCAATGGAGCGGCTTGTTGCCAAATGAGCTTGGCATAAACATCTTTATGCTAGTGTAGCAACCAAGTAGAAAAGAACCTGCCAAACTGCATCATGGTCCTTTGACCTGGGAACACCAATGCTTCTCTTTCTTATGAATCTGTTTCCAAGCACAGTTCCAACAGGTTCCAACACAGAAAAAACTGTGACTCAAGCATCGCTTTTCCATTTCGCTGAGAAAGCCAAAGCTGCAGCTAGTTGAAACACAAGGAATGGAGTCTCGGAGTCTCTGTTCAGTCTCGCGTCAAACTGGGCAAAATGCAGTTGCTGCTGGAAATTTGCACCTGGAAGATCGTCTCTGACTTCATCCCTCGTTTTCGGAAGGCATCAAGTACACTCACCACCACCTGGACATCTGAAGACAGATGGAACAGTGGCAACATGTGGTTCAACATTGTGGTTCAACATTGTGGTTCAACAAACGAGGAATTTGAAGAGTGGCAGCAACAACAGCCATCCATTCTGTCGATTTTGGATCATGTCGTCCAAAATTTGCCCATGTCAGCTGCATCCTCTACATGGTAAAACCGGCTTAAAAACAGCTCTTCACCCACCCTCTGAGCCTCTGGAGTGAGGGGTTCCGAAGAGTTCACAACTCTTCTGGCAGCCGACTTCCAGAAGACCGTATCCTAATGCTCAAGGTCTTTGTGCTTGTCATGCAAACACACACACACACACGCACACGCGTCACACACACACACACACACACGCGCACGTCACACACACACACACACGCATATATATATATATATATGTCTATATGCACATATATATATAAATAATGTATATCCAAAAATGAATACATATACATGTACATACATACATGCATACATAACATAACAAAACAAAACAAACAAAACATAACAAAACATAACATAACATAACCACACATACATACATACATACATACATACATACATACATACATACATACATACATACATACATACATACATACATACATACATACATACATACATACATACATACATACATACATACATACATACATACATACATACATACATACATACATACATACATACATACATACATACATACATACATACATACATACATACATACATACATACATACATACATACATACATACATACATACATACATACATACATACATACATACATACATACATACATACATACATACATACATACAGTACATACATTACATACATTACATACATTACATACATTACATACATTACATACATTATACATTATACATTACATACATTACATACATTACACATTACATACATACATACATACATACATTACATACATACATACATTACATACATCCCATGCATACATGCATACATGCGTACATGCAACCTGCATACATTCATACATACTACATACGTACATACGTACATACGTACATACGTACGTACGTACAGTACGTACGTACATATATTACATACATACATACATACTCATCATACCATACATTACATACCATACATTACATACCATACATTACATACCATACATTACATACCATACATTACATACCATACATAACATACCATACATAACATACCATACATACATACCATACATACATACCATACATACATACATACATACATACATACCATACATACATGCATGCATGCACGCATACATACGTACGTACATACATACAAACATTACATACATTACATACATTACATACATTACATACATTACATACATTACATACATTACATACATTACATACATTACATACATTACATACATTACATACATTACATACATTACATACATTACATGCATACATACATACATACATACATACATACATACATACATACATACATACATACATACATACATACATACATACATAACATACATACATACATAACATAACATACCATACCATAACATAACACACATACATACATACATTACATACATACATACATCGCATAACATAACAAAACAAAACATAACATAACATAACAAAACAAAACAAAACATAACATAACCACACATACATACATACATACATACATACATACTTACTTACTTACTTACTTACTTACATACAAACATACAAACATACATTACATACATTACATACATTACATACATTACATACATTACATACATTACATACATTACATACATTACATACATACATGCATACATGCATACATGCATACATAAATACAATCGTGCAAGCATACATGCATACATGCATACATACGTACATACGTACATACGTACATACGTACATACGTACATACGTACATACGTACATACGTACATACGTACATACATTACATTACATTACATTACAGTACATTACATTACATTACATTACATTACATTACATTACATACATTACATTACATTACATTACATTACATTACATTACATTACATTACATTACATTACATTACATTACATACATTACATTACATTACATTACATTACATTACATTAGATTAGATTACATTACATACATTACATACATTACATACATTACATACATTACATACATACATAACATAACATAACATAACATAACATACATACATACATACATGCATACATACATACACATTACATCACTTCACATTATATATATATGATTATATATATATATGATTATATATATATGATTATATATATATGATTATATATATGATTACATATATATATATGATTATATATATATACGATTATATATGTATCATATTTATAGTTGAACGTGGTGCAATGTTGAAGATGGATTTTGGGTCCTTGATCTGCTGCTTGGCAAAAGTTGTAATGAAGAAGGACACCCGGCGAAGATCGAGCCTGCGTGCAGTTTCATCAGTTTCATTTGTTTGTTCCGGCTCAAGTTCAACATGAAGTATCTGATAGTATCTGCTTTCTTTTCTTCCTTTGATCCGTTTCGATCTTTTTATACACATCCAAATTGGGCCTGTCCATGTGCGAAGAAACAGTCTCCACAATCACATCCGAGAGGTCTTCTGCTGCTGCATGACCGACCTCATCCCAAAAATTTCTGCGCTGCCCGGAATGCAGTGGAGAATTTTCATGGCAATGCGGGTACCAAGGAATACACCTCCACCATCCAAAAACCGTCCATTTCTGCTGATCATCTCCAAGTCCCACCCGTCTGCCTCGCGACAATACACCACGGCTGCTGCTATGTCCTGGCGATCTACTGTGGAGCTTTTTGGTGGAGGAACATGATTGGAGAATTATCCATAGGAAGATTTAGGAAAATGGGAGATAATATGATCATGGTCATTTACTGTGGAGGTATTAAATAAAAAAACGGAAAATGATCATTACCTCCAAATGCATCCAAATGCTAGGATGATTTGTCCCATGATGGAACATATTTGGGAAAATGATGCAATGATGGGATTTTAGGGATTGTGGAGGACCACCAAGGACACTTGAAGCACCCTTGAGACTGGAGGAGGTGGCAAAGGGCCTTGTGGAAGCAAACATGATCACAAACCACTGATAGCGTTCTTGTTGAGCAGAGATATCAAGCACGTGCTAACCCAACACTTGTGATGAGTACTGCGCTGTGTAGGCCGGTTGATTCAGCAGACTTACGAGCGCTCAAAAGTCTTTTTGAACGTCCGGAATTCTTGCTATGTGTCCCATTCAAGTGGAACCATATCCCATTTTTGACCCAAGCATCATCATCAGGTACAGTCGAGACATGCTATATCATGCTATGCTTCTATGGCAAATCTGCAAGCGTCCTTGGCCGGAATCATCCTCAAATTCTCATACAAGTGGCAAGATGCGATGGCCTTCAGGCGCACTTAATTGGATCCGACCCCTTTTGCTACCCCACATAGAAGAGAGTGCTGTACCTAGACCATGCTGTTCTTACATGTTTGTAACAACACATATGCATAAGACTTGTATAGTAGTATGATATTCTGTTGTTTGAATTATTATACAACATATCTACCCATATACAAAAATATACACAATTACATGATATACATATATATATAAGCTAGGAGTGAGTCCTCCTGACTTAAGAAAAAACAGCCACCAACCATATACAACTATTCACACATTGTTTCTCTAACAACATCCAACATATAAGCATTCATAACAGTATGCAACATCATCTGAAACATCAACTATTGGCTGGTTTAACCACAAAATATATCACATAAACTTTCGGGGGTAAAAAAGTCGGGAAGACTCCCTCATAGAAAAATAGTAAATAGAAAAGATAGATAACATAATTTTCACAATAAATTATTATGAAATTTATGAGATTAGTTTATTTATCTTTCAGTTTAAGCCTACCCCACTGAAGTCTAATTAGGCTTAGACGGTTCAAAAGTCGTTCCTTGTCATACTTAGTTTTATTTTGTTTCTTTTTCATAGTTGAATACAGCGGTTTTGTAAAGAATAAAGAAGTTAATGATAAGCACCATTTCAGGTATTCTTTTGTTTTAATTTTTTTTCTATATCCTCTGGAAATTTCATCTTCAATCCAGCTAATGTTATTGCTTCATTGTCATCTAGGTTTTTGCAGGCAATTTTGATCATTTCTTCTCAATAGAACTTGGCAACATTACTTTCTGTAAATCCTAATTCAACTATAGCTTTTTCGATTGTTGCTATTTCTTTTGGTTCTTGATATGGATTATTTGTTATAAAACCTTTTACATCCAACTCATTTACCATTGTCCTACTATTATAAGTTATAAGGTAGTATCCCTTTACGTAGTTTCAGATTTCGAAGCAACAAATATCAAATAACAATCATTCTAAGCAAAGAATATCAACTCAAAATCATTCAAAACATACATCTAAACCATATTATTAGAATTATGATTATGTTAATGTCTCCAATCAAATATACCATCCCAATAGCTACATATTATATCTTTACAAATATATTGTATGAATACAATGTCATCGTGTGACATTTTATGCTTTGCTTTTCTCAAGAAATGATTTACAACAAATAGTATTGTATAGTAGTTATATACCATTGCCGTTTTATCTCCTCCCTCATTAATCAGCTCACCATTCTTTTTTACAACTTCTTTTTCCAGTATATTTTCATACATGTCTCTCATCCATTTGTGGTTGTCCTTGCCATATTCAGCAAACATATCTACATACATTATGTGGTCTTAACTCTTTGTTATTTTGATTACTTCCTCATACTTGGGATAAGGATTTTTAATAATAAATTTCATAAAGAAAGTTTTATCACGTGCCATATTTACCCTACTATTTGATATTACTATTCCTTTCGGTAGTTTAAGATACATATTTCTAATACTAGTATAATTAAAACTACAGTATGTTCTCTAATCAAATGTCTTCAAAATATATCAGTTGTCCAAACATTGTCACTTAAATACATTTTTATTCCTATCCATATTTACTAAATGGTCATCACTTCCTGTTATGTCAATGAAATACATCCACAGTAGATTTACAAAGGTCTAATTTCATAAAAGGTTCTCTTATACCGGAAGTATCCTTCTTTTTCTATTTGTAGATCCATAGTTTTTTTCATACAACTTCTTCCTGTCGTAAATATCTGACATAATAAAAACGATTAAAATGAAGTGATTATCTTTAAACATTTTTTCCCTACCTTATTCATCAGCTTATCTTTGTTCTCATAAAAACCTATTATTTCATTCATCTCTCTCACCTTCACAGTTTTAGGACTGTCAACACAGAAAGGCTTTGGCTTGTTGTGAGTAAAGTAGTAAAGCGTCGTTTCAATCTCACTAATCTCCAAAGCTATACCTTTCTCAATCACCCATTTCTCATTCCTCTTTGCTTTTGAACATCCATAACAGTATACATTATACTCACTGATGTCTTCACATAATTGAGGAGGCAACAAATGAAATAATGCAATCCTTGTATCATTTTTTTTCATATAGTTGCACTTGTTGCAGTAGCCATAGTTAAAAAGTTTAATCATATTTTCCATCATCATATACCTACTATTCTAAGATATTTTCCCTTTAACTAATTTAAGTTTTTTTAAAGAATCAATTATACTTTCAGCAATTCGTGCCTTAATAGGGGTCTATTGTATCCACTTAATGTATAATATGTTTGAATATTATTTTTCATCAATTGACTCTACTGTATATTCTCTTTGTAAAAAGTGCGATGTTCTTTCTTTTTCAGTAGTCGCCTTTTTCCTCAATATTTTAACTTTATCTCCCACCATTAATTCAGGATAAAGTCTATCCTTCTTTGCTCTTGAAGCTATGTTCACCTTTGCTCTTAACTCATTTTCTTTGTTCCTTGCTTTTTACGGAGTGAGTCCGGTTGCAGAGTGAACATCTCTTTATTATCATTATCATTATATGTATATAAGCATTATCTCTGTTAAGTAGTCTGTCCATTGTATATTATTCTTTCCTTTCTTTTCATCTGCCTCAACTCTTTTACAAAGTTTATCCTTAATAGTCCTGATTAGTCTTTCAGCAAAAGCAGGGTGCCCTCTTGTTCTATACAATTCCATGCCCTTACCTTCCACATACTCTTTAAAATCTTCACCTGCTATGGCTCTTTCATCATCAGTAAAAAATATTTTTTTGCGTTGTTCCCGTTTTTCTTGAGGCTTCTTTAGCTCCTTCATGGACATCCTCACCATTTTTGGTCTTAATCGGAACCACTACGAAACTATCCCCCAAACTGAAGTCCCGACTGCAGAAGAACTCGCATTGTTCTAAAATCAGGGTGTGATTTTGGTAAAGTGTGTATTTGATTTTAATTTTGGGCGAAGTCAAGGTCAGATTTTTGTAAATTCAAGGTCTGATTTTGGTAAAGTCGGGGTCTGATTTTGATTTTGAACAAAGTCAGTGTCTGATGTTGATGAGTGCAAGGCTGAATTTGGTTAAATTCTGTTCATTGTTAGTGGTTTTTTGTTGTCTAGATTCTCCCATGGCTCTATTGTGTCGTCTAGATGTCTCCCGTTGAGTTGTCTAGATGTCTCCATTGAAATGTTTACATGGCTAGATTTATATAATGGTCTTGGAAGGAATACCCCATAAATTTCATAATAATTTATTATGAAAATTATGTTTATCTATCTTTTCTATTTACTATTTTTCTATGAGGGAGTCTTCCCGACTTTTTTTAACCCCAAAAGTTTATGTGATATATTTTGTGGTTAAACCAGCCAATAGTTGATGTTTCAGATGATGTTGCATACTGCTATGAATGCTTATATGTTGGATGTTGTTAGAGAAAAATGTGTGAACAGTTGTATATGGTTGGTGGCTGGTTTTTTAAAAGTCGGGAGGCTTATATATATATAAATAATATAAATAGGGGGTTTCTCGTTCCTGACAATTCTCCTTCAACTTCATTCCATTCCATTCAACTCTCCAATGCTGGAGACGGTCAAATGTCAAATCGTGCTCCAACTTCCCAGACCTTCTGCAAATAGGCATGTAGCCGTGGGTCCAATCGAGCTTCCCGGCCTAACGTTGGGGCCGAGGGACCGGCCTTTTGGGGACTTTTGCTTTCCAAAATCATGGAAGATCTGGGCATATGCCAAGCTTTTGTACATGACATATCCGGAAATTTTCACAACTTGTGGGATGATTCATGGATTTCCTATACATACATAACTATAAACCCACCATTTGCAGTAAGACCAGTAAGCTCATGTGAGGTCACGGCGAGCTCAGCTAGCAGCTAGGACTCGAACGTGGCTCTTCCAACACCAATGCCAATAGAGATGCCATCCGATGTGGATTAAAGCAGTGGGCATTGTACTCCAGAAGTTCCCACAGACCAACCTGTCTGACCTGGCCAACCTGGCCAACCTGGCCAACCTGTCCCTGGCCGGTGGATGCATTTCTGGACCTAAACCATCCGATGTGCAAAGGATGGCCATTGTTGGGCTTCCCTCTCCGCAGCTTCCAGAGATTCCAGCGACACAAGCTGCTCCTCGTCGCACCGCGCATGGTCCACACAGGACCAGCTGCAGTGCAGACGCATCAGAAATGCCATGTTTTAGCTACCGCGGTTCTACGCTGGACAACGTGAGAAGAACTCACTGATTGCTGATTTCTCCTACTCGTGCTCACAAAAGAAAAGAAATCAAGCAGTATGCGCAGGGTATCAAGGACGTTTGAAGAATCAATGGTTGTCCAAAGAAGCATTCGATACTACTCAATCGTTGCCGCAAATCCCTGGCTGACTTGGGCTCGTAGCTTTGAAAGCTTAGCTCGCTCAAGCCCAAAACTGCAGTGGCAGAGCAGCGTCACAAAGGGCTGTACGCCAAATGCTGCAATGCTGCAATCAACATGCAGGACGCACGATACAAATCGATACGAGTGGTTGGCAAAGTACTTCAGATGTTCCACCAAAAACTTGCACATCCTCTTCTTTAAATCCTTCATGGATGTCAAATGACGTTGCTAGCTTCGATGATTCAGATTCTGGTGAGCTCTTTTTTTTCTTCAATTCGCGAGCTGTACACATGCGCGATATGCACGGGCCGAACCAGCCAGAACATTCTTGGTCAGGATCGTCATTGCTTGGCAAGACAACCCTGAAGAGCTGGGTGGACATTCCATGCGATAGGACCTAGGAATCCCCCGCAGAAATATGGGCACAGCTTGGAATGGACAGGTTCCTACACAATTCTTTGCTCCCTCCAATGGTACAAAGTATGTCCCATATTTCTGGAATGCACACAGTTTTTCCAAATGGAGTGGGTCAAAAACCCATCCATTCACCCTCTGCTTCTGGAGCGTGTGCTGGCGCTGGACCTTTTGCTGCTGGAGCGCCCAACAGCATCTGCCTGCAGATTTTTTCAAATGGGATTTTCATGGACTTTACATTGGGTTTGCCTGAAAAAGCTGGATTTATCAGAACAACCAATTCTGATGGTTTCTCATGGTTTATCATCATTCTCCATAACCGTGGCCATTCGGGGAGATACCACACTTTCAGACACACACACACACACACCAGTATGTCTCGAGATAGGGCGCTCCTAAGTCCAAATTGCCACAACTTGGGGATACCAATGGGGGATACCCTATTCCTGATATTCCTGGAGTAAACAAGGGTATACATTGGTATACCCCTAAATCCACTGGTTTCCCTGCGATGAATTGTGACGTTCCCGGGATTCCGAGCCGGTCCACTGATATACCGGACCGAGCCGCTGGAAGCGGCGTCAAGCCAGTCAAAGTCGCCAGGAAGTTCTGTGGTGCTGTGGTAAGCACACCTCGATGTCTGGTGAAACGCCCCTTCTCATTGACTTTGTTTTCTTGGACAGACAATATATATATGTATATGCATATGTATATTATATCCTACGTATATATTATATATGTATATCTATATACAATTATACAGATACAGTATATATGTATATATATATATATATCAATATACATATCAATATATGCTGGGTTTCTCAGATTTTTAAAGTACAAGTTACAAAACGGGGGACTACCTGAATGGTGGCCCTTGATGCATAGTCAGGGAGGTCACCCCCAACATTTTCCTAACACTTCCCGCGTAGACAGAAGGGCCCCTTGACTCCATCTGCCCAGCAGCTCTTGCCCGCTTGAAATGCCAGCCATGCGTTCTCCGGTGGATCCTCGAAAGTCCAGTATTCGGAGATGCTCCCTACCACAAATAGCATACAAATAGCATAGTCATATATCACATTCCACACTGTACCGTACATACCATGCTGATTCATGCTGTATGCTGTACTGTGCCACTATGCTGAGTACTTTCCAGTGCGTCTTGGGGCCCGAAGAACCTTGCACCACCAAGTGAGACCTTGAACCCCCGGTGGGAGAAGGGATGCTTGGCACAGGGAAGTTGCAGGGAGGACAGGCAATGGCAGCTTCTGTTTCGAATAAATGCAGGCTTCCTATAAAGTGGGGGTACCCTTATCCATTATAAACCATCCATTTTGAGGTCACCCCATTTATGGAACCCCCAAATTGCTTGATATAGGGCAGTGGGGTCTAAAGATGTCTAAAGAATTGCTTATTTGGAATCTTGGCCCGAACGATGCGAAAGAAGTGCAAAAAACTCCAATCCGAGACCAAAGATCTGCGTCGAAAGCGACTTCCTTCTCTGTTATCCGTGGTGCTCCGGCTGGTGGCAGCCGGGGGTGCGGCAACCTTGGCCAAGTATTGCTGAAACGGCAAACATTGTGACACCTACTGTACTCATTGCGGCCTTGGAACTGCAGGAGTATGCGGCGGCTCGTCTTGGGTTCATCCCTGACGTAGTGCTCAATGACCAGTTTGGGCAAACCAAGTTCAGGCTTGAAGTGAACTGTCATATGACATGGATATGCCCTGGCCATGGCATATTCGAATGCATATCCCAGGGACTTGTTGTTGGCTTCCTTCACCGTGGCTGTCGGCTTGGAATAGCCTGGATTGATGTTGAAGTCAACCTTAAGGACGCTTCCTTTTTCTGGCACCCCACCCTCTGCGGAAATCACCTTGAAGAATGTGGTGTAAGACCTCTTACTTCCGCTCCCACTGGAGGTGTTTCCGTACTGAAGAACCAGTCGTTGCGATTCTTGGCGAAGATCCACCAACTGTTGCAGCAAAGCCACTTGGCCCTCCGTGCCACTGTCAGATGATTTCACCCGCTCTTCCACTTGTGCAAGTAGCTCTGGAGAGGCATCTGAGACAACTTTACCACCTTTCACATCCACAGGTGTATCACACACTGGACACTCGCGCATGTAGCGAACGGTCACTTCCACGCAACAGGCACAAAGGGCACAGCGACATTTCGTGAGGCGAATTGGCTGAATTAGGGCCTTCCGGCAAAAATCGCAGTCCTTCTGTGCTGCTTCCTGTTCGAGGAGGGCTGTTGCTTCTTTAGCTTCTCTGGCTTGCCGCTCTTCATCATCTTCGTCATCATCTTCGTCCATACCTGCGACCGGCAGGAAGCACCTCCAACCATCTCCAACCTGAAAAAACCTGCAACAGCCACCCATGAAATTCCGATGCCAGCAGTACTGTACCCCATTCCATCTCATGGTTGGCAACATCATTTTCCCTTTTATATTGGCCATATTACATGCGGGTTCATCTTATCTTGAAGATTCTTGAAGTATTGACATTTTCACCAAATCGACGTCCCACGGCAAGGTCCCCCCGTCTTCCAGGTATAAGTGAGTTTAAAATCATATGCGCTCATATACATCTATATATTAGACATCCTTACACCATGATACATCATTGTTAGCCCAGTCCAAAACCAACATAAACCAAGATAAACCAGAAATAAGCAGAGCTCACCCCCAGCAGTTGCCTTCAAACAACGGAATCAACGGCTTTCCCGCTTTGGGCTCCAGCTTTGGAGCTCCAGCAGCTTCGGCTTCGCCGGCTCCATCGCCCGACTTCTCAGTGGGCTCCGGAGTAGCAGTACCGCCCTTGTGCCCCAGACGTTCCACCAAGACCTGGGGAATCCAAAGATGGGGATGGGAAAGTCATCACCATCATCACTTATGGCTAAAAATTCTGGCAAATTTTATATATGAAAATACCTGGGAAAAGGATGGGAACTATTTCGAAAGCATGAAATGGGAGATGAATGGGGTACCTGGCTTCTACCCTCTAGTTTTTCAAAGACACCTGAGCTCCAGGAGGGCGTACACGAGCAATTCGTCCAGTCACCACATTTTCGTAGACGATGGTGTTGGTTGACTTGTCCAGTTTGGCGCGCCAACAGTTCTCATTCACTGCGGTAGGAAGATCAGGAGCATCGGCTTCGTCGTAGCCACCCCAGGCATCAAACTCTTCGCCATGTTTGTCGTTCCATCCATTGAAGCCGCCAGCCACCCGGGTCAGGTCGGGGAGGTCCTTATCCCTACGACCTCCAAGTCTTTTGTTCTTCCAGCCTGGATAAGTCTCAAGCATCATGGCAATCATTTCTTCACCTGTGTGATGCACTTCCCAGTCACCATCGACAGATCTGGTGAACTCAAAATACCTGGGATTCGGCAAGTGTCGTCTCATCTGCCGGCCAACCGAGACAGGGTGCCCAGCATCTTCAGTGTCGAAAATCAACAGACTCGGCTGGGCAATGGCTGTATATCGATGCGGAGCATGTCCAACCGGGTGGACCACTGCAAGGGTGTGCATGAGCTTTGGACATTCTAAGGCGCAGTTCAAAGTGGCACATGCTCCTTGACCTTCAAAACAAAGCCACCCGAGATTGATGGCAAGACGTATCTCTCAGCCCCCGGTTTGCACATAAAGAAAAACCACCAATGTCAACCCCGGATTAATGTCAACCCCGGACCCCGGTGAATAAATCTACCACTAAAGTCTAACAGCCGGTGGGGTTCAACAACAGTCCGGGCTTCTTTAAATGCCTTGCCAGGCGACTTGATCCCACCAAACATGCCACGGTCTTCCTTCCAAGTGCTCGAACGATGTTGGAGATCAAGGCACCGGGATAGGAACGAATGCTTTGTTTATCTCCAGGGGAACGAGCATAGCCTGGACAATCGATGGCCACCTGATAGAAGCTCTTTGGCAGATCCCCAGAACCTCGTGATCCGTGGCATCGTGATGCAAACAAAGTGCCACTGCAATCTGTCAATTTATGTGAATTTCTTTTGCAATAGAGTGCCTAAATATCTTTTTCATTCTTTTTCACAGCTGGCAGGGCATGTTTCAGCATCTCACATAGTGCAGCAAGTACTTAGTGCTCTTCGGTTGAACGGCCAAGGATTTTACATCTTCCCACTGCGAGGATACTTCAAATATTTATTTATTTTCTGCTCTCTAACAATCCCCAACCCTTCCCTGCCTGCGCTGGCCAGCATGGCCACATCCATGACCAACTTGTTCCAGAACATGGAACTGTTGCAGGGGCCAGAACCGTGGATGTAGAGGATCAAGGGGTCCTTCGGATCCCCTACACACCGGGCAAAGACATCACCGAAGTCTGCCGTTTCAATCCAAATGCACCGACGGTTCAGTGCTTGATCATCATCCTCAACGTCTGTGACCATTGGATCCGAGTCAAATGCTGTTGCAACTGATGCTGCTTCTGGTTTCAGCAGTACATTTCTAGCGCTCAATGCATACTTCAGGGTGTGCAGAGTCACATCAGACTCGGTTTGAACCGGGCTCACACACGCCAGCATCTGTGTCTTGGCCTTGCCCCCTAAGGAGCTTTGCATCAGTCGCGTCAGCGAACTGTCGCGGTATGGAACCCTTTCGGATCCTTCGGCCAAGGCCCTTATCACACGGCCCAGCACCAACAAACCCATGTTGGTACCGACCCCCGCTGCATCCACTGACCCACCATGTGAGCGTTCCATCGATTCGGCCCCTGCTAGGTCCACCAGAGTCAGTCGGGCGATTTGAGTATGAAACTTGGAGGCATCTGTTTCACCCACATCACGCCAGCGGTGTTCCACACTGACCACCAGTAAGGCATGGGATCGACTGGAATGGGCATGGACACCAGTGGCTGCAGTAGCTCTTGCCCTGGCACCAGCAGCCACCACTTCTAGAAGATGTTCACAGGATTTGATCCTCTCCTCCTCAGGGGAAGAAAGATCTGTGTCCCATTGAGCATGTGATTGAATGGCACTTCACTAGCTAATATCCCCAGAATCTTTCGGTTTGTCTCACTGGGGGGATACCATGGCATACCTCCAGTGCATGGCCAGGTTTAAAATCTTGAGACAAACCCCAGGTGGCAAATAACCAAAGTACACCCCATTGACTATCTTGGTTATCAAAGGGAATGGAATTACAACCCCTGTGGGAAGTCCTCAAATCTGTGTGTCATCCCTTCATACTGACTGGTTGAGAACGGGATTCCCATGAAATGGGTGAGTTCATAATCCACGAAATAAAACAGGTAGGTTCATAACCATTTATTTCAAAACTCACCCCCCATTCGTAGTTGATCAATACCCTACAAATGATGGCAATGATGGTTGCACTACTTGATCAAAACCCTACAAATGATGACTAACATCCCCATGCAATAACTCATCAACCGCTTGAATGTTACATTTATCCCTTGTCCTTTGCTCCATCAGCATACACTCTCCCATCCGCAGCTTCTCGCAGCGCGCATGCCCCTGAGGGCTCACGGGACGCCGAGACAGGCCCGCTTAAAAGGTCAAAGGCGTTCTCGCAATAAACCTCCAAGAAAGAGACCTGGCTGCATGTTTGATTCAAAATTGAAACGCCTGAAAAGATTGAAAAAAACTCTTTAAACTCTACGACAAGAAATGATTGGGTGTGGATCAAAACCCCGCATCGATGAACATCCAAATAATTGGGAAATGATGGTACATGGATGTTCATCCCCCAAAATATGGTAACAAAACGTAAACAAGATGCAGCCCACGAACCCGAATGCAGTCACGTAGAACACATATGTGAAACAAACTATTTGAACAGTCTACATTTTTTCCCTGCTACCGTACATACCAGTGCACTGTAGACTGTTGAATGCGGAAGACGGTGGAGTGCAAAGTGTGGAGTGTGGAGTGTGGAGTGTAAAGTGTAGAGTGTGGAGTGTGGAGTGTAAAGTGTAAAGTGCGCACTGTAAAGTGTAAAGTGTCGAGTGTGGAGTGTAAAGGGTAAAGTGTGGAGTGCGGAGTGTAGTCCGTAGAGGTTTCGTGCGAGGCTTTCGTCAACTTTCAGCACATCTCACAAAATGCCATGCCTGCCACGGAATTTGCACGTTGTCACCGCTGGACGCAGCCCTTGTCACCGCTGGACGCAGCCCTGACAATGCGATTCGCAAAAGCCACGCAACACGACTCCTCTAACGTGCTGCGCCTGCCATGCAAAATGACGATGCACTCGTCATGACTCGTCCAAAGTGCCTGCCACGAAAACAGCAACGCATCTTCAGAAAATGACGCAAAAGTATTGCGAAAGTATTGCGCATGCCACACAAAACCGCTTTCGACACGCTACGAAACACGTCTGAATGTCACGAAGTGCCACGCCTGCCACGCGAAACGAATCAACGCGACGCTGGAAACCTCCAAAAGTGACCCCTGTTGCAGAACTTACTATAGGCACGGCCATACGGCCCTCACGCGAAGGTTTCGAACGGTTGCGGACGTAAACGCAACGTCGAGCGAACACATCCTCAACCCCCAGACCCCCAGAGTGAAACGGGAACCCTTGCTACACATTCGGGAAAAAGGTTTTGACCCGTCCCCCTGGGTATGGGTCAAAAATGGGGTACCCGCGGCCCGGTCAGAAATGGGTCAGATTTACCATAAAACCATTCGTGGTCCAAGAGTTTTGATCCATTCTTTATATCAGTATTGTATCACTACTGATTTCAATATTGTTTATATCAGATTGTATCCCACATACCCCCATAACATGCTTCGTTGAATACATACTGAACCCTGTTTCATTGGTTGATGGGCTTCGTGGCTTCGTTTTTTGCTAGCCACGAAATTTGCTTCGATTTTTCCTCCTGATGTCGTTGTTCCCCTCTTCTGTTTTTTTTGTTGGACCGTCAATGGTGTAAATCTCTCATTTTCAAAACCATAGCCTTTGGCAATTCAACATAGGGAACTTGAAATCACAATGTTTCATAGCCAAATTATGGACACATGGCTCATTTTCATCCCAATTTTCCATATTGTAGCTATGTTAAATTACCAAAGGCATAAATTGCACCAAGACGCGCGAACTTCGTAGGCCGAGAAGCCACCAGCACCAATTGCCGCTTTGGTTTCGGCTTCCAAACGGGCGATGCGCCTGAAGAGCTCCCCCGCGGCACGCGGAAGGATGCCATCCTGGCATTTTGAGATGAACAAGGAAGTCACTGGAGAACATCATTACAAAACAACCATATATATATTAATATGTATATATATGTATATATGAATATTATATGTATATATGTATATTATATGTATATATGTATATTATATGTATATATGTATATTATATGTATATATGTATATTATATGTATATTATATGTATATTATATGTATATATGTATATTATATGTATATATTATATGTATATATGTATATATGTATATTATATGTATATATGTATATATGTAAATATGTTTAAATGTATGTGTTAATATGTGTAAATATATGTATATATGTGTATATGTGTATATATCAGTATATACATATATACATACATAAACAAATATAAACACATTTCAAAACATGAACGTCATATAAGGTCATCAGGGTTTTTATAATTTGTAGCTTTGACACTCAAAAACAACAAGCAGCGTCCTGTTTCGCTTGCCGTCGACCACCCTCTGGGCCAAGCATAGAATGTGTCTTTCCAGCACCTGTGGAGCCAAAGGCAAAAATGCAGGCATTGGTGCCCTCAATGACAGCATCCACCATTTCTGCGGCACAAGCACTGTAGACCTCCTGCTGAGTGGCTTCCTGGGTGATGAAATATGATGAAATATGATGAAATATGATGAACTGATGAAACATCAGCAACTTGCAGCAACTTGTCGCTGTAGCTGCTGATACAAATTTTAATTTAGAATGCTTTAGAGATGTTCAGAAGATTGGAAAGTCTTGGGAGGAATGTTTTGATATGTTTTGACATATTGATTGACTTTCTCATGGCAGGTGCCGCCTCCGCTTGGCAGTATCTGAGCTTTCGACTGGTCCAAAAACTCGGTCATAGACAAATTGCTTGGAGTCAGAGCCATCCATAGCTTCCAAGGTCACACCATCAATGACTTGCACGGATTTCACATTGCCAACTCGGCCATCATGCGGCTGTGGCGGACGAATGCGCACCGCCACTTTCAAGGGGCACGCCATGGTCGTGGGCAACGGCAACTCAGCTGAAATGGCTGCAACCTTTGCAAGCGATCGCGCTGTAAAAGCTTCAATCACAAGCATCATTTGTTGGTGATTCCTCGTACTTGCTGGTTCATACCCCCCTTTTCGTCCATTTTTTCATGGTTGACTTAATGTCACTTAATATCCGAATTGAATGTACTGGTTCAAACTGGTTCTATTCCCATATGGTAAAACTCCTTGTCTTCAAGGACGAATCTTCACAAGATACGCCTTGCGCAGCAAACTCCCTTTTCACCCTGCGACTTTGGCAGCATCCACTTCAAACTATTTGTTGGACTCTTTGGCTTTGTTGTTCTTTTCCGCGGTCCCTGCATTCCAAAGGAGTGAGCATGTGAGATACAGTCAAAAACTGCGGAAAAAATGATGGGAACCATGATGTTCTAATATGTTCTAAACAATTTCTCCAACCATTGGATTTTAGTGGTTTTAGAGGAGTGTCCCAACATTCTCCGACAAACCCACATGGCGCCTGCAGCAAGTCTCCAAGAGTCCTCCATACACTGCAGCCGCGCCCACTCTGCCTGTGGCTTTGGTCAAATTCCAAAGGCCAACGGAACGCAAATGGCTAGTCATTTCAGTAATCACCTGCATGTTTTTTTTTTGGCTGCCTATCTAATTGACACTAATTGACCCATAAATCGGCCCGTTGCCGCCTTCTATGCAACTGATGTCTTATGTCCAAAATGCAATAGAAACACCAGAAACAACGACAATATTGGCGCGAATGATAGGTAATAACAGTTATACAGTACTAGAAACAACAACTAGAATGAATCCAATAATGATAATGACAAGAACAAAGACAATACCAGTCCGAACAATGGTATCAATTATATAGAATAATTGAGAATAAGGATAATCACTTCTATCGTAGAATTGTAATGGCCGATAGTATACAATGTATAGCAACCATCAAAAAATAGAACCGTTGGAAACCTCGAAGATATGGGGGAAACATCATCTTCATCCTGGGTCCAACTTTCGGCATCTGACGATCCAGTGGCCTCCAACAAGAATCTGAGCTGCTCTTCTCCATCCAAATCGGATGGCAACATTGTAGGACCACGAATGGCCTGCAGGATGACAACAAGACTCTGAACATGGATAAACATCCAGTGGGCATTATGGGTTGATAGTGGTTAATACGTATTAATTACTAGATGTTTGTCTTTTCATCATTTTCTCAATCCATTCATCATCTTTCATCTAACAGCAGGTGACTTTTTGGATCTGGATTGGATGGATTTGGAGGCAATTTACACAAACTTTTGGAATGTTTTGGATATACGATGATATACCGAACACGCTGAGGTTGCAACTCTCAGTGGGGGAAGTTCCCACATTGTCACCAGCGTCCGGACGCACCTGTGATGGCCATCGCGCTGGTGCTCAGATCTTTGGCCGCAGAAAACGGAAATGTTGTGCAATATTTTGTAATTCTGTGACGCACTATGGGCACACTCAAGGGTGACTACTTTCCTGGTTCACATAGCCGGTCATGGGTTCTAAACCAGCCAACCAGTCTAGAACAGATTCAATGTTCTGCTCTTCACAATTTTCAAAACCAGCAAAACACATTAGCAAACCACAGTACCAGGAGCTGCCAGCCATCCTTTGGTGCTGATTCAAGCAGGCTCATCAGCTTCTAGCGGGTCATCATTGCGCAAAATGCTCCGCAATGCGGCGCATGGGTTTTCCAGAACCTCATCTTTCTGACCTGAGGACAACGCTACAACAAATCCGCCGACCCCGGATGCGCAAGGGTAAGGGAAGAAGAGTTATCAGAACACCAAACTACAGCTGCTGCTACTACTACTACTACTACCACTACTACCACTACTACCACTACTACCACTACTCTGGATTGTAGATAGTAAATTAGATAGATAGATTAGAATATAGTTAGATAGATTCTAGATATAGATATATAGATTAAATATATTAAATTATAGATATTATAGGTATTAGATGATAGATAGATAGATTCTAGATAGATAGATTCTAGATTCTAGATATTCCAGACACGTTAGGGAGTTTTTGGTTACTTGCTTTTGGCCCATCCGTCCTTCACTGCCATGGTGTTTTCCTGTCCGGCTGCTACGTTTTTGCATGCGCAGCTGGAAAAGATGAAAAACTGCCTGTTTTAGTAAGATTTCAGAAAAGACGTTAGGCATTTTTGGTGTTTTTTTTTGCTAGCTTTTGGGTACGACATTAGGTGGTGTTTTGCTGTTTCAGACGCGTCACAAAAGCATACAGCCTGTGCTTTGGGGGCGGGCTGGCTGCAAGATGTGGCAAGCAGCTGGAAAAAAGTGAAAACACGGTCTGTTTTAGTCGGGTTTCTGAAAAGATGCTAGGCATTTTGGTTGGCTTTTTTTCGTGCTTTGGGGCTGGCTGGCCAGCTGGCTGGCTGCAAGCGGTGGCAAGCAGCTGGAAAAATCGAAAAACTGTTTGTTTTATAGTCGGGTTTCAGAAAGGACGTTAGGCACTTTTGGTGGTTTTATTTGCTAGCTTTTGGGTACGACATTAGGTGGTGTTTTGCTGTTTCGGAAGCGTCACAAAAGCATACAGCCTGTGCTTTGGGGGCGGGCTGGCTGCAAGATGTGGCAAGCAGCTGGAAAAAAGTGAAAACACGGTCTGTTTTAGTCGGGTTTCTGAAAAGATGCTAGGCATTTTGGTTGGCTTTTTTTCGTGCTTTGGGGCTGGCTGGCCAGCTGGCTGGCTGCAAGCGGTGGCAAGCAGCTGGAAAAATCGAAAAACTGTTTGTTTTATAGTCGGGTTTCAGAAAGGACGTTAGGCATTTTTGGTGGTTTTATTTGCAGCTTTTGGGTACGACATTAGGTGGTGTTTTGCTGTTTCGGAAGCGTCACAAAAGCATACAGCCTGTGCTTTGGGGCTGGCTGGCCGGCTGGCTGGCTGCAGGAGGTGGCAAGCAGCTGGAAAGCTGAAAAGTATTTGTTTTAGTAAGATTTCAGAGAGGACGTTAGGCGTTTTTGGTGGCTTTTTTTGGCTAGCTTTTGGGAACGAAATTACAGGTGGTGCTTTGCTGTTTCGGACGCGTCCCAAAGGTATACAGCCTGTGCTTCGGGGCTGGCTGGCCGGCTGGCTGGCTGCAGGAGGTGGCAAGCAGCTGGAAAAGCTGAAAAAACAAACTGTTTGTTTTACTAGTGTTTCAGAAAGGACGTTAGGCATTTTTGATGGTTTTTTTTTGCTAGCTTTTAGGTACGACATTAGGTGGTGTCCTGCTGTTTCGGAGCATCACAAAAGCATACAGCCTGTGCTTTGGGGGCTGGCTGGGTTTTCAGACACACCCAGAGTTCCGCGTCTGAAACAAGCGCCTGAGCGCCCGCTAAGACTCGGGCCGTATTGCACGATCTGACCCTCATGCACCTGCCAGGATTCTGCCAGGATGTTCCATCAATGGCACTGGATCATTCATCATTCCGGAAAATGGTTGTGGGTCAAAACCCTAGGTACCCTAGGTACCCTGAAATAGCTGGTTAATGGATGTTAATTCTCCCAAATATGGGTAATAAATGGTAATCTAGTAGTAATTAATAATAGCTTTTGACCCATCCCCAAATGAACATTGGATTGTTTTGGATGATTTTGGATGATTTTGGATGATTTGAGTAGGCCATTACAATCCAGTAGAAATAGATACAATATGATACACTAATCATCAGTCAAGACATCTGAAGAGATATGGATTGATCCCTGCAGATGACATTGAGATGAGCTGCCCAGCTACAGAGGGACGACTTCCGCTGACATGTTCAATATCCAAGAAATCATCAACCATCAAAACAGTCATGTTGATTTCAATTCTACTGTAATCAATACAGTAATCAAATTAAACAAATATGATTAAACAAAGTTGTAAACATATTAATTGTACTGTAATCAAAGTTGATTTCTCTGCCCCCCACAAAAAACATGACATCGGGGTCTATTTCAAGTGATGCATCCCAGCCAACATGTCCCCGATTGATCAAGCAAGTCAGTTTGGCCACTGCCACACGATCACACCACTGGAGTGAGCTCATCCTTTGCTGCTGGACTTTTCGATGGATTCTGTTCACTTATTCTGATCATGTAGTTAAACCATGTTAAACCATACCTCCAGCTGGGGATGGTGTGTAGCATTTATGGTCCAAATGGAGAAGGTTTTACCTAATTTATATGATGGACACTTTCAAGACCCCATAGAAGTCCATTCAATGCCAGCAGTTCTTTGCAGAGTCACCTGTGGGTAATGACCAAGCATGTGCAGTCCCCAGAAGACAGAACTCCCTGAAGCGCTTGATGGACAGCTCGCTCAGATCTTAAATCCAAAGCGGACGTTGCCTCATCGAAGATCAGCATCCGCGGCTTCCGCGCCAAGGCGCGCGCGATGCAAACACGTTGCTTCTGGCCACCGCTTAATGCCTGACCCCTCTCGCCAGCGAGGGTATCCATCCCAAGGGGAAGGAAATCAGCGAATTCATTGACATGGGCAGCAGCTGCCGCCTCTTTCACTGCACGCTGATTCTCTTCGGACACATCCTGACTTGGTATGGAGCTGTTCAAACCATACTCCACATTCTGCTGGATGCTCATGGCAAAAAGGGTTGGCTCTTGACTAATGACTCCCAGTTGAGATCGTACCCAGGCAGTGGTCTGTGTATCTGAAAACATATCCTGTCCATCCACCAGAATCCTTCCAGAAATTGGCTCGTACAAGCCTGCCAGCAACAGAGCAATGGTCGACTTGCCTGAGCCACTCCTTCCGAGCACGGCCACCCTGGATCCGGATGGAATGTCCAAAGTCAAACCCTGAAGGACATGCGCTGTGGGTCTGGCTGGATAGACAAAACTCACATCCTCAAACTTCACAGCCAAAGGTCTGGCTGGTGCAGCAACTGCAGCAGCTACTGCGCCACTGACTTCTGCCCTGACTTCACCTTGAGTGCCCAAGATTTCCAGCACCTTCTGGCACGACCCCAAGCATTTCTGAATGTCTCCATAGGATGTCATCATGCCAGTATAAGAAGATCCAGCCATGAAACAATACATGGCCAGACTCACCGTGGTTCCCACGCTGACCACGCCACTTGATACCATCACACCACAGTTGTAGATTATATGAAGGAGGAACAAACCGCCTCCTGTCACGAAAAAGCAGGACAGTCCTGCTGACGCTAAGGCATTCTGCCAGCCTGCTTGGTAAACAGCATCAAGCATTTCTTCGAAACCTTTCAGGGGTGCTGAGTGCAACGAAAATGTTGGAAGCTCCGTGACGGTGTCACAGTGGAAAGGTGAAGGCCAATAAATGTTAAAACGGGGTATCCCGAAAATTGGATGGTTCGTGCTGAAAATCGCCAGTCTTTTTGTGGTTCTCTGGGTGTCGCGTTTTATCCCATTCCCATCTCCAAGACATGAACAAAAACCATCAAAAACCCAAGCGACAGGCCTTTCAGCTCTCGGCTTTCTGCATTAAAAGTTCGAACTGTCCGAATGCCGCTTAATCTCTCCTCAGCCCTTTGAACAGCCTCCGCAAGTCTTTGTTGCCGCCTCTCGGCAATCCGACGCACCAAACGGCCGTAACCAACTCCAACCACAAAAAGGGCAGCAACTGGTGACAGCAAACCCAAAATCATCTCTTTTGGTGCCAGTTGGAAGATCATACCTGACCATTCACGCATTGATGTCATGACCAAATAAGTCATACCTGATACCTAAAATATCCTAAAATTGTTTTATCAAACATGGCAAGCTGGGAAATTCCCGAATCAAATGTTGTTTATTTCTTTAAATGGGAAATCATCTATAAATGCTGGATTAACATCCAAGAATGGTAGCATAACATGTATATACCAAAGTTCCAACAAGAGGCAGGTGCCGACCAGAGCCGTGATGGAACTTCGAATGCCGGCAGATGCATCTATAAGCACCCTGCTTGTCATAGTGATATCATTCCCAAGCCGATTTACTAACTCTCCAGTTTTGTTGTTGTCAAAGAAGGCAATGGGCCTGTGGGGGCGTACTGTAGCGGCGTAGCGATCCACTGGTTTGAACAGCCATGGCCATGATCTATTTTGACCTATTTTGAATATTTTTGAATCACTTCTCTGTGGATTCTTTTAGGCCATGATGGCCACTATCTGACTACAGTATCCTGCGGCGAAACCAAACATCCTTCAATCACAGTTCATCATCCCAAACACAGATTCGATTCATGGAAACTGAATTAGAAGTGCGTCCGCAGATCCAAAGCTACCCACCAAGTCTCAACCAAGTCTCAACCAGGTCTCAAGCATCTTTTCCTTATTTTTCCACACCACAGCCCACTGCAGCCCACCTGCAAATCAGCGCGGAGAAGAATTCTCGTCTCAAGCGGAAGGCGATCCGCTCGATGGCTGTCTCTATCAGGTACAGTCGACAGAAAGTGGCAGCTCCACCAGCGAGGACCACCAAACCGCAGAGCCATGTATGCTCCATGATGAATTGCAAACCACCTTGACCTTCTCCAAACATATCCACCAAACGACCCATGAGGTAAGGATACGACCTCGGTACGTTAGGAAATCTGCAGATATGTATAGGGATGTCACACTTTTTTCAGGGATTTCTCTGCAGGTTTCGACGTTGACCCTGATCTGAACCACTCTGATATCAAACATCGCACTGGTGAGGCAGAGGCACAAATTCACAGACGACGAAGCACATAGCGCCACCAGTGCCAACCTTGGAAGGCTGCCGTAGCTTACGAGCGAGCTTTTTGCACAGCTTGCGAGCTAACATAGCTAACATGAACAGAGTCTCGCAACTGGTGCTTGCATTTCAAGCATCAAAACATATCAAAACCATCCTACAAGTAAATCAGGTCGAAACAGAGTAACAGAGTAGCTATCATGAAATTAACATCTGCCAGCCACAGCACTGAAGTCTGCCACGCTCGGGTCGAAGTATTTGCCACAACTGTGGAATGGATGCAGGAGCCTTTTCTTTCTCCTGAATCACTTGTGATCTGATTCAAATTGAATCGCAGACCGCAAACTTGTGTATGGATCTTCGATTCGGAATCCTTAACAAATGATGAAAACATGTAAATATCATCAAAAAAATCATCAAATCATATCAAGATAAGCAAAGACACCTCAAGGATCTCGACCTTCTTGTAGCTGGAAAACTGCAATCTACCGTAGATTGGAACTCGACTTCTGGCTCCAAAGGTCCACACGGGGCCTTGCGTAGCTGGGAGTACCCGAGAAACGGCAGAAACACGACCTGGTTCAACGCAGATCACTATATGTTTGTGTCTGAAAATGGATTAAGATCCCCCAAATGACATTAAATCATGTAGAAATGATATTGGCCTGAAAAACCGATTAAATTAGGTCTTTTCCCAGCATTTCAAACAAGATACTATAAGCAAATCTCATCACACATTGACCTGTGCAACCATTCTTCCCACCATGACCAATTGGTACTATTGTATACCACTGATTACCCCTGGTTATTCAACATAGCTATGGAAAATCACAATTTTTAATCGGTACGTCAACATTTTATCATCTAATATCATCTATATATAAATGGGCAATGTCTTCCATAGCTATGCCCATTTCTGGTGTCCAATACTCAGCAATCAGCTGGAACTGCCTGTGCACCGGAGTCGACAGCGGCCGGCGCCGCCCAGCAAACGATTCACGTACATTCGGAGCGGTGATGTTCGGTGATCTTCAGTTATGTTGTCCTTCATTTTGGGACCAAAATCGGGCACTTTCAGTTTTGCCGGGCCACCAAATCAAATGAGAATGGATGAAACCCTACTGTTTGGCAACCAATTAATTGATTAGTGCATGTCCACTCATGTTCTGTTGAAACTGTCTAGGTTTTTGGGCCTGTGAGCTCGATGCATACCTGCTGTATCTCAGCCGTCTCAAGCATTTCAAGTGCAAGCAAACTGAGAGTGCGCTGCCCTTGAGGACATCAGCAGCTGCACATGACTTTGCAGAAGAGACCATGAGTTCACGAAGTCCATGACAACTATAGATACAGATATACACACTTGTGAATCTAATTGTGAAGGCTTGAAGGGCTATTATCATCAGAATCTACATCAATTATTCATCATCATATCTATATCTATATATATATGTAATTATACGTAAAGAAATAATACAGATATCAACTATGAATGGGTCGTACTCAACGTTCTATGGTTCCGTTTTGGGATGGCTACCATGAGAATCTGCTGGGTTGATCATCCATCGCTGCCGTTTGATCCATGCCTGAAGTACGCCTTGTCCCTGTGGGGGAATCCCTGAAATGCTGGTTGAACATAGGCGGGTTTCTGCCACACTGACCTGAAGGCAGAATTCTCAGATGATCTCAGATGTAGAATTCATGGAACATCATGGGACCAACATATCCTGAGGATGTCCAGTGTGCTCATCATACAAGTAGCGGCCATGAAATGTATTCGGCCGCTCCCTCACCAATGAAACATGACGGTGCAAAATCGCTAATTTATAGGTGTCTTTTTCCCTTTCAAACTTCCATTTATAGTGGATTTCCCATTGCCACGTTTGATTACCGGATGGTATCAATGCTCACAATGTGAGCCTTCACCTGTTGCCGCAGATCCCTGATCTCTGAGGTAGTGACTCTCCAGTTCGCCTATTCCTGACCGTGCGCTTTTCGGCTTGGGATTTCCAGATTCGCCGGGGGTTGTATCAAAAATCCAATACTAAGAATCATCATATCATCATATCCCTCATGAAGACTGCCCTAACTGGGGGATAACACCCCTTTTTTGATACACACCGTTACACACCCTCTTGCACTTACGTGCACAATTGAAATCTTGAAATCGAACGGAATGATGGCCCCATGATTCATGGGCATGTCCTTTTTCGGGTTTTCGAACAAACATGCCAGGGCAGCCAATAGAAGGTTGGTCGATCATCAACGGAAGGAAACTCCACCCACTGGCGCGGGAATCAGAGCTCGGACTTCTGCCTGAAAATGGGGTCTATCAACAAATTGCATCAAATTGCTATTTCAGTAGGGATAATGATGATAAATGATAAAGCATTGGATTTTGGGTGCACCCATTTTTCAAACAAACCCGTATAAACCATCTGGCCATTTAAGAATACGGAAAATAACCAAACATAAACCATGGAAAGCGAGACTTCAAAAGTGCAAACATGGGATTGCGGCAGGCTAAGACATGAACCCAGGCCCAGCCCAGTGTTGCAAGAGAAAATTTGACTGACAGCCTAACCACAGACTTCCCTTCATCAATGGATTGGTTTAAGTTTCAGGGAGAATCTATGAGAATCTGCCGGAATCATCAAGAAACCATAGGATTTTCCATATTTTTTCCCTAGATTGGTCAGTTCCTGCAGATTTTTGAGTTGCGCATCGCCTCCTCAGACTCTGCGGCCGCGATTTGCATCGGCCGCAGTCGTGCCGACCATCCCAGATGGCGCAGTGCCGTAATCACCTGCGAAGAAGAACGCGTATGGCCATGGTCCCAGGGACCCAAACATTTCTAGTGAGGGGTTCTTACGGTAAGTTAAGGCCGGTGCTTGATCAGCGTGCCCTATCTGCTCCCTGGCATTCTTCCCGGGAATTTGCGCATGAGATTGCTCTTGTGCGATGTCCATGTCCATGTGCATTTCGACTGCGCAAGCTCGCGAATTTCTGGCAAAAAATTGCTCTTGTGAATTCTTGTGACATGTCCATGTGCATTTCGATTGCGCAGGCTCGCACAAAACGTAGGCCTAAGTCTTGGTCTGCCGCATTTTACCTGAGAATTTTGGCATAAATTTCTTTCGTGACATGTCCATGTCCCTTTCGACAGCGCGGGCTCGCACAAACTACGCGTCGCGATCTTGGTCCCCTGCATTTTTCCTGTAAATTCTCACGTAAAATGGCTCTTGTGACATGTCCATGTGCAATTCGACTGCGCAGGCTCGCACAAAGTGATCCTGATGAAATCCTCTAAGCGGTCTTGTGGAGATTCTGGTGACGTCCTGTCTTGTACAGGTCCTTACTACAAGATCTTGTGCAGATCCTGCTGAAATCCGTTGAAATCCTCTGAAAGGTCCTTGCCTGCATGGTCTTGCACAGATCCTTATGAGAAGCTCTTGTGAAGATCCTGCTGAAATCCTCCAAGAAGTCCTTGTGGTCTTGCACAGATCCTTATGCGAAGACCTTGTGCAGATCCTAGTGAAGTCCTGTCTAAGAGGTCTTTGCGTGATCTTGAACAGGTCCTTGTGAAAAGATCTTGCGGAGATCTTGGTGAAGTCCTCTCTAAGAGGTCCTTGCATGATCTTGTACAGGCCTCTATGAGAAGATCTTGTGGAAATCCTGGTGAATTTGTGAGAAGATCTTGTGACGATCGTGCTGAAATCATCTAAGAGGTCCTTGCATGATCTAGTACCGGTCCTTGTGAGAAGATGTTGCGGAGATCCTGTTCAAATTGTTCAAATCCTCCCTAAAAGGTCCTGGCATTACGATTTTGAAGGTGCTCTGCATCAGAAGTGCTTGTACGGAAGTTCTTCTGGGATGCTCCTAGGAAGTTCTTGTAACATGAAGGTCTGGTAAGATCCTCCATATGGAAGGTCATTCTTTGACGATCTTGTGAAATTCTCCTCGCTGTCCTGGTATGAGGTTCTGGTATGAGGTCCTACACATCGAGTTGCTTGTATTTACAGCATTGACTTCCTACCCCCCAAACTGTTTGGGGTCTCTTGCCGGTGTAACTTATGTTGAACACTTCAATGGAACTCCAAACTTTCGAAATCTTTCGATGTTGACGATCCACCTCCAAAGCTTTCTCCACCACATTCATCCTTGCATCAATCTGTACCTCATGGCAGGGGAAGTATCTGTCCTACCTGGGACTTTCTGTTGACAGCCTTTGATTTTATCCACGTGTTGATGATGATCTACTTTTGATTTGGTGATCTCCCATTCTCGGCCAGCTATTCATTTTTTTGGTCTACAGTTACTGGCCACCATTATCGTTGCCATTATTAACCATCATCAGCTATAGTTAACTGTGATTGATTATCGTTAACTGCTTTGCACGCGCAATGTACTTTTTTCTTACAAAACAACTACAACGATTAACTAATCATTACTGATAATCTGTTTGGCCCATTCTGAGATCTGGGACTTGCTGAAACGCCTCCAGCTCTTCCTCATCAGGCGGCTCGTAGTCCGCCGAGTGCCGCTTTAAGATGTCCTGTGCCGTTTTTCATACCCGAAAAACCTGTGGAAGAATATATAAGCCTGTTGAAATAACTTGTTTCACAAAAGTGTTTTACGTGACTGCATTCGGGTTCGTTGGCTGGTCTTGTTTTTCACATCAAGATTTGGCAAGAGTTATGCTCATCTCCCCAGATGTTTGGGTAGATTTTGTAGGAATACACTACTCTGATTATAAGGGGAATATTGGGATGATTCCCCGTACTAAGCATGATTCCAGTGAGGCCATTGTGAGGTCACTGTGAGGTCACAGGGAGGTCAAATGCATAGCGAAGGGTTTTCGTTTTACTTTGGGGGTCTGGGGGTGGACCTGTGTTCGCTCGACGCTGCTTGTGTGTCCGCAACTGTTGGCAGCACGGCCGTGTGGGGACCCTATTGGGAACCCTAGGGCCGTGCCTATGGGGAGTGCTGCAAAGTGGTCACTTTTGGAGGTTTCACACGTCGTGTAACGTCGTTTCGTGTGGCAGGCGTGGCGCTTCGGAAGACACTCCCACATGTTTCATAATTTGTCGAAAGTCGTTCTGTGTGACCGGCGCAATACTTTTGCGAGGTAACAGGATCACTTTGGAACACAGTCAACAGCATCACTTTGGAACACAGCCATTTTGGCATCACTTTGGAACACAAAATGCTACATATCATCAGACTACCGCCAACAAAACAGACATCAGATTTACTGACAGGCGCAGCACTTTGGAAGCCTCGCGCGTTCCAAAGCGATGCCTCTACCAAAAAAAGGCCCCCATGAGAAATGTAGTCTTCAGGTCGATGTCACCAAGTGCCACGCCTGCCACACAAAATGAAATACCTTTTAGGCTTTTGGTGGGGTGAGGGGTTAGGGTTCACGACTGTTGATGCTTCAGGGTGTTAGAATGTTTCTTACCATGTGCCAATCCAGATAACAACCATGGTTCTACCTTTTAGGCTTTTGGGGGGTTGGGGGGGTGGTTTACGGTTCACATCATGTGCCAAAACTGACAGTAACAGTGGTTCTACCTTTTAGGCCTTTTGGGGGGGTGGGGGGGGTTAGGGTCCACACTTCACGTTCGACACCTTACACTCCACAGTCTACACTTTGCACGCCACACTTCCACACTTTACACTTTGTACTTTTACACTCCACACTCCACACTTTTCACTTCACACCGTGCACTTTACACTGCACACTATTCACTTTACTCTCTTCACTTTGCACTTCACACTTTACACTCTGCACTATGATTTACCCAGAAATATGGATTTATACAGATTCATACAGGCTTTTTTGTCCATACCGATACCCAATTGAATATCGATCAAGCTATGGCTGACTTTGATTTAAATTTGGGTCAAAATTGGGGACCCCCACGCTCACATTGTGATGGAATCTGGCAATTTGCCAAACTTGGGCTCGCCAAAGCAACCAGTTTGGATCAACACTATTCAATTATTTTCATCCGAAATTATATAAGTGGATTTAGGATGATTGATGATTGAGAGTCAGAAATCGATTCCCAGAACTGTTGGGCCATCTAACACCTTAGAACATTTCAAGAGCTTCAGCCGGCAGATGCATCCGCCTTCAACTCAGCAGAAGGCTGCAAGGACTTGTGAGCTGCTCCACGACTTTCAATACGACCCCTGCGCAGCGGAGTTTGAGTCATCCGAGTCATCCGAGTCGTGCGAGTCACGGCAGTCACGGCACCTGGCATCCCCGGCTCTGCAGTCGTGACCTTTTTTTGCCCTGCCATTTAGCTTGACTACAATGGCATCCGGCTAAGTGAGACAGCCAAACGTAAAATAAGCTGAAGTCCCATCTGGGAACTCATGGAAAATGCCGGTCCAGGGCGGCAGGGCACCAAAAATACAGGAGATGTGATGAGCTTTGACTGGGAAACATGCCAGTCTTGCTTTGAAATATTAGTACATGAGTACGTCGACTGCGACTGACTTGGCCAGTCTCAAATAAAAAGCACTTCTAAAGTCAACAGCAACTGGGCAACCATCACGCAGAAACAAGAACATTAAAACATGGCTAAACATATATATAACAATACAATATACAATATATCTACCTATAGTTTTTCTTGATGTTCCATCCACACCTGGCTGCACATGATTGGATTGCCCGTTGCTCTGCGATGGTCCCTTTTAGGGATGCACACCAATTGAAAGTTGTTGCTTGACAAGTTCCCAATCATTTGCCTGGAGCGGCCAAGACTTCAGCAGAAAATAAGTACAATCTGCCTGGAGCAATAATGTTAACCGACGAGAACCATAAAGTACCAGTCAGTCGGATAAATATAGACAGTATAGAACATTCACCTGATAAATCATGATTCCTTTTAGTAGGAATATATTTTTTCTTTTTGGTAACTCACAGATGAACAAACAGAGTTTATTCATCCGGAGTCAACGCAGCTGGCCTTCATCTAAGTTGACCAGAAGGGACGTGGAAGTGGTAGTGGAAGTGGTCATGCACAACTGCCGGATGCTGCCAACCCTGAACGACTGGAGGCGCCTGGCCAATTCAGCAGCAAGAAAAGGTGGAAGAATCAGTTGCTACACATTGTATACAACATTGTACAACAAAAGATACAAGCAGCAGGACTTGAACATGCTATATTCACCTGCTCTCATCAGTGTTTGCACAAATATGTGTATCTTACATCCCTCGTTTGTTCGCCAAGTCGGAGCCTGCTGGCGTGCAACAGGTGGCGGCTTGAGCCTGGGAACCACTTGATTGCCCATGGTGAGGAAGAATGGAACCCCTGTGTCTTTGGATTAAGGGGATTTTGTACAGAAAACCTCTACGTATATTTCACGGCAAAAACCATGGTTTCCTAAAGATTTTCCCTTAAACCAATCCAATGACTATTATGTTTCTTTCAAAGTTTAAGGACATCATTCTCCCATAAATTTCATCGTCGTACGCCCATTTCATAATCATGGCAATTCCATGGACCCGTCCTCCATTCACAAATCCATGTCTGTATCAGGTGTCCTGATAGCACTTGGGCACCAGACTCCAGGGGTGGCAGTTGTACAGCACTCTTGGATTTGGCAAGACCCTTCTTGGCCTTCGGACCTCAGTTAAAAAAAGGCCATGAAGTCCGCATGGTGTGGGCTGATCAAAACCTTCTATTGAGATATATTATCTATAGAATTCTATAGGAATCTATATATTATAGATGTACATCAAAATCTAAACAATTTGTCTATGATTATAACTATACATTATGGAGCCGTCTACTATATATAATGAGGCTTTTAAGGCTCCAGAGTTCACTAGATCTCTCCAGCCCCCGGCAACTAGGCCAGGTCACGATGTTTCAGCAGCATCAGAGTCAAGTCGTTGCAGTACCTGGCAGAGCCAGGCCTGGTTTGTGTCATTCATAGGGCTTCCAATATTGGGTGCCCTGGGGCGAAGCTAGATGTGGAAAATGGCCCATATATAGATGATTTACCTATAATAAACAATCATCAATAAACAATGGGGATTGTCCACATCTATATATGTTAGTTTAGAGGAGGGTCATGACATCATCCAAATGAAACTACCCGGTACAAGCCTATACAAACCAATCATGACCAACCAATAGAAGTTATCGACATTGAACCGAGGAGACCTCAAGCCATACAGCATTGCCAGGGATAGCAAGAAGAGCTAGGGGAGACATGCTCAAATCTCTTCGAGACTTGCGCTTGAAGACTTCAGCCAAGGGTAGAAGGCCGCGCTTCCTTAGTATCTGGTCAAACAATCGTGATGGGACGGTTTCAATCTGCAAAAAAAACAAAAAACTCAAGGATTATACCTAATGTTTGCCCTATGTTTACGTAGTTTCATATTGCAGCAATCAGCCTGTTTGCCCTCTGTGCTCCTACTCTGATCACTTGGTAGCTCCGGCTGAAACACTGAGGAGTTTCTGCCTGGAGCCGTGGCAGCCGTGGCTGGACAGCGAGATCGGCTCCGGCTCCAGTGGAATGTTGTGAGTGTCGATGTGCTCTCCTGCCGATTACAAACCATGGCGAACTAGAAAAAACATCCATGGAAAATTAGATTGGTAATGATTGGTATAGGTCAAAATTGTGGCATAAAATTGTGGCACCCAAAAGTGGTTATGTATGGTTATGTCAATGTTGATGGTTTCTAGCACTAAACTCACCAAACCTCCCGAGAGTTTTTATGGGTGACTCTGACCTGAACCCGAGGCCCTGGACCTCCGACAGAAGCCAGAGCCAATGGGGGAATGTTTGCCTTGACTTCGATCCTTGGCTTCACTTTTCATCTGGACAGGCTCTCAAGGGCCAATATTGTCGGGATCGTATATGGAATATATTGGGCCAAGACAAATATATCATGATATATCTATACTGAATATCTAGATAAGATATTATGAAAGAAACTAACCAACCGCCATATAGAAAACAGGTGTCACTTGCTGACAGGAGAGAAAGAACATATGTGTATATATATATAAGTACAATAGTTGCTATAATATACCATACTAGACTTTGCTATACTAAATAATCTTAAATTAGATTGAATTTTCGATGGTCATATCATATCGTGTAACATCATGTCATACTATATTGCATATTATCATATAATATCATATTATACCATACTAAATAATATTATCTTATATTGTGTGAAATTACCATTGCAGTAAAGTATATTATAGTATATTATATTATATTGTATCAAATCAAATCATATAAACTATATTCCATGAAATTATATTCTATGAAATTATATCATATTATATTATACTATATTAAATGAAATTATCTTATACTAAATTATTATAAAATTAAGTTATATTATATTATACAACATTGTACTATATATTATATTCTTTTATATTATATCATATTGTATCATGTTATATTATATTAAATTACATTATATATGAGTACATTAAATTATATTACGTTGTATTATGCTATATTATACTATATTACATCATACTATCTCATCTTATATTATATTATGTTGTATTATGTTGCATCATATCATATCATAATATAGATGTAACATGATGCAACCAGGAACCCTGACTGCACCTGGAAACATCTCTGGGATCCCCGACTTGGGTATGGAGCTGGCGACTCCGATCGCTTCGGAGCCAACCTCGAGATCTCAACAACGCTTAGCTAATAGGGATGCCCAGAATGGTAATTTAAGGGTGATTTAGTGGGAACATCATGGGAAATCATGATTTAGTGGTGACTTAATGGTCATCCAATTGTGATTTGATGAATATAGTACTGCAAAACTGATTTAATCGGAGATAATGGGATTGTAATATAATACAGTATGAAGGTAGATATTCCCTCTGGTACTTTCACATGGCTATGGTATAAATGGCCAATTTTGAATCATTTTGATATAGCTACTATCTAAAGATGGTTCCCATAGCAAGCTGTTCAATGACCAGACGCTATTGCATTGAGGCGAGTACAAGCAGCAACTCACAGAGGGGAGCCTTGTTGACAAAATCCTCCTCGTCATACTCATCATCGTACTCGTCTTCAATTTCCCTCTTGATGTTTTGCAGATTGAGCCTTGTCAAAATTCATACCACAAAGTGAAAACGGAAGACATGGAGACAACAATAACAACATATGGGTCTGTCTCAAAATTAGGAATGGCCCCCGAACCAGGAATATAATGTTGCAACGTTTTGAAACCATGAGATGGACTGCGCCTCATGCGGCTCTAAATTTTGAGTTGTCAGCCTGGTTGTCTACCAAAAAAACCAGCTCAGCACGCAACGTCTAAGTTGCGGACCGTGGCACCAGAGGTGCAACGTAGCCTTTCGAAGGGGATACCTCCACAGCTGCCTTGAGCCAGGGCCAGCAACAAGCCAAACGTTCTATTGGCGTCTCAAAATGTTTAACCAACAATATGATACAAATTGATACAACATATCCAAAATTCACCTTTAAAAAAATAAATGGATCAAAATGGGGGGCAGATACAAATGCACCTGACATCTTTCGATCACTTTCGATCCTCAGCATCCCAGCGCCAAGCATGCCAAGCCACCTCCGCGATATTCTGCGCCTGGCTTTTCTGGCTTTCCTCGCTTTCCGCAGGTCCAGCCACAGTCTCCACGGTCTCCGTGGTCTCCACGGTCTCCGTGGTCTCCAGGGTCTCCGGGCTCCACTTCTCAACGCCGAAGATGCGGGCGATCTCTGTGGGGCTCAGGGTTACCAAATCCCTGCGCCAGTTGGAACATGTTGTAAAATGGGCCAACTGGAAAAACATCTGGGAAACTTTTGGCAAGAATGGCGTTTTCACCAACTTTGAAGTCTGAAATGGTTTGTTCTTGAAATCCATGTGTGAAACTGAACCCTTCTAAACTCGCTTGATTGTATATTTTTAAAATTATATATATATTATATTATATTATATTATATTATATTATATATATATAATTAATATAATATATATATATGTGCAGCTGGGCACCTAGAATGACCCCTGTGAGCTGTGTCCTTGCCTCCTAATTGCGTTTGACGAGCTATGAGCCTGGCATACGCCGTTTTGCTCAGGTCTGGGTCCTAAAACGGCCCCCCAACATGACACTTATATCAACATCTATTGTTTGTCTTATATCCCCATCGTTGCTTTTTGCCATTGAATCCCAACATTGGGATCTACGGTGGATAATGTCATATATTTATACAGTATTATCAGTAATATTCTATAATCTTCATAAATATTCTGCACGCCCAAATCATCAAACCACGACAATTTATGCAGTTTGTTGGCTGTTTTCCCGATAGATTCTCATCATTGCCCTGCCAACCATTGCTGGCTAAATTTCCGGAATTATGAGAATCGGAATCATTATGTTTAGCTGTAGCTGTTTTCTTGAAAAATCATCCGTGGAGTCATGGAGACCTATACATTTGAATTAACTAAATCCATCAAAATCCCCCATAAAGAATCCCCTCAAATGCCTCTTCAAAGAGCTGTCGTAAAACTCTCTCGCACCAGGTCTCAAAGGGCAGCAATACCTCCAATCAAAGCGGCATCGGCCATGCAAACACTCCGACTGTCCTTCCTCTGCCAAGTTTGATGAATTACCGGAGGGCACCCAATTTTTGAATATTTTTGAGAGAATATATAACATGCATAGATATCCAATATACATGCAATATTTTTTTGCTTATCTTGCTTTTCATTGGAACTTTTGGTTGGTTTTCAACCAACGACCCGGCTTCCAACGACCCGGTTTTCTGAGGTGAGCGCAGGCGTGTTCTGGTTCATGGGTTTCCTAGGAGACCCATCCACCGCTAAGTTTCAGTGGGTTGGCCGGTTTCATTTTTTTTTGCGAGGAAAAATGTAGAGAGTTCAAAATTTTCTCGACGAACACCTGCTGGTTCGGGTTTTCCCACGTAGTAAGTATGGTTAAGTATGGTATAATTACGGCCAAACACCTTGATTTGCCCGCGCTTGTCCGCGGCCATCTTCGTATGTGCTGAAGACGTGGTAAAAATGGGAGTTTTTTGCATCATGGCTAACTTCATGTTCTATATCGGCACGCACAGCATAGGGACCTGTGCGAGTCTCTTACACCACATCATCATCATCATCACCACCATCATCAAACCCTTATTGAAGATCTTCAATGGATGTAGAAGTTTAACGGGGGTGGGAGAATTAAACCCTTATTGAAGATCTTCAATGAATGTAGAAGTTTAACGGGGGTGGGAGAATTAAACCCTTATTGAAGATCTTCAATGAATGTAGAAGTTTAACGGGGGTGGGAGAATTAAACCCTTATTGAAGATCTTCAATGAATGTAGAAGTTTAACGGGGTTGGGAGAATTAAACCCTTATTGAAGATCTTCAATGAATGTAGAAGTTTAGCGGGGGTGGGAGAATTAAACCCTTATTGAAGATCTTCAATGAATGTAGAAGTTTAGCGGGGGTGGGAGAATTAAACCCTTATTGAAGATCTTCAATGAATGTGGAAGTTTAACGGGGGTGGGAGAATTAAACCCTTATTGAAGATCTTCAATGAATGTAGAAGTTTAACGGGGGTGGGAGAATTACACCCTTATTGAAGATCTTCAATGAATGTAAAGTTTAACGGGGGTGGGAAATTTATATTCCCTAAATACCCTTGTTGATCTTCCCAATTGAATGTAAAGTCTAACGTTTGATATCCCCAAGTGTACAGCATAGAAGGGGTGTGGGCGAATCGGGGTGTTTGCGCGTATAATTACAAACCCAGATATTGCTGGACCCTGCTTACAGTACCCCATTCATAACCAGGGTTGTAAGGGAGGCTCTCAGGTCCAAACAGTGAAGACGCGTTGGACTCATCCTGAGGAAAAATGCCTCTCTCTCTCTCTCTATATACATATATATATAATTAGATATAACTATTTAGATCGGGATACTTTGGTTAAATCCTCCCGTTTTTCAGATTTTAACAGCATACAAAAACAATACCAACCAAGAATCTGTCATTCATTAAACTGCGCATCTTTATGGTTCTGTGCTATCCCAGCCCGCTATTCCCCCCTCACCCCACCCCACTCCCCAAACCTAAAGGTCTGAACCCTCTCTCTCTATATATACATGGGATGCTGTGGCCTGCTCCAAACACTGCAAAGGGTGCTTGACCCAAGTACCACCTATGTATACATATATGATCATATATGAACACACACACACACATATCACACACACAGATATAGATGTATGACAAGTACATAGCTGAAACTGAAACCTGTCATTTCTATTTTGGACAAAACCGCCGAGCCTTGCCAGCAGAACCCAGTGGCGTATTCTCCTAAGAAGTGAAGGGATGACAGATCATCACCAATAGCTTCAATTTGATTCAATGGATTAATATACCCTCTGGTAATTTAACATAGCTATTGAAAATGGCCATTTATAGTGGATTTTCCCATTAAAAATGGTGATTTTCCATTGCTATGTTAGTTTACCAGAGGGTATATAGATTAATAACTGAATAGCTCCGAACTAATCACCAACCAACCATGGTTTTTCTCAGTTGTATCAGTTGTATCCAGTCATATCCCCTTATTTTTCATACTAGCCCGTCCCCCCATGGTCCATGTTATTGCAATACCAAATGCGTGTTATTATTGCAGTAGCAAATGCAACAACTGTAAAACATGATGTACTGTACTGAGATGGCTTTGCGATCATGAACTCGACAGTTGCAAGCTTTTGGTACTGCAGTAACGAACTCAACTGCATATAAACTGTTCGGTTATGTACCTTCCTTTATGGACTAAGCGACTCTGGCAGTTGTGACCATATTCTACACTGCCCACAAATGCACAGTTTCACAAAAGCAAAATGAAAAACTGCAAACCGATTGGTAATGTCCTATGCGTGTTGCGCAGCACCAATTCACAACTCTAGACTATCTGTTGCTGTGCTATGGGGTTTGTTTGCTGTCTTGACTTCAACAGTTGCACACTATTTGGCACTGTATCTAGCTTGTTTTGCAGTAAAATGTAAAGTGTTCGGTTCTGTACTTTGCTTGAATGACTAAGTCATGTAGCTTGCGACCATATTCTAAGTGCATTCGCTTCCCACAATGCACAGTTTTACACCCATAAAAGCAACAAACCGCTTGGTAGTGTACCATGCGCATTTCGCAGTGCCAAATGCAACAATTGTAGACCATGTGGTGCTGATTCCACATCATAAAAAAACCCAAGTGTAGGGGTATGTTTTAGTTATTGTAACATATATATATAATATTCCAACTGATATTTGATGTCGTTTTGGAGCCATATTCCAAAACATCTATATTTCTTTTTGGCAACAAACATCTTCGAACATCGAACTGCTCGGCCTTCAGCGTCCAAGGGTCGAAAGACGCCAGCTGGCATCCCGGCTGGATTCTCGGAGGTGAAACCAAATCCTGTTCGAAAACAGGTTCTGCACCGACAAAAATGTGGTTCAAAGATGTTCACCATGGCCGTGGCCTGTTTTCTCGGCCCAAATCACGTTCCGGAACTGAACCGAGGCACCATATACCCAGATTGTCTCAGTCTATTCCTGTGGTAATGAGTAAGCCACCTACATCCACAATGTTTATTCCTTTCTGGATGTTTGGCTTTGGAGACAAGTCTTGGTATTCGTCTGAAATACCACTACTCAGCAAAGTGTCTTTTTTGTCTCTTTTCTTTTCCTGTTCCCTACATACATATATCCCAGACTTGGATGATGGGAACATGAAACCTGGAAAACTGCACAAAACTATCAACAACCATGGGGTTCCTATCGATTTTCCCATGGATGTTGACGAGCCTCGGATGCCGATGCCCAGGTGCCTGACCGAACATGTTTTGTGGGCGTTCCTACCATATGCAAAAAAATGACATATATGTAGGATATGTAGAATATGTAGGATATGTAGTATATGTAATATGATATGTATTATATATATATAGAATATGTAACATATATATATGTATATGTATGTATATGATTGTATATGTATGTATATGTATATATGTAATAGAGAATAGAACCAATATGAGGTTTGATCTATTTTTTTTCTCCATTTGGAAGCGCCAATTCTTCGCCAAAGAACATTTCATCTTCTCAAAACTTTCGCGAACTCCATGTTTATCTTTCGCGGGACCCATGTTGGGCAACAATGTCTTCAATGAAGACAGGAGTCAGTCACTGACTGCCAGATTGTCATGCATTACTTCAGCAGTGCGTTTTAGACATGCAGGTAGCATCACGGAATCCCTATCCAACTTTGGTGAAACTTCGACCATAACACGTTAGTTTCGCGAACTCGAGAATCAACTTTTGAACGGTCATGGCAATAATGATTCTTTCAAGGACCTTTAGATCGATCCCCATATATAGATTATATACACACGCAAATTTTCTTAGACAATGCAAGTGGTTTCTAATCAGGTTTGCACTTTGAGCTCATCTGAATGCTCTCTGAAGTGGGCCTGCACTGCTTAACATTGGAGAACACAAGCGTGCTCTGTCCCTGCCAGTGTCAAAGTCTCTTCCGAGGTATTTGAGTGAGGTCCAATATTTGAGGCCGGAATGACTGCCTTGCTCACCATACACTACATTCTGAGATGGCAACTCACTGTAGACAGACATGTAGGCAGCCTTGCGCATGTGAGTTTTTCGGAAATGGTAAGAGCTGTGGCAGGGATGTTGGGATGTTGAGATCACGAAAGCTTCCCAATATGGTCAACTCTCACTGACCGTTGCCAAATTCATTGGAAAAAAAACATCAAAATCTGGGTTTCATAAACGGCGCAACAGGAAATCCTCAGGAATGAGTAGATTCATGAGAGAGAGAGAGAGATATATATATATATATATAAACAGGACATAACAGGACTGCAATGGCATGCGTTTAAGGCCTCGTGAAGACCGTATTGAATGATGGATCGTGATAGGTCATCTGCCAGGCACCTCAGTGCTGAATTGGAGGACCCGTTGCGGCCAGAATCATCCCAGATCCCGGAAAAAATGCTGCCATGATGCCCGAAGTTTCGGGACTTGGCAGGTTGGCTACCGCAGATAGCTCCTTCCGATCTTGCTCCTTCCGATGAAACACAAGACCACGAAGAAACCGTGCTGAACGTGGGACAACGGTGATTGCACATCATGGCCCAGCCCTCTTGTGTATTCCAGCAAAGACTTCAACTCAATTGAAATGAGATTATCGTCCACAGTCCAAGTGTAAATTTCACCGAAAGAAACGTCTGAGGTGAGCAGCTTTCTCCTGGAGAGTCCATAACCTTACTATGCTGAGGAACGGGGGAACTACCCGGATTTGTGATGAGAATCCAAACACCTTTGGTGTGATATTTTTTAATATCACAAGAAACATCCCGATAAACATGGGTCAATGAACATGTCAATCAATTTTAAACAGACATATTGGAGTGAACCCCTCAAAAATGAGTTTGTCCAGCCGGAATCCCATATATATATAACACATTATATAACTATATACTGGATTGTACTTGTACATATGGGTGCTTCTTGAAATGGGGGATCACCAACACCATAGGTTTCAATACTAAGTCATGATCTTAATTTTTTGGATGATTTTGGGCTACCCAAGCCTGCCGAGCTGAGTTACCGACGTTTCTGCGCAGGGTCAAAGGCTCTGATCCGCATTCGCGGATGGACGGGTTTAAGCCTGGCACTGCCGTTTGGTCTGGTTGATTCACTGTCAGTCCCAGTCATTAAGTCATGAATCATGGTGAATCTTAGATACCTGCCAAACAATCTGATTTTGAGCTGGTTAGTGCATTTTACCATTGATAACAAAGGATTAAAGTACTACAGTATCAAACGTTGACGCAGGAATGAACGGGGAAATGATGATTAAATGGGGAAGTGATGAATGAATGGTGAGGTCATGGGATTTAGTGGGACAATTTCATGGGGATATCATGGGGATATCATGGGAGAAATATCCAAGACCAGCACACAAGGGGGTATGGACCACCGACAATGCAAATTAGGGGAAAATTATGGTTAACCAGTGGACGGAATGGGGTACTATTTTTTCAAATGGCCACATCAAATGGTTGGTGAGTGCAGGAACCATCGACTGTGACGCAGAAATGTGGCTTTCACGGGGATGTCATGTTATAGAATGTCCTGAGCACATATGTAACCATGCGATTCAAGAACGGGAATTAATTGTTGTCCAAACATATTTGTCACTTGCCGTCAACATTCCAGGTGGAAAAAGTCGCATCGGCCAAACTTGGGGCGCGCCCAAAGCGGAATGCTTGGTACACCACATGATCCCCAAAGTTCGACAGATCCCCCGGGTGGAGCGGGGAGATGTGGCAGCCATTCTAGCAGCGAAAATCAGCGACAAGTCTGTCTCATATAATCTCAACACATCAACAATGACCAGCATGTATTTTTTAAGTTTTGATAATTATTCATGCTAGACTATAAATGAGACGCTCTCTCTCTCTCTCTCTATGATCTCTATGTACATATGGCTTATACACCCGTATATATATATATATGTCTACATATGTATATATACATATGTATATTTAGAATATAAATATATAATATCTACAGTATATATAAAATATAAGTATATACTACATATATATATATATATTTAATATATAGTATATGATATAGATATGTGCACATCATCTCGGAAGTTCACTCGAAGTGATTTCCACTCTGAGCTGCTGACCGTAGACAGCTGCCTGCCCAGGTCATGGCTGATCGATCGATAGATATAGTACTGGGTTATCTCCCATATCCAACATTGATAATCATTATGTTATCATTTGACCTACTGGGAAACTACCATCATGTTATATAATGTTATATATATATATATTGAAATAAAAAACGATGTGTAACTTATATCACTTGAACATTTTGGGATTCTTTCGTAATATGGCTATGTCTGAAAACAGTGTATCCCCAAACCCACTGAATTATCATGTTCCCGATTCAATTAGCCAGTTACGGGGTATACATTGATACACCATTTTCAGATACATCGATATGTCATTTTGCTGGATATTTATCCCGTTACATCTAAAGATCACCAACTAAATTCCATATTTTCCCAACATGAAAAACATCCCCATCTTCTCAAGGTTTTTTAAAGGGGATGAAACATGATGAAACCAAATAACTACTTGGGACCATACAATGGGGGTGATAATATGAACAGGGGATGGGATAGAATCAGCCATCAATTCAATCGGATTTTTCTCAGAGGATCACTCATAGTGTCACCACCCATCTGGGGATACAATGGAAAAACAACTCATTCTATGGGAAATATAGGGCCCTTTCCTAACCAGATAAAAAAAACCCATTAATTCTTATTCATATCTTCATTTATAGATGATTTTCCCAGCTATAAACCTCCATTTATAATTGATTTTCCTATATTTTCCCATCATGTTTCCATTCAAACCTCCATTTCTAGCACATTTATCATATTTTGCTTATGTTTTTCCCAAATTTCCATATTTCATCATATTTTCCATATTTCATCATATTTCATCATATTTCATCATATTTTCCATATTTCATCATATTTCATCATATTTCATCATATTTCATCATATTTTCCATATTTCATCATATTTCATCATATTTCATCATATTTTCCATATTTCATCATATTTCATCATATTTCATCAAATTTCATAGGGATTTCCCATGATTTCCCACATCTTCACTTCGGATTCCCCGTGCGAAACAAAGCCCCACCAGGATGGCCGGCGCTTCGTCGGCGCCCGGCAAATCGTCGCATCGGCTACCTGTGGCCTCACTGTTTGGGATTCTGAGGATTTGGAAAAAGAAACGATTTTAGGAAATTTTAGGGAATTTTACTGAATTTTCGGAATTTAAGGGTATTTAAGGGTATTTAAGGGTATTTAAGGGTATATGTATGTATGTATGGTATGTATGTATGTACATTTATGTATGTATGTACATTTATGTATGTATGTACATTTATGTATGTATGTACATTTATGTATGTATGTACATTTATGTATGTATGTACATTTATGTATGTATGTACATTTATGTATGTATGTACATTTATGTATGTATGTACATTTATGTATGTACATGTATGTACATGTATGTACATGTATGTACATGTATGTACATGTATGTACATGTATGTACATGTATGTACATGTATGTACATGTATGTATGTATGTACATGTATGTATGTATGTATGTATGTATGTATGTACATTTATATACGTATGTAAATTTATGTACGTATGTACATTTATGTATGTATGTAAATTTGTGTATATATAATATATGTAAACATATGTATATATATATAAAATAATGTACATTTATGTATATACCAAAAATAATGTGCATACATGAATAAATACATCATGTACATATATATATATATATGAACTAAATAATGTACATATGCCTATACGTCTGAACATTTATGTAGATATATGTATATACCACAATGTATATATATATATATATCTAAATATGTATGTACACCTATGTAGATCTATATGTATGTACATTTATGTAAAAAAATATATATTACAGATGAAAATGTGCATATATAAAATATAATGTACATAAAAATATATATCTAAATATGTATCTACATACATTTTTGAAATATATACAACAATGTCCATATATATATATATGATAAAAATTACATACATACATATATATATATATATATCTATATCTAAATATGTATGTACATGTATGTATATCAAAAAAATGTACATATAGAAAACATAATGTACATATATATATATATATGTATGTATGTATGTATGCATGGATGGATGTATGTATGTACATTTATGTAAATATATATATATATGGACATATATGTATGTATACTGTATGCAAATATAAAAAATGCACATATCTACATACGCATATTTAAATGTATATGTATGTTGAAACGCGTGTATATACAATCATACAGAAAGTATTGTATATTATCATGCTATGAATAGTACATATGATACACATGTGAGATATCGTAGGGACAGAGCCAACACAGACAGGGACATCATCGTGGAAGGCCAAGTATGCAGCTTGGAGGATAACTCAGCCGCAGGCTGCTTCATCGTTGTCCATGTCCATTTGCCAGCCATCCACTTCAATCCATATATATATGGATGTATATATACATTTATATATAATTATATATATATATGGATACACATACCAAAAAAACATGCACGGTGACGTCTCAATACCATTGACTTGCCCGGGCAATTCATAGTGCCATGATTCTCCAAGTTCCCCATCTGAAACAAAGCCGAAGCTTGAGCAGAAAGCAGCAGGTGAGACTTCGAACATCTTCCGATTCCCACCTTTGAAGAGCTTCTAATGTGGTAAAACGAAACAATAGGACCCACCACCCCAAAAATCAACATAAATAATATATATATACATATAACTATAATTATATATAAATCATTTTAATGGCATCATCCACCACCATCCAACATCCACCAGAAATCGCGGTGGTTCAGACATGCAATACTCCAAATCGTTGCTGGTCAACTCGCACAGCAGCATCAATCCGCCCTTCTCCTGGATCAACGGGGCACCAAACGACTGCTGGGAATCAAACACGGCTGGGAAATACATGGAAATACACCAAAAATGATCATACATGTGCATTTAGATGCGAGAATCATCGAACAGGGGAATCTTCCAGGAAGCCAAATGAAGGCACGGAGTGCCAGGGCCGGGCACCGACAGTTTGCACGCGCACATGCACAGTTTCCATCACAAGCTTCTGTCCATCCATCTGACTTCTTCTGCTGCGTTCAGGATGTCGGCACGGTGGGCCTACGTTGACGGCAAATCTGGGCGAAGAATCGCTGCTGTTTGAACCTCTCTGATTTCTCACATTTTTATGCATTTTTTTGCAATTTCCGAATCTTGGCTGCGCAATTCTTCCAGCACCTTCAGAGTGTTGACCTTGTCCACACAAACCAAAGCAGAACCTTTCAGCCACACTTGCAAACTGCTAGATGTTCGTCGATAAATTTCTGGCTCCCGAGTGCGGTGCTCTGTTGAAGTGCATTTCGAAGACCGGTTTTCACAGACCTGCTGAAATTGGAACACATGGAAACTGTGGAGAAGAAAACCTGTGAAGAAAAAGACCAAGCAAACCAAATCCTGAACATCAGACGAGAGGAAAGTTGTCTTAGCTTTTTTTCCAGTGATCACAAAGTTGTCCTGCAACGCGGCCAGGGCTGGAATTCCAAGCTAGATTCGCATGCTGGCACTTTCATGAAAGCGGCTGACATAGATTTAAAGTTCATGTGACTGAGGCGATTCATGGATTCGTATGGAGTCATATGGATTTATATATGGATTCATCTCCATCTCATGTCGACGTTTCATTCGCTGCGCTGTCCTGATTGAACCAGGCACTGTTGTGAACTGCGCCACACAGCAAGCGACAAAGCCTGCGCCACCCAATCATCAATTTTCAGCCGTACCCGGTTTGTTCGCCACAACAAATGGGAGTGACCAAACTGGTTATTCATTGGCTTTAAGAAAAGATAAGTAGATCCAGTTTTTACAGGCAAATCACAAATCCCAATTGTGGCTGATACATACCCACTATTATTGGCTCGCTCGAGTGGATTTGTCTGAAAGTTACTCCAAACTTTGATGCTTTATCATGGTTTATCATCAGCATGCTCCTTCTGAAAATAGTTACATATTGGGGGACAACCTCCATTTTGATCCATTTTGAGACATTGCTACATCTCATATTGTTGGTTACATGTATTCCTTTACATTTATATTTTCATAAACATCTCATTGAACTCCGATTGTTTGATGGCTAATCCCATGATACCCTTATGATATAATATGCCATGGTCAATCCAATGAAAACACCATGAAAATTCCTTTCAATCCCACTAAATCATCGTTTTCACTATGACCTCATGGTTCATCCCATCAAAGAAACAATTTTTCCGCCCGTTTGAGCGGCCCCGGTCACGGTCCACCACGGTCATCCGTTTCGGCGGCGCACGTGCTCTTTCCGGATCCAGGGATTCCGCTGACCACCACACAGGCGAGATCTGAAGCTGCGCCTTCCAGATCAATCGGCACATGGGAGGGAGCACCATGCATATGCACATTATTGTGATTTATAGCTCATTAAACAGATGGATGTATGCGTGAATGCGTGAATGCGTGAATGCGTGAATGCGTGCATGCACGTAGGTAGGTAGGTAGGTAAGTAGGTAGGTAGGTTAGGTAGGTAGGTAGGTAGGTAGGTAGGTAGGTAGGGAGGGATGAAGGGATGAAGGGATGTATGGATGTAGGATGGATTGATTGGCTACTACTTCGAGATCCACAGACAAAGCCATAGTTCTTGAATGCCTGGCCTGAGCAAGCAGCTCCAATCCTTGCTCGTGACTTCCTTCGAAAACTCCGCACGAATGTGACCTCAACCAACACAGAGCATCATGATCTGATATTGCCAGTAGGAAGCGGTCGCCATCCTTCTTTTGCAGTACTTGTGATTGTGTTCCTTGAAGAAGGGATCATTCTTTTCAATTGTGCACTATGATATTCAAAGATTGAAGTTGGCAGCACTTTTAGCTGTCTCGGGCAAAAGGTGCACCTCACATATAGAGGTAAGAAATGGTCACTGCTATTGCACAGAAAATTTCAGTCTGCTACAGTGTTGCGCGATGGCTTGGGTTGTTTTCAGCCATCATCAAAAGGTCACTGCACTACGCTCAAACCGTTGTATATGGTGAACAGGCGGCTAGCTCTTTCGCCAAGTCTTTCGCTAGTGGTCATACGCCAGTCCACCCGGTAGATCATCCGAAGGTTTCGGAACTTATACGATCCCGATTGGCTAAGGAACGTCAGCCCCGTGTTGCCATGTCCATGGTGTCGTTCTTGAAGAAAGAAGCGATGCACACCATCAGGCACCGTCGTAGTTCCCAGCAACTCTTCGGCTTCGTAGGCACCAGGCGCGTCCAGCGATGGAGCATGTCTCTCATAGAGGTCAATCACCTCTGGCAAAGTTGCGGCTCTGCGTCGTCGCAGCATCAGTGATTGCAGATGCACCTCGAAGTTGTTCGCTTCGATCGACATGATGTGAAGTCGGTTTCGCAGGCGAGCTTCACGTCGTTGTTCTCTGTCCAAGTCTTGATGCAAGTCAGTGCCATCTATCAGCTGACCATCATTCTCCTCCTCTTCTTGTTCTCCTTCACCACTCCAGTTCGGACCGTGAGGACTGTCGTCTCGAGATCTCGATGCTGTCTCATCGAATGCTCGTTCCACTTCCGGTTGATTGACTGACTCGGTCTCCTCAGCCTCGGCATCTGGTTCGGGCTGTGCTGGTCGAGGGTCAGTGATCCTTGGTCTGGAACTTGAGCGTTCATCAGGATGTGGTCCAGCTCGGCGTCTCAAAGTCCTGTAGATGGTGTCAATGTCACCAACGGTCTCGGAGAATTGGATCTGCACCTCGCCGATGTTGTTCTCGGCTTGCGGCATGCGCTCCACCAAGTTCGCTGTAAGCAGCGGCTGAATCATCTGGCTTCTGTAGGTCTCCATTGCGGTCTGCATCCGTCGCGGGCACTTCCAGAGATACCAAACTGCCAGGCACAAAACCATGCACACGGCGGATATGGTGGAGATCACCGCCTTCTGAAACTCGAATTTCTGCTCCTTTTCAGAGCTTCCTCCATCACAGGTTTCTCCTTCTGCTTGTCCACGGCTCATCTGCAAAGTGCAAAGTACCAACCAGAAGCTTGAACTTAAAGTCCAGGATTTAGAGCTCGGCATAGCTCTCATCCATGAGGTAGAAAACCCTTGCAGGTGTTTGATCTCATCCATTATCATCAGGTTTCCAATCCACTCCTTGTCGCCAGTCTCCAAGTCATCTTCGTTGAAGTCAGTTGTAGGAGGCAATCTCCTGGCTCCAAAGGATGTCCATTCTTGTTGCGGAACTCCACGCAGCCAGTCGAAAGTAGATGCAAAAGCTGCTTGCTCAGCATGGGCTTTGTCAGCGCATCTGCCACCATCGACTGAGTTGGTACAAGTATCACCCAGCGTAGACGTCCACAAAGTCTGGCTTCACGGTGAGCCAAGATGTAGACTCGTTCAGAACGATCTTGAGGTAGAGCACTGCCACCAGTTGTGAGGGAGTAGAAGTCCTTGCAATCAGTCATCGCATCGACTGGAAGAAAAGGAACTCCAGTTTCTTGAAGTGCAGCAAGCTGCTGCAATGTAGGCTTCTCGGTCGGAACCAAAAGTTCAGCCAGACGTAGAGCAACCAGCGAAGCTGTCTCCAATCCAGAAATTGCAGCAAGTGTCTCAGAGTGACATGTGGAGTAGCTGATTCGTTTCGCCTTGGCACCGTGGGCAAACAAGATGTGAGCTTCTCCTCCAAAATGTTATGCACTCACTTCCAAACCGGTGATCGAATGCACCTGGGAGTTGAAGTTTAGGTTGTCCTGCATCAGGAGGATCATGATGCTCTCTTGAGAGTAGGCCTTGCCCTTGGACGCTGAACCAGCGTCGTGCACTGCCACCAATCGCCATGAAGAGGTCGTTGGAAAGTGCTTGTAGACAATGCCAACACCACGGTATTGCGCCATCTTCGCTTTCTTCACATTAGCCAAGTGCAAGTCCTGCACTGTCGCCTATGTCACACGCGACTGCAAAACTCCAACGTCAGCCACCAAGTCCAGTCTCGTCGCAGTAATCCAAAGAAGTCCACCAAGGATGCTGCGAAGTGTGGAGGTCTTGGCCGGTGTCAAGGGTCTGTTCTGATCATCGCCAAGGTCCTTGAAGTCCATGACCTTCATGTTGTCGATGAACTCCTGTTGGTCAATGGGGAAACTTGACCCGATCTTGTTGTACCGGCTGCCGCAGTGATTGAATGGTGGTTGTTGCACAGAGATCTTCCCAAATCGGCCGCTGAGAAAAGCGTACTCCTTTTCCAGGAACTTGGAGTTGCGACGGACAGCAATGTCGTTGACGTGCGTCGTCATGACAGCTTGAAGTCGGCCTCCAGCTTTCCAAAACCATAGATTCTCATCCAAGAGGCTTTGTGTACCTCCAGAAATCTCAAGGCTTTCATGGAGGCATAGTTGCCATGCCAGAGGGGCATCGTTCAGCCCGTAGGCTGGTTTGTTGCATTCCAAACCCCAAAGTCCTTGTTGGCCTTCTCCAAGGCCAAAGCTGGCATCCATAGACGCAAGGTGTCGCCACACGTTGGCCGGCGGAATGATCACAACTCTCCGCTTTGGAGATGAGATTCCTTTGCTCTGCAAAACTGCCTTCACCTTGGCAAAGCTAAAGCCCTTGAGAAAGGCACCACTGACATCCCAGGACCTGATGCCAAAGTTGTGGGTCGCTGCCAAGGAGAGTACCAGTCTTTGACTCAATCCTGTAGCTGTTGTACTTCTTGTAGGAAGCTCCTGCTTCTGTGGATCAAGAAATCCACTGGCACACAAACGGCTTTTAGCCTTCAGGCTGGAAGAAAACAGGCGCTTGTATTTGCGCACCCATGTGGCGTCAACCAGAACCACATCTTCAGGAAGCTCATCTAGCTTCACCTTTTGGAAAACCTTCTCATCCACAAACTGCTTGAGCTCAGCCTTGTCGCTCTCCTCGAAGTCTGGCCAGTTCTCCAAGACTCGATCTTCGCTGAGGACATCTGTGTCTTCATCCACGCGGTAGATCTCGCCAGTCAAGAGGTAGATGTAGAGGTGAGCTTCTGTTCTGCAGTGAAGGTGAAGAAGAAGTCTTGTGGGTGTAGAAGTTGTAGAGGTTCGCCTTTTCCTTCTCATCCATCTCGGCAGTTCTTCAAACCAGATTTCATGAGGTTGTGGCAGAAGAATCTTCTTTGGTCTTTGGCACATCCACCAACAGTGAGCTGAAGTGGAGCTTGGCTTTCTTTCTCTCAGGAGCTTGAACCACAATCTCCACTGGGCCCTCACGTTTCTTGTTGATCTCCTCAATGGAGAGGTCAGAAGGTTGGCCACTTGTCGAGGTAGAAGAGGACCTAGTTTCATCAGCGGTCTGCTGATCCATGGGAGCTTGTAGATCTTGCGCATGAGGTTGTCGAGAGATGCGTGCAGAGGAATTTTCAGTCTGCACCTGCACATAGCCAAACAAGTAGAGATGGCAGAGCTTGTCAATGTCAGTGTTGAAAAGCTCCTTGATGTGAATGATGGAGTCGGTGTTGTGCTCCGTCACAGCGATGCCAGTGCGACCTTCTGTCCAAGTGACCAGGGTGCCTTTTGAGTACTTCGGCACCAGGATGGTTCTCATACCCTTCCATATCTGATTCCATGGAAGGCAACTCGGTCATGATGGAAGGCTAAGAACGTCGTCGCGTCCTTCAGCATCTTCTCGGCCATCTCGCTGTGAACCTTGGGGAATTTCACCATTCGGTCCTCACCATTCTCACACTTCAGGATCTCTCCCATTGTGAAAGGTCGGTATGGTGAGCACTGTTCCACCACCAGCTTCATTCGTCGTAGAGCTTGCTCAGCATCAGAGGCAGAGGTCGTGCAGACCTGGTTCACAAACTGCAGGTAGCTCTCTCGAAGAGGTCGCATGTGGCAATTTGCCACTTTGCTTGGCCCCGGAAAACGGACCCCACCAAGTCCCCCGAAAAAGAGCTTTTTCCTGAGTTTCCCAAAGGAATCTTGACACTTGGTGGGGTCTGTTTTCCGGGGCGAACCCAAGTGGAAAATTGGCAGTCGCATGTGTCGAAGTCCAGTCAAGTAGGGTCGCTGCTGAAACTCCACGGCTGTGCCAGCGGACTCATTGATCTTCAGCAATGTTGCTGGGCCACGCCATCCAAAGCCACCTCCATCATCACGGAAAATCTCGACTTTGGTTGTTCCAGGAGTCATGTCGGCCACAGGTAGTTGTTGAGGTCGTGAGCGATTGGCCTTGGCTATTCTGGCCTCAAGGATCGCTGCCTGACTTGCTTGAATCGAAGAGCAACTTGCCTCAGTCTCAAAGACCGTTCAAAGGCAGACTCATCAGGAGAGACATCATCGCCACGCGGAGGTTGTTCAGGATCAAGGTATCCACGAGGAAGAACTCCAAACAGCATGGTGGTAGGTGCATATCCTCCGACCTGATGTGTGGTGCTTGAAGCAATGCTAGCCTCACTGGCGAGTCCTTCTCCCTCAATCTCCAGGCCCCAACGTCCAGCTTCGGCCTGAAGTTTGGCCATCCTCAACTTGATGAGATCGATGTTCTTCTCCACCAAGCCAGTTGATGTATACCTTGAACTCCAGAAGTTGTGCCACCAGGTTGGCGAGCAATGCCAAGTCGCTGAAGTTCAACACCAGCGGCCACTGTCATCAATGATGTCTCCTGATCAGACACCAAAGTCCTCATTGGACCAAAGTAACGGATCCAGCTGTTCATCAGAGCGTTGAGAACGTGCTTCAACTCTCGGCTCTGGCAGGTGGTTGCGATCTTGTAGCGGGTGGCCTCGTCGATCGTCAGAAGGTAGAGCTGGCCACCGTAGTTGAACAAGTCGATCTCATTGAATGCCATGGAGAGATCAGCTCCTCTGTATTGAGGACGTCGTCCAGAGCGAGCAAAGCGTCGGCAAATTCGGCAGCTAGCCACTGCGTCACCTGTGAGACGCCAAACAGCATGGGGCATGCCACAGCGTTAGAGGATGGCCTTGATGTCTTGGCTTCCTGCATGCCAGAGTCGTTCATGTAGACCCAAGATGAGCCTCTTTGCGGTGATGTCGTCCTTGCCCACAAGCTTGGGCAGCCGTGTGAAGAGTCGACGGAAGTCGAAGATTGGCTTGAGCCTGCCAGGATGTTCAGCAGGGCCGTCAGGATTTTCCTCATCCATTTCTCGTGGTAGAAGTTGTTCTTGTTCTTGGCCAATCACGGCGACTGCAGCCTTCTCGTCATCGTCACTGTCGATCTTGTCCTTGATGGCAAGTTTGGAAGGAGTAGACGAAGAAGAGGCTTCTCCAGCTTTTGCAGGATCTTTTCCAAACAGAGCTATTAGCCAGTCATCCTCCAAGTTCAGAGGTTCGTGCCACCGACTCAAAGAGAGTTCACGTAGGTCTTGAACAGCTTGTAGATTCCAGCTCTCGACATTGCCTCGCATCAGAAGTCTCAAAGGTGCAGCGCCAACAGTGAGCTGGGGCTCTGGTGTAGGAGTGCTCCAGGGCTGCAGACAGGCCATTGCTCCTTGAACATCCATGTGCTCCTTGAAGACGTTGCGAAGCCACCCCAAGGCCGTAGGGTCTTCAAGCCAGTGGACATAGTTCTGGTCCTTGGCCTCTTCTCCAGAACGTCGAAGTCCACCGCTTCGGAGAGGAGCTTGATGAGGCACATCTTCAGAATGGCTGTCTGCTCGCTGTTGAAGCTGAGTGAAGGATGGGCTGCAAGTCGACCTTGCATGACCTTCTCGTTCTTGAGCGCTTCCTTTCGGAGGCTGTCAAAGATGTCATCTTTCTGTTGTTGTTCTCGTTCAAGTCTTTTGCGCTCTCTTGGATCTTCGCCTTCGGGCCATTTTCCATAGCGACATTCACCAGGAAGGAAATTGTGCTCCATGTCAGCTGTCGCTGCGCGACCCATGGCGCAACGTTCGCACTTGTAGTAGCCCTGGGAGGTGTTGCGGTAGTCCAGGAACCTTTTCACATCTTTCACCAAAGCCTTGCACATGCTCTCGGGGTACACAGCCGCCATTGTCGTGCGGGGTCGAAGCAGCAGCGGATGTCCTCGGTCAGGAGGTCCAGGTCGCAGGGCGCCAGCAGCCACCAAAGGTCGAAGGGCGCGAGATCGTAGTGCAGCGTGGGTCGTCAGACCAGAGCTTGGAGTCGTAGATCACCAGGCTATTGCTTCGGCACAGGGAACAATTGGGACGGGTGGAACCTAGGGGCTCCGCCACCAAATTGAAGTTGGCAGCACTTTTAGTTGTCTCGGGCAAAAGGTGCACCTCACATATAGAGGTAAGAAATGGTCACTGCTATTGCACAGAAAATTCCAGTCAAAGATTGGGGCATATACTCATTTCAGAACTCGGGACATTCCGTTAATGATTTTTCTGCAAATTTCGCAGTATCTCATTGAAGAGTTAAGGGTTTCTTTCAACAAGCTGCAGTTTTTCGTCTGAAGCAGCGGACAAGTCGCTTTCATCCCTTTCAAAAGGTAGGTACGTGGAGGGGGGCGAGCATATATATATATATATTCATTATAATCAAACTAGTTTAACTACAACACAATAATTATAAATTAATGGTCATTAATGTGTGTATATATGTAAACCTGTTTCCGCACGGCCTCATAACATGTCATAAAGCTGCACAGCTACATCTCTGGTGAAGCGGCTTTTTTGGTGCTTTTCTCTCAGCAACAAACCATGGCTGCAGCGTTGGCGCTCCTGAAGCACCTGCGAGATTTTGGATATATGGAGGTTTCCATAGTCATGGTAGTACCCCAACAGCTGGATGGTTTACAATGGAAAATCCGAAAATAACATGGGTGATAACTAGGGGTTCCCCCATGACTTAGGACACCTCCATACTGTGGATGGAGGAAATCCTGCACCAGTTAGTAGATGGTTTATCCCATTATAATCCCATTATTTACAGTGTTCTACAGTTCCCAATAGTTCCCAACTGGTGCAGGATTTCTTCCATCCACAGTATGTTGGAGAATACATGTTCATTGTTTCTACTGTATATTTTTTCAGGACATTGCCCCAAGTGATCCTTCCCTCAACCGACAAGTTCCCACCCTCTCCATCTCTTTGGCGCCGCTCTCGGCGAAGGGAATCGACCTGCCAGCAATGGCGCTGCACCATGGGGATACCCCCAGCTGGATGGTATTCATTTCATAGAAAACCTATAAATGGATGATAAATGGGGGTACCCCCATGACTGAGGAAACTCTCCCATTTTGCAGGACTGAAAAGCCCAATTATCTGTTTCAACTTTTGTTTTGGTGCAGAAGAGCATTGGTTGATGGAGCCCCTGTGGATTAAGTATGATGGTGATGTCAGTAGACCCTTGGCATCTTTGCTCCGTTCCAACTCTGGGCCCCACAACACGCGCACGCAGAGCATCTATATGACTGCAAAACTTGGGAAGCAAAACTGGATGGCTGAAACTCTGAATCTGCAAAAAAAGGTCCCTAGATGTCCCTAGTCCCTCAGATTTGGACCAGCATTTCCTGGTGCTCCCAGCTGGATCTGGTTGCGACTCAGCAGACATCCATACATCGCTGGGTGAAATGATGATTGATCAGTGGAGTCGAGGCTATTCTGCTGTACTATGTTGTACTCAATCTTAAAGAATATGAAAAGATATAAAACATTAAGCAAGTCAAAAGACTTTTCTGCCGGAACCCTCTACTGAAATTTGATGAGATATGACTTTGATGTTGTTCTTAGGCAGGGAAATGGGAAGAGACATGAAAAAACGTTGTTGAGGGCTGAAGATTTCTGTGGAAATGTTGCATATCAATCCATGGAACTGCTGTGGGACTGTCGCGAGCCAACGCGCTGGTGGTACAGTACTTGGTGATTCGATCCTGAGTCACTCGCTTTCCGCTGTGGCACCACTGAAACTGTTTGCAGCCCCTCGGGTTGTAACCTACCCTCCATGAGACCTCAACTGAGCACATCCACTACATTCCACCAGGGTTTACAGAGCTGTCTAATTGTTATAATATATATACCAGTATTATATATATATATATGCATATGTTGTATATTTCATCAGACATATACATATTATTACATATTATCGAATTATCGCTATTATGGGGGAGTAAACCAGCTGTATTGTCAACCC